AGAAGTCTGGAGCTGCTACCTGGGAGCTCAGGTTGGTAAAGAAGCTCCGAGTATACTCTGGAATATGCCTTGGAGGAGCCTGGGCGAATCCCTGATAAGGGAGCTGCCTCCAAAAGAGGAAAAGTATATCGGGTATCTTCCCCAGAGGAGTCTGGGGTTGCCATCCGGGATCTCAGTTCCGAAGGAATAGTCTAACTGACTCCGAGAAATGCTATGGAACAGGTCCAGGAGCATCCTGGAGGAGAGATCTTTCAGCAAAAGAGGAAATAGATCTCTGGTACCTTCCCTGGAGGAGTCTGGGGCTGCTACCTGGGATCTCCCATTCCTAAAGAAGAGGCTGAATGATTCCAGGAAATACTGTGCTGGAGAGGCAGGAGCGTCCTGGAGGAGAGATCTTCAACCAAAAGATGAAGCGCATCTCAAGTACTTTCCCTTGAGGACTGTGGGGCTGATACCCGGGCTCTCATATTCTTGAATATGCTGAATGATTCCAGGAAATCCTAAGCACAAGAGCCAGGAGCACCCTGGAGGAGAGATCTTTCAGCAAAAAGAGGAAACATCTCTGGTACCTTCCCTGGAGGAGTCTGGGGCTGCTACCTGGGATCTGCCATTCCTAAAGAACAGGGTGAGGCATTCCAGGAAATACTGTGCTGGAGAGCCTGTAGTATCCTGGAAGAGAGATCTTGAGTGACAAAAGGAAGCACATCCCAAGTACCTGCCCTGGAGGAGTGTGCGGATGCTACCTATGATCTCCAATTCCTAAAGAATGGGCTAAAGGACTCTGGGAATTGCTTTGTAACAGAGCCAGGAGCATCCTGGAAGAGAGATCTTTCAGCAAAAGAGGAAACACATCCTGGGTACCTTCCCTGGAGAAGTCTGGGGCTGCTACCCAGCATCTCGGGTTGTTAAAGAAGATCTCAGAAGGCTCTGGGAGATGCCTTGGAGGAGTCTTGGGTGAATCCCAGGGGAAGAGGTCCTCTTTGAAGAGAGAAAACTTGACTCAGGTACCTTCCCTGGAGGAGTCTGGGGCTGCTACCTGGGATCTCCCATTCCTAAAGAACAGGGTGAGGCATTCCAGGAAATGCTGTGCTGGAGAGCCTGTAGTATCCTGGAAGAGAGATCTTGAGTGACAAAAGGAAGCACATCCCAAGTACCTGCCCTGGAGGAGTGTGCGGATGCTACCTGGGACCTGACTTTGTTAAAATATAGGCTACATGAGCCTGGGAATTCCTTTGTAACAGAGCCAGGAGCATCCTGGAGGAGAGATCTTTCAGCAAAAGAGGAAATAGATCTCTGGTACCTTCCCTGGAGGAGTCTGGGGCTGCTACCTGGGATCTCCCATTCCTAAAGAAGAGGCTGACTGATTCCAGGAAATACTGTGCTGGAGAGGCAGGAGCGTCCTGGAGGAGAGATCTTCAACCAAAAGATGAAGCGCATCTCAAGTACTTTCCCTTGAGGACTGTGGGGCTGATACCCGGGCTCTCAGATGCTTGAATATGCTGAATGATTCCAGGAAATCCTAAGCACAAGAGCCAGGAGCACCCTGGAGGAGAGATCTTTCAGCAAAAAGAGGAAACATCTCTGGTACCTTCCCTGGAGGAGTCTGGGGCTGCTACCTGGGATCTGCCATTCCTAAAGAACAGGGTGAGGCATTCCAGGAAATACTGTGCTGGAGAGCCTGTAGTATCCTGGAAGAGAGATCTTGAGTGACAAAAGGAAGCACATCCCAAGTACCTGCCCTGGAGGAGTGTGCGGATGCTACCTATGATCTCCAATTCCTAAAGAATGGGCTAAAGGACTCTGGGAATTGCTTTGTAACAGAGCCAGGAGCATCCTGGAAGAGAGATCTTTCAGCAAAAGAGGAAACACATCCTGGGTACCTTCCCTGGAGAAGTCTGGGGCTGCTACCCAGCATCTCGGGTTGTTAAAGAAGATCTCAGAAGGCTCTGGGAGATGCCTTGGAGGAGTCTTGGGTGAATCCCAGGGGAAGAGGTCCTCTTTGAAGAGAGAAAACTTGACTCAGGTACCTTCCCTGGAGGAGTCTGGGGCTGCTACCTGGGATCTCCCATTCCTAAAGAACAGGGTGAGGCATTCCAGGAAATACTGTGCTGGAGAGCCTGTAGTATCCTGGAAGAGAGATCTTGAGTGACAAAAGGAAGCACATCCCAAGTACCTGCCCTGGAGGACTGTGCGGATGCTACCTGGGACCTGACTTTGTTAAAATATAGGCTACATGAGCCTGGGAATTCCTTTGTAACAGAGCCAGGAGCATCCTGCAGGAGAGATCTTTCAGCAAAAGAGGAACCATCTCTGGTACCTTCCCTGGAGGAGTCTGGGGCTGCTACCTGGGATCTCCCATTCCTAAAGAACAGGGTGAGACATTCCAGGAAATACTGTGCTGGAGAGCCTGTGGTATCCTGGAAGAGAGATCTTGCGTAACAAAAGGAAGCACATCCCAAGTACCTGCCCTGGAGGAGTGTGCGGCCGCTACCTGGGACCTGACTTTGTTAAAATATAGGCTACATGAGCCTTGGAATTCCTTTGTAACAGAGCCAGGAGCATCCTGGAGGAGAGATCTTTCAGCAAAAGAGGAAATAGATCTCTGGTACCTTCCCTGGAGGAGTCTGGGGCTGCTACCTGGGATCTCCCATTCCTAAAGAAGAGGCTGAATGATTCCAGGAAATACTGTGCTGGAGAGGCAGGAGCGTCCTGGAGGAGAGATCTTCAACCAAAAGATGAAGCGCATCTCAAGTACTTTCCCTTGAGGACTGTGGGGCTGATACCCGGGCTCTCAGATTCTTGAATATGCTGAATGATTCCAGGAAATCCTAAGCACAAGAGCCAGGAGCACCCTGGAGGAGAGATCTTTCAGCAAAAAGAGAAACATCTCTGGTACCTTCCCTGGAGGAGTCTGGGGCTGCTACCTGGGATCTGCCATTCGTAAAGAACAGGGTGAGGCATTCCAGGAAATACTGTGCTGGAGAGCCTGTAGTATCCTGGAAGAGAGATCTTGAGTGACAAAAGGAAGCACATCCCAAGTACCTGCCCTGGAGGATGTGCGGTGCTACCTGGGACCTACTTTGTTAAATATGGCTAATGAGCCTGGGAATTCCTTTGTAACAGAGCCAGGAGCATCCTGGAGGAGAGATCTTTAGAAAAGAGGAAACATCTCTGGTACCTTCCCTGGAGGAGTCTGGGGCTGCTACCTGGGATCTCACATTCCCAAAGAACAGGGTGAGACATTCCAGGAAATACTGTGCTGGAGAGCCTGTAGTATCCTGGAAGAGAGATCTTGAGTGACAAAAGGAAGCACATCCCAAGTACCTGCCCTGGAGGAGTGTGCGGATGCTACCTATGATCTCCAGTTCCTAAAGAACGGGCTAAAGGACTCTGGGAATTGCTTTGTAACAGAGCCAGGAGCATCCTGGAGGAGAGATCTTTCAGCAAAAGAGGAAACACATCCTGGGTACCTTCCCTGGAGAAGTCTGGGGCTGCTACCCAGCATCTCGGGTTGTTAAAGAAGATCTCAGAAGGCTCTGGGAGATGCCTTGGAGGAGTCTTGGGTGAATCCCAGGGGAAGAGGTCCTCTTTGAAGAGAGAAAACTTGACTCAGGTACCTTCCCTGGAGGAGTCTGGGGCTGCTACCTGGGATCTCCCATTCCTAAAGAACAGGGTGAGGCATTCCAGGAAATACTGCGCTGGAGAGCCTGTAGTATCCTGGAAGAGAGATCTTGAGTGACAAAAGGAAGCACATCCCAAGTACCTGCCCTGGAGGAGTGTGCGGTGCTACCTGGGACCTGACTTTGTAAATATAGGCTTGAGCCTTGGAATTCCTTTGTAACAGAGCCAGGAGCATCCTGGAGGAGAGATCTTTCAGCAAAAGAGGAAATAGATCTCTGGTACCTTCCCTGGAGGAGTCTGGGGCTGCTACCTGGGATCTCCCATTCCTAAAGAAGAGGCTGAATGATTCCAGGAAATACTGTGCTGGAGAGGCAGGAGCGTCCTGGAGGAGAGATCTTCAACCAAAAGATGAAGCGCATCTCAAGTACTTTCCCTTGAGTACTGTGGGGCTGATACCCGGGCTCTCATATTCTTGAATATGCTGAATGATTCCAGGAAATCCTAAGCACAAGAGCCAGGAGCACCCTGGAGGAGAGATCTTTCAGCAAAAAGAGGAAACATCTCTGGTACCTTCCCTGGAGGAGTCTGGGGCTGCTACCTGGGAGCTCAGATTCCCAAAGAACAGGGTGAGGCATTCCAGGAAACACTATGCTGGACAGCCTGTAGTATCCTGGAAGGGAGATCTTGAGCAACAAAAGGAAGCACATCCCAAGTACCTGCCCTGGAGGACTGTGCGGATGCTACCTATGATCTCCAATTCCTAAAGAATGGGCTAAAGGACTCTGGGAATTGCTTTGTAACAGAGCCAGGAGCATCCTGGAAGAGAGATCTTTCAGCAAAATAGGGAATAGATCTCTGGTACCTTCCCTGGAGGAGTCTGGGGCTGCTACCTGGGAGCTCAGGGTTCTAAAAAACAGACTGCATCATTCCAGGAAATACGCAGGAGGCAGGAATATTGTGGAGATCTCCAGACAGAAAATGAAGCACATCTCAATTACCTTGCCTGGAGGAGTGTGGGGCTGCTACCTGGGATCTCAGGTTGGTAAAGAATAGGCTAAATGGCTAAGGGAAGTGCTTTGTAATAGAGCCAGGGGCATCGTGTAGGAGAGATCTTTAAGCAAGGAGGAAACACATCCCAGGTATCTTCCTTGGAGGATTGTACAATCCATTTATTTATAGAAATATTATTAAAAGTAGGGGGGGGGCCAGCATCGAGCTGTGGAGCACAGCTCCAGCCCCTTGTTCCACGAGCTCCCCCTGCAGCCGACTGGGGCCAAGACAGCCCCAGCCCTGGCACGGCTCCCTGGGGCAGGAGCAGGGCACAGCTCCTCTTGTCCGTGAGCACACTCCTGCGGGCAGGACACAGCCCCCGCTGCAAGCAGGAGGAGCAGCACCCCCCAACCCCTCATTGCTGCAGCTGCGGATTGGTGCACAGCAGCCACTCAATGGTTTCCAGCAGATAGGCCATGCTGTAGTGCCGGGCGATGCTCTGGAAGACTTTGACATGCTCCATAAAGGTCTGGGGAGAAGGCAAGAGGGAGGGAAGGCACAACTCAGCACTCCTGGGGGCTCCAGGAGGTAGCTGGGCAGGGCAGGTCCCCCAGGGACAAGTTAGAGGAGACAGAGCAGGACAGGGCACTGCAGGGCTCCTTGATGCCCCTCTGGGAGCTACTGCATAGGACTGGGCTTGGCATGAGAGTGCAGGCGTACCTGGGAGGAGATGGTGAGGGCAAAGTCTCCAGCACAGCTGCAGTACACTGGCATGTTTCTCTCCTTCACACCATGACACTTCTTGCACACCTTGAGGTCAAAGAGTGTTGGGCTTGATCTTGTCTCCTTGCTCACCTCTCTGCCTGGGCAGAGTGAATGTGTCCGGCCTCGGCCAGCCAGGGGGATGGGCAGAGCTGGGGAGTCCCACACTCACCAGATCCTGCAGCACAAAAGCCATCAGCTTCTTCTGAAGGGCTTCCACCAGTGCTGCTTCGATGGCATCAGAGTCATACTGCATTTGGCAGTTGGAGCAGACCCAGCCGGGCACCGCTGACCCATCCTAGGGGCAAAGAGATGGGAGGTGAGCAGCAGGAGTCCCAGACACAGGGAAGTGGTAACTGGTTTCTGGAGAGGACAGAGCATCAGCCAAAGCCAAGGGATGCTCAGACCTGTCACAAGCAGCTAGAAAAGGAGGTGAACAGAGAATGGCCTTTAGGTGACACTGGTCACCAGCAGCAAGCAGAGCTATAAAGCAAAGGGGCTGAGAGAGTAGATAGGTAATGTGATGAACCAGCCTTCAGCATTGCCATGCTGGGGTATCTGGTGTCCCTACAAACGAAGCTGCACCTGGGAGAGGGCAGGGTCCTTGCACAGGTCCAGGTCCCTGCAGAAGTTGCAGTTCCTGCAGATGACTTCAGGGAGCACATAGGAGCGGCAAGGGTCCCGGAACTGGGCAGCTTCTGAGAACTCGCCCACCTCAATGAGCCGCAGCAGGTCCCGGCGCAGTTTGTTCACCTGGTTGGTTATATTGGCATCCAGGGAAAGGACCTACAAGAATGAGCCAGGTGAGTCTACCCGCAGAGAAGACAGTGTCCTCACCAGCAGGGCAGCTCACATCCTCATGACCTCACCCGGGCGCAGGGCAAGACAAAGTGGATGAGGACCAGAATTTGAGCCCTGATCACAAGCCTTCAGAAATGGGGCCTGGCTCATACTGCTGACCTTGCAAACATACTTGATGAACTCCAAAGCTGGGTTGTTGAGGGGCAAGTAGGAGCCAGGCAGCACCGGGAACATGTCTGAAGGCTCAGTGGCATTTCGAGAAGCAGATATCTTCTTCTGGATCTTCTGGGTGATGCTGAAGAAGCTCTGGGTGAGCTCATTGGCCACATAATCCTGTGAGAAGGTGATCGTGCCTAGAGAGATGGAGCAGAGAGCACTTCACCCATATGGTGGCAGATGGGAACCGCAAGGTGGGTGGCTTCAGGGCTGCCCCATGGCTCAGCACTCACCAGGCAGGGCCCCCATCTCTCCCAGTGCCTCTTGGGACACCTGGCTGGTGCTTCTCCTCTTGACAGGGGTGCTCCCAGGGGCACTGCGCCGCAGCTCCTCCTTCATGCTGTGGTACACGGCCACGATGTAGGCTGGGGAGACATGGGCAAGGCTCCAGCTGTGCCAGCAGCTGCCCCACCGCAGGCTCTCCCTGCCGCTGGGGAGGCACAAGCGGCCCCATCCCACCCTGGGACAGCTCACCTGACACAATCATCAGGAAGTAACTCTGGCAGGAGGCGGCCTGAGGCAGGAACTGCGCCATGTTCCAGCTGTTCTCCAGCAGCTCCTCCACATTCAGCTCCCCTTCCTCTTCTTCCCCCACCGCCACCACCTCCTCCTCCTCCTCCTCCTCGCTGTCCTCCTGCTCCTCCTCCCACACTTGACTCTTGCTGGTGTCCTTCTGGAGGACCCAGGGATATCACAGCATTTCCTCATGCCCAGCCAACACCTCCCCACTCATCTCAGCCCCCCAGCACCCTGCTTCTGGAGTTCTGAGCACTTCCAGTCTCTTACCTCCCCATAGTGGATGCGAGAATCCACTTTGCCCTTGATACCTCCATAATTTGCTGGATCCATCCAGAGGAGGAACTCCCAGCAGCGGGAAAAGGAGATGGTCAGAGAATGGAAGATCTCCTTGGAGTGGATGCTGGAAGGAAGAAACTGCAGTCAGCCACATCGCTGCCATCGTCCCTAATTCAGAGCCTTCTCCATGGGACTCCATGAGGACGTGGTGCTGGGAGAAAAGAGAGGGCTCCCCTACCCATCCAACCACTAGCAGAGACCCCAGGAGAAGTCATGCCCAACAAGTCCTGGCTCCCTATTCTTGTGTCAAGGTGGCTGTGACATGGGACCTGAAAGCCAGCCAGAGGAAGAGATGCTGGGCACCTCAAGCTGCTCCTCAAGGTCTCTTCTGGATTGAAGCCTATGAGTACTCTTGAAATGTTACCTATAGAGGACAGCTAAGGGGCAGATCCCTACTCCAGGAATGACAGCAAGAGAACAAGAGAGCTGGGAACCCTCAGCCCTCCCATAGCTTTGCCAAAAGAAAAATAATAAAATAATATATCAGAAATAGAAATTCAGTGCTCAGGTCCATCAAAAGGCAAAGAATCAGCACCCCCTCCCTGGCCCCGAGCCCTGCTCCATCATCCACAGGATGGATCTCCAAGCCTGGCTTGGCAAGCCCCCACCTGTTGATGATGTATTCCATGTAGCTGATGGCATCCTCGATGCGCCGCTTTTTGGTGCACAGAATGATGCGGTTGAAGTTGGCATAAACCACTGAGGAGCCCAAGCGCTTGAACTCTGCCACCAGCCTGCACAGGAACAGGAGGCAGTGGGCAGGAAAGCAAAGCCCCAGGAGCAGATGCAACCCATGGAAGACTTACTGCCCACCTCTCTGGAGGCTGCAGCAGTCATGCCTGTCCCTTCCCCATTCACTAGACCGGCACATTCCAGGTCTCACTTACTGCAGGAAAAGCTTCTTCATCATGTTGTGGAGCATGCGGTGCAGTGCTGGGTCATAGAGCAGGGAGGAAGGAGAGCGGAGCCAGCGGTAGAAGTGAATGACCTGGTTGTCTGCATAGACGTTGTGATACTGCGTGATCTCCTTCACCCAGCTCACCACCATGCTCTTCAGGATCCTGCCAGGGAGCAGAGGCATCACTCCACCGGCCAGGAAAGACCCCACAAGCCATGAGACCCCCTTCCCCTTCCACACAGGCATGTGTTCTCAGGTATGCTGGAGGATTCAAAGCGGGAACTCTGCCAGAGCACAGACATGTGAGCCCTCAACACATAAGGCACAGAGTCAATATGTGCCTCTCTAACTTGGTGGAGCCTGAAGGAAGCAGAAACAGGAGAAGGTTGGATCTTCACCAACATCTCCAAACATCTGCAGTCTGAACCACCAGGCAGTTCTGAGCCAGGATCTTCAAGTCTGTTGGAGAAGATGTCTGCCCTGCTCTCAAGACCTGAATTTGGATTTAGAGTACCCTACAAGCCCTGCTTCTGGCACAAGTCTAGGAAACAAAGGATGGAATGAGAGGTAGGACCCTCATAAAGACCTGTCAGGATGGAGACCAGGTGCTCCCCCTCCTGCTGGCTCCTACAGCCATACCTGAAAGTGTTGGAGCAGAGGGCAGTTTCATCATAGCTGGCGGGGATGTTGGCAGCTTGGTTCCCTGTCACCATGTCTTCTAGGGATGCCTGCTGAATCACATCAAAGCTGATGCTCATGCTGGAGCCTCCTTCCATGTCGTTTATGTGGTGGGACTGCAACACCGTGTTGACAGCCAAGCTCTGGATGTCCAGCTCCAGACACACTAACAGCAAACACAACCTCTCAGGGGCAGGGAGTGCAAAGGACCAAGCAGGACACTCCCCCTTGCCCGTCTGCCACAAAAGCTTTTCACAGTTAGAAGGTGATCTGTATGTGCTGTCACACTGAGTGGGAAGACACTTGCATAGGTGTGACTGTCTTGCCTGGCCAAGTCTGCCAGCAAGACTTGGATCTACTGATCCTCTGGGCAACACTCATTCGTCTGGAAGCTGCAGCAGAGGAGCTCAGAACTTACTGGAGCAGCCCCCACCTCCATGAAAGACCTGTTCTAGAGTTACCAGGGATGAACAGTTCAGCTAGCCTGTTACTACGCTCTCTTAGGAGACTGCAGCCATCCTTTTACAAGGCCTGTAGAACAGGCTCCAGTTCTGCCTCCAGGCAGTGCTAGTACCCTTCTCTCCTCACCTGTGGAGTAGCAGCCAGGGTTGTTGATCTCCACAGAGGCTCTCTCATCAAAGTCCATGACGAGGCGGTTGTCATCAGCCTCCTTACCCCCCAGGTCTGGGCGGGCCGTGGGTGACAGCCACAGCAAGTGGTTGTGACGACGGAGGTGGCGGGAGAAGAACAGGTCAGAGCCAAAGGTAGAGATGTCACTGGGGAGGTTCCCAATGGGGATGTGGTAATACCTGGGGCACAGAGAGGTGAATGGTCACGGGGTGAGCACAGCTGTAGAGAAAACAGGGACCCCTGTTCCTTCCCTCACGGGATGAGGCAGCTTCCCATGGTCCCAGCAAGGGCACGGCATCCCCAGGCACCTGCTCATCTCGAACGCCTGCGAGAGGCACGTGTCCAGGTTGAGGTAGTGGCGGATCATGCGGCGGGCAGCGTGGCGCTGCCAGTCCAGGACCGAGTAGCTGATGTCATCTACCAGCTGGATGGGGACCAAAGGGAACTCCTCAATGATGGGGATCCCGCTCAGCAGCCGTTTCAGGTCCCAGTTAGACTGCACAGCCACCAGTGTGGGGCCTCGGCGCTCATCCTGCATGAAGAGGACATGTCCTGATGCACCTCTCCAGGAAGTGCCTTCCCTCAGGAGGACCCCTGCAGTGCCAGGTACCCTGTCCCACAGCAGGTCCCCATGGTGGGGACAGCACACACCAGTGCTCCTGCAATACCCACCTGTGCAACCAGCTTTCTAGCTGAGCACAGGGCTGGGAGGAGATACTGAGATGGCCTCAGTGCTGGCACTGCCCTAGGCAAGCCACCCCAAGCAAAACAAAGCCCTTGAGCAACACCCACTTTCTACCTTCACCTGTGGGCCAGCAGCTGAGCAGTGCCTTCCCCAGCATCCTCCCCTTCCCACATGCCTGCATGGACAAGGTCCTGCAGAGACCTTATACGTTCATCTCACCTTGTAGGCCAGCAGCAGCCGCTGGATGGCTCTATAAATGGTCTTGGGGTCGGTCTCAGCACGCACTTCAAAGGTGTGCTTGTCTGGGGGCAGTAGCTCCTCACCCACCTTCTCCAGCAGTGCGCTGCGCTCCGCCGAGAAGAGGGTGCTGAGATTTGGCATCTGGTTGCTGCGGACCTGCACCCAAGCAGGACTGGGTCAGAGCCAGGGAGAGAGGACCCTGCACTCCATGGTGCCATGGGGTTCTCCCCTCCGTGCATCATTAGGCGCCTTTCACCAAGCCCTATCAAAACGTGGCAGAAAACTCCCACTGCCTGATCCCGATCATAGAAGCAGAGAATAGTTTGGGTTGGAAGAGACATTCAGAGGTCATCTAGTCCAATCCCCCTGCAGTAAGCAGGGACATCTTCACCTAGATCAGGTTGCCCAGGGTGCGTCCACCACCACTCTAGGCAACCTGTGCTAATGTTTCACCATCCTCATGCTAACAAATTTCTTCCTCATGTTCAGCCTGAGTCTCCCCCCTTTTAGTTTAAAACCATCACCCCTTATTCTATCACAACAGGCCCTACTAATAAGTCTCTCCCTATTTTTCTTATAGGCCCCCTTTAAGGATTGAAGGGCCACGATATGGTCTCCCCAGAGCCTTCTCCAGGCTGAAAAATCCCAGCTCAGCTTTTCCTCATAGCAGAGGTGCTCCTACCTCTTTTCTGTGGCCTCCTCTGCACTCGCTCCAACAGCTCCACGTCCCCATTGTGCTGCTGCCCCAGAGCTGAATGGAGGCTGCAGGGGGGGTCTCCCCAGAGCACAGCAGAGGGGCAGGATCCCCTCCCTGAGCTGTCGCTCACACTCTGGGGGTGCAGCCCAGCACACGGGGCGGGCTCAAGTGCACACTGCTGGGACACATCCAGCTTTCCATCCCCAGCACCCCAACCCTCCAACCCCCAAGTTCCCCCTTACCTTGTCCAGCACAAAGACGGCAGCTTTGCGCTGGGAGGGGATGAAAAGGCCCAAGAGTGCCTTGCTGCCCTGGGAGCTGTGGTAGAGGTAGATGTGGCGAATGCTTCCTAGGAACAGAGCACAGATCCTGAGTGAGACCTGCAGGCACCTGGCCCTGGGTGCCCCCCAGCCCTCTCCCAAGCACCTCACCTGGCTCCAGGTATGTGAACTGGGCCAGTGAGCGCATCTCTAGGTGATCGATATCGAAGGTTTCAGCTTCCCGCCCTGCCAGGTGCCCGACAAGCTGTCTGCTGACCATGCACACACAGCCCAGTTGCATCAGGGCGCGGAAGAGCAGCGGCACCTGTAACGATGGGGAGAGATGTGGTGGAACCATATTCCACTACCAAGCTACTGGTTGGGGCTTCAGACCTAGAGCCTGGCTTAAAAACCAGGGGCAGGACATAACTGAGGAGCCTCCACATGAGTTTGGTATCTCCCTGCCAGTGCTGGAGATACTGAACGTGTATTTTAATTTACACATGTTCTTATCCACCACCCAGGGCAGCAGCAGATCCTATGGAGGATGTGTGGAACAGTATCTGGGCGATCTTGCAAGTCTGCAACCTGTGGTTTGGCACTCCCTCAAGACAAAGGCTTCATCTGAACCACCAGATAACCAGCAGGATGGGACATCCACCACTCATTTGCCCTGCTTTATGAACCCTGCAGCTGTGAACTCCACAGCTGCAGAAGATTGCTCCTGGATGACTTGCTGTGGGACCAAGTCCCAAAACAATGACAAGTAATAATAAACATTTCTTGCCTACTCTTCCCTCATGCCAGTTTTGACTTCATAGGTCCTGCAGAATAGCCCATTTTCAGATCCCTTTAGCAAACTGAAGCATCCCCAGGTACCTAAATCCCATCCCTGCAAGGAAATGTTCCTTGCATCTTCCTCATTATTCTCTTGTGTTAGGCCTGCTACATTTTTGGGGAGACTCTGTCCATAGAATCATAGAATAGTTAGGGTTGGAAAGGACCTTAAGATCATCGAGTTCCAACCCCCCTGCCATGGGCGGGGACACCTCGCTCTAAACCATATCACCCAAGGCCTCATCCAACCTGGCCTTGAACACTGCCAGGGATGGAGCATTCACAACCTCCCTGGGCAACCTATTCCAGTGCCTCACGACCCTAACAGGAAAGAATTCCTCCTTATATCCAATCCCGAAATCCCAGCTACTGCCTACCACAGCTGGAGTTAGCATCTCTTACTCTGCCTCTGAGGAGAACTCTCAATATCAGAGGAGTAGGTGCTGCTTAGCTTTGTAGAGAACATAGCCGTTAAACCTCTGGCACTGATAAGTGTTCTTCTCCTTAAATCTCACAGGCTTCATCTCAAAATAAGTGCTTCTCCACTACGGTTACAGCATCTGTAGCTTCACCCAGTAGAAAGTAAACCCCCACAAAAAGGGAGAGAGTTCTCTCTCCTCAGCTATAAACACTCCTGAAAAGATACCAGGCTTTCATGCTAAAGACAAGAATTTAAATCAAAAATGTTTCTCATGGCATCCAGAATAAGAAGCAGGAGCATTTTCATGCAACAGGCAGGAGAGTACAAGGGGAGCAACATCTGCCTTGCAAATGACACGTAAGAGTATTCAGAGTCAGCCGGAGAATTATCACAGTCCAGCTGGGTCCTCTGTATCTCCACAACCCTCTGGGCAACTTCCTCAAACACCCTTTGCTGCTTTTTGATGCTTACATAAAATTTACCTCTCAGTTTGTGCCCATTGCCTCCCATTCTCTCCCTGAGCAACCCTCAGAAAAGCCTGGATCCTCTCCTTCAGTCCTTCCACCAAGGAGGCCCCCTGAACCTCTTCTCCCCAAGGCTGAAAAGCCCCAGCTTACTCAGCCTCCCCCTGCATGACAGATGCTGCAACCCCTTGATCATTTCACTTCTTTTTATACCTTTAAAACATCTCCATGCCCCTTGTTTTACTGCAGTTGCTAATTTGAATTTCCTCTTCAGATTTCTCCTTGAAAATCTTACCTAGTTCCACTTATTAAACACTGTGGTTGCAGAGAGGGCTCAGGTTTGCTACTAGATCTCCTACAGATAGGATGAATTTGTGTACACCCTAGTCACACTGGCACAGTAACGTGAAAGGAGTTTTGGGTGCTGCTTACTAAGAGTTGTACCTTGCCTTTTGCATGGACCTTCCTCCAGATTTCCTACAAGCAGAAATTTGAGGTGACTACAAATGGTTTCTTTTATCATGCCTCACTGTAATATGTCCCAGGCTGTAACAATAACTTCCAGAGCTGAACTCTCCCCACTCTATGATGCTCTTTCTGTCCTTGCAGCCTCTTGCATCTCAGAAAGCATTTTGTAGTCTTTGGCCCCACTGCTCACACCAAACTTATCCTACTTAGACAAAGACTTCTGATCCAGAATTCAACATTGCCTTTTAGTAGCAAATACCTTTATGCTTTAACATACAGGTTCACTCTTACAATTGGAAAACCTTCTCTCCTACTTCCATGTAGGTCAGGTCCTGAAACTACAATGTCTTCTTCATGACATTCCTGTCACCAGGTTTTATGCTGCTGAACAAACCAGTGTCCTCATTAGAAGCATCCCAGTTTCCTTTCCTCATTTTCAGGCTTTCAGCATCAATAGCACTGGTAAATTTAATTTTGGCTTGATTGCTTTGTACTAAACTGTTTAGTCTGTTCTTGCTCTTCCTAAACTTTCAAGCTGTATCCTATTCTTCTCTCTGAAGTTTTACAACCTTGTTTCAGAAGACAGGCACTCAGACCTGTGTACAACTCCACACACGCTGGGTTCTCCCCCATCTTTCAATATCCCGTATCTTTTCTGGTGCAAAGAACAGCAGGCTGGTGCTGGTTTGGAGGAAGATCATCCTTTCTCCTTAAATGATGCCTTTCTTCTTCAAGGTTTCCTAACTCCCAATAAACCAAAGCCCCTTTCCCTGACCTGCCTTAAACCACGTGCTGATGCTCAGTGTCTCTGCCCAGATGAACATGGGTATATTGCCCAGGATTCTGCTGTAGAAGGTCTTTGATTGTTGGTGTCTCACCAAGGTGTTGAATTTCTAAGAGGCAGGTATCCTCCTGCTCCACTGGCATTCAGACCAATGAGCTGCTACCCAGCATCCCTTCAAAACGAGTACCCAAAGAAGTTACCTGTGTCTCATAGACCCCCTCAATGTCCGGAGCAGAGAGGTCTGCATTGATTTCATTGATGTGCTCTTGGTACATGTCTTCAGGGACTGAGTATTCATACAGGTTGTAAACTAAGTTCGAGCGGGGCAGGATCCTGTTCACCTGCCAAGGCAAGGGACACATCACACCACATGGCACCATTGCCAGTAGTGGGGCACTTGTAAGGGCTGCAGGAGCCAGCCCACTTCCTGGTATTCCTCTCTCCTAAGGAAATCTGGTTTATGCTCATGCTTGTTACAAATCCCCATAACAGAGAACCTGCTTTCTGGGAAGGCTGGGATTAGCAGAAGGACTGGGTACTGGATGAGATACACCCATGGCATGAGACAGCAAAGCCCTGCAAGGCAGATACTTGTTCCCCCTTCCAGAAAGGTCAGGTCCTCACCTTCCTGTAGGCTGCTCCCTCCTCCGGCTTTGGGACACGCTGGTTGACATAGAAGACCCGGGGAATGCTCAGCCTGATGCAGTGCAGGTCGCTTCCGATGAGTGCCCACAGCCTGAACAGTCCAGGCTGGCTGGTCTCAGCAACCTGCAGGACACAGCGGTACAGCTCATGCTGGGAGATCCAACATGGTATCAGTGCTTATATCTGAGCTGGGCAGCACTTTGAGGATCTGTATGGCCCATTGGTGGCCACAAAGACAGCAGGGGGCTTAAAGAGTTATCACTGCAGCACTGAAGCCCCCAAGTCCTACCACTGTCTTAGGGCACTATGCAGAAAACCCTCTCAGTAAGGCTGGCCAACTAGCTCAAGCTGACCACTGATGTCAGCCAAGTCACTCTGACATCCTGGACCAGCCATCTCATCTCAAGCTCATGCTCTGCACCAAGACTGCCTGCAGCTCTCAAGGCCCTTCTGGAAAATGAAGTGGGTGACAAGGGGCCACAGGTAACGAGTCCAACAAAGGGCCACAATGATGGAGGGGCTGAAGCATTTTTCATATGAAGAAAGGCTGGGATTGCTGGGACTCTTGAGGCTGGAGGAGGGAAAGCTGCAGGAGTTCTCATCAGTGTATATAAATATCTGAAGAGAAGTGAAAGAGGATGGAACCTGGCTCTTCTCAGTGGTGCCCAGGGGCAGGACCAGAGACCATGGGCACAAACCTGAACACAGGAGGTTCTCTCTGCATGTCAGGAAACACTTTATCCCTGTGAGGTGACAAAGCCCTGGCAAGGCCTGTCTAAGCAAGTTGTGCAGTCTTCCACCTTAGACACACTCCAAAGCCTTCTGGACACTGTCCTGCACTACTGGCTCTGGGTGCACCAAGCTGCAGCAGGGGGTTGGAGCAGACAGACCCCAGAGCAGCCTTCACTCTCAGCCAGTGTTTCTCAGGTTTCTGAGGCACTGCACAGTGCTGCCCCTGGGATGAACTGGAGCAGTTCATGGTGAAACTGATGTGGCCTCTTGTGTACAGGGGGGTTGTACAAGGGGGTTAGATAAAATGTACAGGGGCATTGTACAAGGGGGTCTATTCCGCTATCCCCTGGGATAAACTGGAACCGCCCCACTGGCAGAGCTACACGCATGCTGGACCCCACCAGGAATGAGTCTGTGGGCCCCTGTTCCCATATGGACACGTATGAGCCTGAGGCTCTGCAGCCCCACAGCCTCCCCAAGGTTCACACGAGGCGGTGTCAGGACCAGCAGCCCTCGAACGGCCCCGGTTGCCCACAAGCAGTGTAAAACGCGAGCCTCAAGCCCGAGGCTGCCCCCACGGAGGGCCTGTCCCCAGTACCTGCAGGATCTGCCAGGGCAGGTCCAGGATGCTGCGCGCTGCCTGGCGCAGGTAACTGCCCAGCCCTCGGGAGAGGGAGAGCGCCTGCCGGCACCGGGCGCCTCCTCCGGTCACTGCCTCCCCTCCAGCCTCCAGGCGCCGCCTCTTGCGTCGCTCCCGCCGCTGCCACGCCTGCAGCTCCCACTTCTTCTGGTGGTAGCGCAGCCAGACCAGGCGCTGCTCCTGCGGGAGGACAGTGCCCTGAGTGGAGGCAGACACCAGCGCCGGCTGCCCAGGCCCCAGCCCCCTGCCACGCACCCAACCCTCCATTCCCCAGCCCCACAGCACGCTCCTGCCCCCACTCTGAAGCCATCGCCCCCCTCTTCTCCATCAGCGCCTGTGCTCTCCATCCCCCGGTTCCATTTTTCCTTGCAGCCATGAGCAATGGGCATGGAAGGGTTTCAGGAGACCTACAGCTTGCTCCTGGCAGCACTCAAGCTGCTTAGGTGGACAAGCACATCACCTTGTGCCCAGCCTGCTTCACCTACCTTGGTGGTACCCAAGGGCGGGGGTGGACCCAGGATCTCTCGCCAGGACTGGGACAGCTCAAGGTCCTGAGACATCTGTTGGCTTTCCTCTGCTGCAGGGACTCTCTTCCGCTTGTTTGCGATAGGAACTGCTGGCTGACGGCTCTTGGCAGCCCCAAAATCCTCTATGTCACCAACCTGTGAGCTGGGCGTCCCCTCTGGGGGCTGGTTGGTGAGGACCTGAGGGAACAAGGACAGCAGCAGGAGGTGGGTTGCAGGAGAACAGGCTCACCACCACAGCCAGTACCCTTCCCTCATGCTCTTCACCTGTCTCTTGCCTTCCGAAGTGAAGAGCTCGTTGATTTTTTTCTGTTTGTACACATCATTCTTCTCCAGGAGTTTCTTGTGGAGCCAGTCTGGGTGCCGGACCCGTGGCACCGGGTTCTTTACCTGAAGAACGTACCTCCAAATCACACCTGACCAAACACCCTGACCAAAGCCCTCTCCTCTCCCATGTCCCCCCCCGACCCATACCTGCTGCAGGGCTGCAGGAATGGTGATGATCTTCTGGATGGTGCTTCCCAGCCTCTCAATGTAGTAGTCCCAGTCCAGGATCTGCGAAGAGGGCAGAGCAGCAGGTAGCAAAGAGAGCTGAGTCGAAGAGCACCAGATGCAGGCCCAAGCGGCTCGTCAGGGCAGGGCCCCCAGCACTGCAATCTGTGAGTGCATGCAGCTGCTGCCCAGCTCATTCCTTCCAAGGGATGAGCCCCTGTCCCAGAGCCGGCTCCCCCCCGCAGCAGGGCCCCGCTCACCGCGCGGATGTTCAAGTCCTGCAGCGAAGGGCTCTTCAGCCACTTTCGGAGGTAGTGTTTGCGCACGCTGGGCTCAGCTTGGAAGATGGCCAGAGGGATGGCTCTGGGGATGCAGGGAAGCCCCTGTTACCCACGGCAGCACACCCCCCCTCTTCCAGCCTCTGAACACCCTCCAAGCTTCTCCTCCCCCTGCCCCGAGGCCACCACCTGCTACCTGTATGGGGTTACCCATCACTGGCCTTGCTCATGGGCTGAGCCAGCAGATGCGGGGCCCCTTGGCAACACCACCCCAGCTCACTCACCTCCCGCTACCCTTCCCTTCCCCTCTTGCTTGCCCCCGGCACCGTCAAAAGCCCCCCTCAAGGTGGGGTTACCTCTCTGTCACCGCAGATCCTTCTGGTTTCTTGGAAATGATGAACCGGCAGCTCAGCCCTGCATCCTTCACCATCTGGTCCCCCAGGAACTCTGCCAGGCGCTTGGCAGTGCTGATGGACGTAGACTTCTGCTCCCCATAGTCCTCCAGCTTGCGTGACATGGACCGGTTCTCCGAGATCAGCTCAAACAGCTCTGAATCAGGCATGTTGGCAGCCTGAAAGGGAGGGGGAAAGACTCAAACCTACCAAGAACCCCACGATCAAACCTTGCTGCTGTCAGATACGGGGAGGGCCAATCCCCAGCTGCTCTGGCTTTTTACAGGGAGCCTGCAAAATTACTCCCTGTGGCAGCTGCCAACATGACATGAGAAAGAGAGTGTGGAGGTTGGAGACTTGCATTGCTTCTGGCAGGGCTGGGCTGTGGCAATGCTGCTTTGTGCTGCACGGAGTAGCTGGGTTCCCCAAGAAATTGTTGGCGAAGGTCACCACAAAATGCACGGACTGAACTAGGCTCTGGGATCCCCCCTCTCGGCAGCAGGCCCCCCACTTTATTCCATTTTCTCTGTTCTCCCCCAGTTATTGTGTATCTGTTGGCTCTGTGCTCCTCTCACAACCCTCCGCAGAGACCAGCAACTGTCATTCTCTGCCCCTAGCTATCGACCCTGGGGGGAGGAGGGCTGTCAGACCAGCTCCACAAAAGAGGTGACTGGAGAAGGACACCACCCACCCAGAGCTACAGCTGAATGCAGAGCACTTGCACTGAAATACACTAAACAGCAGCCCTAGAGAACCAAAGCAGCAGAAATAGAATGGAGGAGAATAGCAAACCCCCTGCTCTCTGCAAGCCTCTCCACAGTGCCCAACCAGATCTGATGCTTCTTGCCCACCTTGCCCCGGGAGCACAAACGTGCTGAGCTGCACTTACCTTGCTGTAGAGCACATCCAGCCAGTAATCTGCCACCTTGGCCACGGAAGCGTAGACCTCCTCCAGGGTGCTGCCTTTCAGAAAGGCTTCAAACACTGAAGACTGGAATATCTTCACCAGCTGCAGCTCTCCCCGGCGCTTCACCTCAAACCCCTTCAGCTCGGCCAGGGACCCATCCTCATTGAACACTGCGTACCTAGGAGACACTGCACGGGCAGAGCCTGGCCTGTGCCAAGGGACACGGCCTCCAGCATCCCCCTGGTGTCCCTCCTGCCAGGGCAGGTGTTTAGCATTGCTGCTGCTGCTCAGCACTAATGATCTCCAACACCTACAGCTGCTCTACCAACTGCTTCAACCTGGTCTACAGAAGCATTATGGGGAACAACAGCTACAAGAAGCCACATCACTTGGCCAGCTCTTCTCCCGCCTGACCATGATCCTGCGGGCACAGCCTTTGTTCCTCCACCAACAATGGTGCCTGCCAGCCACCTCCAGGCTGAAGAGTGACCAGGAAACAAATGCACTTGTTGTAACATCCCCAAACTACAAGATACCGAGAGGCCCTGAGATAAGAGTACTAGGAGCAGAGCCTGCTCAGTGCTTGGCATCACCCTGACCTCTGTGGCAGGGACTCACTGCTTGCAGAAGGACACTGACAGGAGAAAGTGAACGCTGAAGCTTATCCAATGGGGCATTAAGTATACAGCAGCACGAGCTCTAAAGGAGGGTGCTGAAGAGCAGGGACAGCTTTGTTTGGAGCCAGACCCAAGTCTGTGGGCACCCCTCTAGCTAGTGGTTACTACTGCTCCAGCTCATGTTCCTGATCAGGAGCCTGCAGAGAAATCAGTAGAGTCTGAGTACTACTATCCTGTAATGCAACAGTAATGGCAGGACCTATTCTTGCAGATGGAGAAGGACGGGGAAACATCTAGATGTTTCTGGAAGTTTGTGAAGTCCCGAGATGGGAAGGCAGGAACTGGTTAGTTTAAACAGATTAGGTTGAATATAAGCAGTCCTCAGAAGATAAGACAAAGCTCTCCTGCACACCTCAGAACAGAAAAGGGAGATCACACTGATCACCAAGTTGGACAAATGCTGTTTTGCTGTTCTCTTCTAAACTACTGCCATAGTATGGCACTGGAGACTGGATTCAAAGATGATTTGGTGTAAGGAACTTGCCATTTAAAGCCAGCAAATCAAGCATGCTGCCAGCTCCAGGGCCAAAGACCAATGTGCCCCCCATGCATGAAGGGAAAGAGACCCTCAGTGTGTTTCTGGGGGAAAGTGAAAATACTTCAAGCTTTGGAAACTCACCTTTTCTTCAGCTTCTTGCCCTCCTCCTTGGACGCAGGGAGGATCATGGCCAGGTATGGCCCATCCACTTCAAAAAAGATGCTGTTCTCCAAGCGTGTGGTGTAGGTGAGGGAGGCCGGGTCCTGCAGCTCCTGGTACTGATCATTTGTGAAGCCTTCCTATAGGCACAGCCCCAGGAGAACAGCTTTACTCAACAGCCAGGTTGGCTACACAACATGCCCCTTGAGCATCCACTGCCCGAAGGCATCACTGAGCATCCCTCTGAAAGCTACAGCACAATGTCAAGAATCACAACATCCAACCTGTTGTTGAGGTGACAAATGCTTTGGACCCTAAAGTTACATTATTTTGTCTTAAAGAAGCTGGACCAGCAGAGGGTGGATTTGGACCCTGCTGTAGCTTGGACTGTGCCAGGTGGCACAGGCGAGCACACACCAGCCCTGGCCACTCTCACACCACTCTGCTGCAGGGACATCAGCCTCTCCCTCTGCCCGGATGCTCTACGGGGCAGAGAGCTCTGCAGCAAATTAGGGCCATCAGCCCCAGTGTCCCACTTGAGGAGCGGAGATGGAAGAGAGGCCTCCGAGAGGCCTCCCTTTTCAGTCCTCCACCTCCTTTTGACCAGACTGCAGAGCTGGCCTGGACGGGAGCAAGACTCACCTTCACCAGGATGTTCAGCATGGCACCTGGGTAGGAGATCGTCACCTTTGGTTTCTTGGCATTGGTTGACTTGATGACAAAGTTCTCTGGGAAGCTGTTGGGGAGGACGCACCAAATCCCATCGGTATCCAGTTCCAGAGGTCTCCTAAACAAGGAAGGAAAGTCGCTGTCAGGAGGGAAGGGGCTGACAGGTGAGGATCAACTCTGTGTCCTCCATAAAGCAGAGGCAGCCTGTTGCAGAAGTCCGGTCTGCAGAGCAAACCCTGACAATCCAACAGAATCACCACAGCAGTGTCAGCAATCTGAATGTTCAACATGAACTGCTCAAAGCTCAGATATTTCACATGCACCCACAGCTGTCCCAGCTGCTGGCAGAGCTCTCTTCCCCAGGTCAGCACATACTCACCCAATCTGCTCAATCAGTTCCCTGGCCTGGGTGATGATATTTGCTCCCGTGAAGCAGACGATGCCAGCCATTTCCATGGAGTACCAGCGAGCTCTGTGAGCAGAGCAGTCAAAGTAAAGAGCATGAAGTGCTCCCTGCCTAGCCCAGCTATGGAAAGGGCAGAAGGACCTCCAGAGGAAGAAGGGCAAGAAATACATAAACACTGGCTCTTGGTAGATTGTTTTCCTTGCCCTAATTTCGATGGTTCAGAAAGCTGGAAACCCACTAACAAACAAGATTCCCATCACTTATGCCCAACACTTAATGTCTGACGGGGGTCTCCAGGAGGAGAAGTCACTGATAGAAGCAAGAGGAGAGCGTTCCAGGCAGCACCTACCTTCATCCTGGTGCTTCAGGAGCAGGGGAAGCGATTGACAGCCTCCCCAGGACAATCCGGGTTTCCAGAGGGCACCAGCATTGCCCAGACTCACCCTTTCCGCATGACGTAGCCATAGAAAGAGTTGAGGATGCACTTGTGGGCCAGCTGGAGGGAGTCATACAGGATTTCCATGTTCTTGCAGCGCTTCACTTCAGAGGCATCTCCTGCCTCCACCGCTGCAGACAGCTTCTTCTTCCACACCTGCAAGCCACAGGCAGGGTCAGGACAACCCCACACATCACTACTGCCCCAGCAGAGCATTACAGCTCTACAACAGGATTTCTGCTGAAGATCACCATCGGCTGAACTTTCCTTTTTCCTTGTGCAGCAGAGGAGTTGGCCAGAGCAGCTGGGAGGAACCACAAATGGCTCATGAATTCATTCTGCCATAAGGAGAGTCCCAGCACCTCATTGTTGCCTTCAACACACTCCAAGAATAACTTGCCTTGATCCCCTCTAGCACAAACCTCAACAAGAAGAGAACTAGAACATCCTCCTGGAATCACCTCTTCCTTAACCTGAGGTCTAGGCCTTGCTTCTCAGCTTGTCTCTTTTCTCCATGTAGAGAGAATGCCTCAGGCTGAACCCAGCCGAATCAGATACAGCAGACCAGAGCTGAGGATTTGCTAAAGCCCCTGAGAACTGGAGATGCAGCTTTGTTTCTGACAGCATCAGAGGCACTAAATGCCCTGGCAGAAGCCACTGAAGATTCAGCAGCCAGCAGCCACAGCTGTCAGGAGCTGCACCACGTGCTTCTTGAGTACAAAGGATGAAGAGAGCAACCCTTTAGTTTTCAATGGGAGACAAGAGGTCCCTGCCCTTGGCAAGACCAATTCCATCAGCAGCTGAGCTCGGTACCTTGTGCAGCCCCTTGAACTCGTAGCGGCGGTCCCTGAAAGCCCGCACCGTGTCCACATAGAAAGAGTTCTCTCGCTGGCAGACGGTGGTGACTCGTTCCTCCACCTTGGTGACATGGATCTTCTTGTACGCCTTGCGGCAGTAATCTAGTCAAGGGAAGAAGCAGAGGGGAGCTCCTCAGGGATGGCTGCTGCACTACAGAGGGATTATGAACAGGGAGACATCTAAGTATCAGGCAGTCCTCCTGCAAAGGAAGATACCAGCATGGAGAAGCAGCACCTCCTTATGGAGATGCAGGGGCAGGTGCAGGAAATAAACTCATCCTGATGCACGTAGGGCCCATCCACAAACCCAGGCTCTGCCCCCAGCCACCTGGCTGCTTCTGCATCACTCAGTGACGGGATAATGTTATGTTTCCCTTTCTTTAATAGGCTTTAAGTAGCAGCCTTCTGGCATGGAGCCATTCACATTGCAGCTCAAATCCCCGGCTCTCAGCAGACAAAAGGAGAAACAGACACAGGCACCAGTGCCTGGCCCCTCTGTGGAAAGCACAGGAGCCTGCTGAGGTCCTGCAGCACGTCTGTCAAAGCACAGTTCGAGACCAGACCCAGGCAGGACCAACCCCACAGCCTAAGAGCCAAGTGCTGGTGAGCGCTGCTCAGGGGCTGGGCTGCAGACACTGACCACGTCACCACGGTCACTTTTCAGTCCTTTTGTTACGGGTTTACCTGCCAACCGCTTCTTCTCATACTTGGCCTGCTCCTCCCGGGAGAGCTCGTGGAAAGCACGGGGCGCTGCGTCAGGGGCCAGAGCAGGAAACTTCTCTGACTCCAGCTGCTGCTGGATGCGGTGGTACTCGCTGCGGCTGGCAGGCACTGTGGAGCAGGGCAGCCATCAGTTTCCCAGGGGAGAAGCAGCAATTCACGGCCAGCCCTCTGGGTTGGACTGCATGGTCTGCACTGCACTTACTGAACTCTCCTCTCCACTGCCAAGTCATCCGGCGCTGGCAGTTGGCACCCGGCTTGTTGAAGTCGCAGGCAGCACATGTGGCCTCATCCACCATGGCTGAGGGCTGGGTGCAAGGAAGAGACACAGGTCTTAGGGAACACCTCTCCAAAGGACAACCCAGGCCACAACAGGCACTAGGTGGCCAAAGAGCATAGATGTGAACATCACAGAATCCCAGACTGGTGTGGGTTGGAAAGAACCTTAAAGCTTATCTGATTCCAACCCCCTGCCATGGGCAGGGACTCCTTCCACTAGAGCAGGCTGCTCCAAGCCCCTGTGTCCAACCTGCCCTTGAACACTGCCAGGGATGGGGCAGCCACAATAACCTGTGCCAGGGTCTCACCACTCTCACAGTAAACAACTTCTTCCTTACATACAACCTAAATCTCTCGTTTCAGTTTGAACCCATCACCCCTTGTCCTATCACTACAGTCCCTGATGAAGAGTCCTCCAGAATCCTTGTAGCCCCCTTCAGAGACCAGAAACTGCTCTAAGATCTCCATGCAGCTTCTCTTCTCCAGGCTGAACAGCCCCAATGTTCTCAGCCCGTCTACATATAGGAGGTGCTCCAGTCCCCAATCATCTTTGTGGCCTCCCCTTGACTTGCTCCAACATCTCATGTCCTTATGCTGGGACGCCAGAACTGCACAGAGAGAGTTCTCCTTTCCAGAGCCTTTTGGAAACACAAACCCCACAAAACCAACGCTGTTTCTTTGGGAAGAGTCCTCAGACTGAGTTGGAGCTCAGCCTTTGAAGACCTGGCAGCCATGGCAGCCTGCCTGAATTTCAGTCAGTCTTATCTGATCCCCCTGCCCTGAGCAGCCTGAGCAGAAAGTTCAGCCTTTGATGTTAAGTAGATCCAACAACAGGGACCACCAAGGTCATCTGAAAGACAAATTAGGAGAGACAAAGTTGATGTTACCCACCTGCAACCTGTTGGTCAGAATGATGTTGGGGTACATGGCCCCCACGTCTAGATGGTAGATAAGGGGACACTCAATTCTGTTTGGAACTTCCTTCAGGGAATTCAGTTTGACCTTGATTTCATCACAGACCTGTGGCAAGACAAAAAGACCACCTGTACTGCAGGCTCTAGGTTGGATCTCCAAGGTAGGCTCTATTGGTAGGGGCATGTGGAAGGTGAAAGCAACTATTTCCTAAAGGTTACTTGGCCAAGGACCTTTCCAGTGCAAGTGGGTTAATGCAGAAAACAGCAAAGATAGAAGTCCCCAGTAACTAACTGATGATGTCCTCCAGGAAACTGCAAACTCAGCTTTGGAGAGGGGTGACCTGTACTCTGTAGCTGATAAAAAGCAGGGAACAAGAGGAGCACAAGTATTTGGGCTATCTGAGCAGGTCAGTCTTCTCACTAAATCCCTTCCCACATCTCTCACAGCTTTGCTCCTTTTTGACCTGCAAAAGGGAAAGCAGGAACTGTGTCCTCCAGCTGGGGTAGAGACCCCACATTCCCAGGCTGGGCTCCAGCAGCTGGGCAAGGGAATTCCTGGCTCAGGCTGTTGGAAGCTGTGGCTGCTTATAACATCCCTTAACACCATCTACTCTGCCCATAGATGGGCTTCTTGGTCCTTCCCTGTAGAGCATAAAGTGACCCCAAACCAGCACTTTCAAGCTGCCAAGCCCAGTGTGCCACAGGTGACAGACCTCCTGGAAGTTGGTGACCTGATCCAGTGGCAGACCCTCCTCATCCTCGATGGCATGCCGCAGCGTCTTCTCCACGTGCTGCACCAGGAAGTCGAAGGCAGCAGGATTCTGCAGGAGTGTGGGACCACACTGAGACCATGGGAGCCATCCCTGGCTGCAGCCTGGCAGCTCCTGCCCTGCTGCCTGTGTCCCTGCCTGACCTGAGCAGCTCCAGGCTTGGCCCTGCAGCACAGGGCAGCATACTGAGACACGGGCAGGTGCAAAAAGGGAATGAAGGGAAGAGACAAGGACAACTGCAGCCAGTTGCATTTGGTTGTGCAGCACCTCTCATGGTCACACCCTCCAAATAGCTAGACTGAGTGCAGATCCTTTTATACACAGTGGACGATCCCCTGCAATCATTCACTACATGATACTCATCAAAATGGACTGCACTAAGTGTGATGCATCACATGGCAGAGTGAAGCTGCGTCTGGAACCTGTGAGCACAATACAGGCATGAAGCAGGGCAGGGAGAGGTGATGGTGATAACAGGGTGCACCAGAAACAGGTGAATGATGCTCAGGAAGGGCTCAGAAGAAACTTTGGGTGGGAGAAGGACAGAGGACAGGACACCAAAGGGGGCAGAGGCATAACTTCCAAGCACCACTGGCTCAAAACCAAACCCAAAACCCCACGTCACCATTTTCCCTTGCTGTCAACAAGGTTTGGCTTGCTTCCAGCATGTGACACATATGACACTTCCTCTCCCATTGAAGCACAGGTGGACAGTTGGAAGCCTCTTCCTATCCCTCCCCAGCCCAGCTCCATACAGCTTCAGGTGCTTAAGGCTTCCTGAAGTATGACAGGCACTGCCCAGGGACACACAGGAGACCTTAACACCAGCAGAGGGCTATTCCTCACCATGACCCTCCGCGAGGACACGGGTGGGCAGCACCTAACCCTAACCCTAACCCTAACCCATACCATTCTGAAGCGGCAGGGGATGTCACTGCGGAACACCCCCGACTCCAGAGCTTCCACGTGGCCTCCCACGTATGTCTCTGAGTCCAGCACGTGGCCATCTTCTGTAAGCTTGTTGAATTCCTGCTCCTGCTTGTTGGGGAAGATGATGTTGGCATGATAGGCCTGAACCATCAGCAGTGCCTCACACAGTGTCCCAGATCCTTTTCTTAACACCTAAAGGACATTAAAGCCAGTTTTAAACTCAAAAGAATTACTTTAAGTAAGGAAGAAATTATTTACTTATCAGGGTGGAATATGCTCCAGAGAGAAGATGCGGATGCCCCATCCCTTCCAGTTCAAGGCCAGGTTAGATGCAGCTTTCAGCAACCTGATCTGCCTTCCCAATGACAGCAGTGTTGGACTACGTGATCTTGGAAGGTCCCTTCCAATCCAAACCATATTGTGATTCAGCAAGAAGGGACAGAGGGGCACTTCCTACATGATTAGCACTAACAGCTTCCTAACCATCCCCCCTACAGCTGACGGCAGTCATCAGGAGACCCAACTTTGCATGACCACAACTGCAAGTAAACTTGGCTGAGCATGGAGCATCACCCACACTTTCTTGCTGCAGACCTGTATTGCCAACCCTCAGACCTGTACTGCCAACCCTCAGATCTCTTGTGTTTTGGCACCTCTCTCAAACCCCCCTAGGGCTGTGGAGAAAAAGGAATAACCTCCAAATCCACTCTCCCTCCCTCCCTAACATAGATGGGAAAGTGCCCTGGCAGAGGGAATCAGGTCCATGGCCAGAGCATCCCTGCAGCATGGGAGATGTTTGCTTTGCTGGCTGCAGAGCCACATTTCAGGAATGCACCTACCTCATCTGGCTCCATGGGAATGATGGTGCACAAGGCAAAAATGAAAGGATGCACGTACTTCATATACATGTAATAGGTAGCAACTGCATCGGACACTGAATAGGTGGCCAGGGTCTGTCAAAGAAGGGTGACAGGCAAATCAATCACAATCACGTGGATAGAGCAGCTCAGTGACAACATCTTGCACTGCTTGGACACACTTGTACGAGTGGGAAGAGGGGAAAGGTGTATTTCCCCATCTCTTAGGTAGTAAAGAATAATCTGTTCACTTCCGAGGACATCCTGCTCTAGCTCTGGTTAGACCATCACATGTCAGCTTCAAATAATAAGAAATGAGGAGAATGAGCCCATGACACAGATGTTGCCTTCTTTGGGAATCAGGAGGCTGCACCAGAGCTTCAGCAGAAATCCCCTGCCCACAACACCTGGACACTAAGCCTCGTTCTTGTCCCCCTTCAGAAAGTCATGGCCCTTTGTGGTGCCTGTAAGTGTTTGTGCCACCTCCCATCGGCATAAACAAACACAGAGAATGCACTGTGCAATGCCAGTGCTACAACCGCTTCAAAGAAACCCTGCTCTTTCTCCCCACAAACTCGAGGAGGCATCAGCAATCTGGGGAGACAGAGGGAGTTAATTTCTCAGAATGACTGCATTAAGCAAGAACATTTTGAAACCCTTTAAGTTAGATTCAATCATATTGCAGCTACTCTGAGAAAGAGTGGCTAGGCTAAGAAAGTTGGGGCTGTTCAGCCTTGGAGAAGAGAAGGCTGCGTGGAGACCTCTGAGCAGCCTTCCAGTATCTGAAGGGGGGATATAGGGATGCTGGGGAGGGGCTCTTCATTAGGGACTGTAGTGACAGGACAAGGGGTAATGGGTTCAAACTTATACAGGGGAGGTTTAGATTGGATATAAGGAGGAAATTCTTTCCTGTTAGGGAGGTGAGGCACTGGAATGGGTTGCTCAGGGAGGCTGTGAATGCTCCATCCCTGGCAGTGTTCAAGGCCAGGTTGGACAGAGCCTTGGGTGAAATGGTTTAATGTGAGGTGTCCCTGCCCATGGCAGGGGGGTTGGAACTGGATGAACTTAAGGTCCTTTCCAACCCAAACTGTTCTATGATTCTGTGATACTCTACACTTCTTTTCCAATTGCTCAGAGGAGATACAGCACAGAGAGGCAATACCTGAGGCTCCTCGGTAGCCATTCGGCACATCTCTTCAGGGTCCAGCTCCACTGGATCATAACCCAGTTTTGCTTTAGCTGCTGCTTTCAGGTTGTGACTTCCCACTGGGAGGTAACTGTCCCTCTTCACCCACCTGGACAGAATTATGCAAACGGCAGTTTGTGCAGAGGAACCAACTCTGCCCTTCAGAAAGGGCCTCAGGCCTCCAAATGGGATCTTGACTGCAAAGGGGACGTCTCTCCAAGGACAGACGGGAGCCCAGCATCCAAGTGTGAGAGGCTGCCCAGCTTTAGGTATCCTGCACTTCCACCAATGCACTTGAGTTCCAACCAGGACAAACTCCACTATCCATACCATCACCACTGCTCAAAATTACCACCTTCCAACCCCCTCAGGTACCTTTATACTAAACATTTAACCATGGAGATGCCAGCAGAACTGCAGCTGGAGATGCTTGCAGAACAAGCAGCCGCTCGCCAAAGTCCAGCCACTGCTCCAGGGGAAGAAACCCACATAAACCCCAACTTCTTTCTCACATGCATGCACACACGCATCCTTTCCTCTTCTGTCTCTGCCTGGAGGCTACTGGCTTAGGACACGGTCCCTTCCCCACTCCAATGGCCTGATCCTATCCCACCCTTTCCCTGCTCCCTCAAATCAGAACTCAAACACCCAAGGACAGTCACCAGCAGGATGCAGGGAGAGAGACAGCTCCAAGAGCCCTTCATGGGGAAGGCTTGGCAGCTTCTGTGGTATGCAGAGTGCCAAGGAGAAGCAGCACAAAGAAATGGACTATCACACCAGCCTCGGGAGGTGCAACAGACGACAGCTTCCAACAGGCAGCAGGGCAGTATTCAAATGCAACTGTAGGTTTTTTACATAAACTCAAGAGAAAGATGCAGGGTACGGGGTAAAAAGGCAGCATTTGATACCTTAGACAGTCCATGTGGATGCACTGGGATGCTTTGTATTCTCCCTGGCTGTCCTTTTGAAACCCGATTTCCTGGTACATATTAATTCCATGCACTGTTGCTCTTGCTTCCACAAAGGGCCTGGGGAAAGAGGCAGCACAAAGAGTAGGAGCAGAACAATCATTTCCCTTCAGCTTTGACAACGGTTTCACAGCTGCTTTGTTACCAACTACCTAAAGAATTTTCCTTCCATTTATCTGTGGTATCTGGTTATGGGGAAAACTTCCCCCAGGGCAGAACTGCTGCTGACCCAAAGGCAACGCTGCTCCTTGCAGCCTGCACCAGGACCTTTCCCCTTGCTTCCCAATGGCTTGCCTGCACTCCTCTCTCCAGTATCCTCCTGGTGACCCTCTCCCTGCTCTCCCAAGACAGAGCTCATCCACACACCAACACTGCCACATGGACAATGGCTTTAAAGCAGCAAAACCAAGCAGATGGGACTCTATGAAAGTTCATACTTTCCAAGCCAGCAGGCACAGGATTTCCTGAGGTGTTCAAACTAGCCAGAGTTGGCATGGATCACACGCTATCACCAACTACTGTGTGAGCTATGGAAGGATGTCAAGCCTGCCCCACAGCTCAGGTGACACCCTACCAGCTGAGTTTTCACTCCTCATCTTACCAGTCAAAGAAGTCTCCGTTGTATGTGACAATGATGTTTGGTTTCGTCTCCTGGATATGTTCAAACCATCTCTGGATTAAATGAGCCTAGGATAAAACAGAAGAGTAGAAAAGATATATACTTATAAAGTAGCTTCATCTCCTCCATGGAGAGGTGGTGGATTCCTTCCAGCTTCTCCCACCCTTCCCCTCTCTTCCTCACATAGCCCAAACCTGACCTCTTATCCTTTTTGCCAAGAAATCAAAGCACGACCAGCCCTGCTCAACCAACCACGTTCCCCAGAGAAGCAGCCCACCAAGCTCTTAGCTCTTGCTGAACAAGAGCCCCCTTACCAGGCAGGTAACATGTTAGCTGGGCACAACTGACTTACTTCATCTGGTTCATTAAAGACACAAAACTGCCCCTCATACTCTGGCTTGGGAGTAAACTCGAAGTCTTCGATATCCTCAGAGACGATCTCCCTGTTGGTGATGAGGTAGCCCTGGAGAGGTGACAAAGAGGAAGTCAGCTCAACCTGGCCTGCAGACAAGCCAAAAACGCTGTCCAAATGACGGAACATTTTGCCTCTTGAAAGACAGAGCTTCTGACAAGGGTCAACAACTGTTTGGGAGTTATCTGCTGAACCATCGCTGGCCATCGGCTAAAGAAGGCCACAGGGAGACAACATGGGACAGCAGAGTTGTCCCTGTGCTCTCCAGGTCCCCCAGAGGAGCCCCAGCAGCCTGACCTGGGTACCACAAAACTAAATATCTCATGCATCATTCAGATGTTAATTTCATCTCCACAGCCACACACCAAACAGCCAGCAACAAGACAAGCCTGGAGTGGGCTGGGTTAGAAGGGGAAACATTGGCCTATTCCCCAGCTCTTCTGCTGGAGCATGGAGGAAACCACTTTGCTGTCCCTTACCTGCCCATCAATCATGTAGGAGATCATCATGATCTGGTCTGTCTCTGCATCGGGAAACTTCAGAGGGAGTTTGGTAGTTTCAATGTCAAAGGCAAGAACGACAGGATCCTGAGCAGGACCAAATCCATTAGAGAAACATTCTAAAGCTGACTTGAAGTTCAGCACAACTCCCATTCCAGCAAGTGAACCAGACTCTCCCCAGTAATCATTTTACTGCTTTAACAACCCAAAATCCCTACCCAAGACCAGAAACAGGGTTTCCCCCTGCCAGCACAGCGTGACACCCGCAGCTCCTCGGGAAAGACCTGGCTCTGCACCCGAACAGACGGACGCTTGCCCAACCAAACCCATCCTACCCCAACCCATCTCAGCCCAATCCGCGCTCACCGGGCGCTCCACGAGGTCGTCTCGGCGGGTGATTTCAGGGGGGTAGGTGCTGCCCCGGTACCGCACGTTGTACCAGTGAGCCTGTTGGGAGGAGAGGGCGGGCAGTGTGACCACAGGGCCAGCTCCGTGGGTCACTGCTGTTCAGCTGCTGGGGACAGACCTGCACAAGTTTAAATGCAGCCCAGCAGAAAGGCTCAAACTGGGGCTGTGCATCAGTCATTTAACTCTGCTGCACGGCAGTAACTAAGGGAAAGGCCCAGCAGTAGGGGACTAAGCTTTACACATGAACTCGTGGTCCCCAACACCTTTGCAAAGCTCATGGACAGAAAGTGTTTCTCCCTGGCACACACTTCAGGAGCACAGAAGCACTTCCAGCTTCCCTATTCCTTACTCACCACATGGATCTTCAGGTCAATGGACAGGCGCACATGGTAGGGCACATCGTATTCCCGCATATCCAGGATATTGTCCATCTGGTTGGCCACCTTCCTGGAGGCTCCGTCTTCATCCGTGGTCAGGATGCCTCCACTCAGAGCGCTGCAAGGAGCAGAGCAAAGCAGCTGCTTTACCCGAGTGCACATCCCCACAGCCTTGGCCTCAGGTGACAGCCACATGGCACTGGTGACACCCAACAGGAGTCAGAGACAGGAGAGAACAGGAAACACTTCTCCACTATGCAGCCCCCTCTGCTTGCAGGACAGGAGCAAGCGCAGCCCTGTTGCTCCCATCTAAATTCACTTTTCTTTACGTTTCTAAGCTGTGTCTGCTCACAGGTATAGGCAGACAAACCCCACGTGTGCCTGTAGAATGAACAGTTCTTATGGCACTGGATTGATAACTGAGATAATGAGTCTAAGAAGGCAACATGGGAAGGGCTTGGAAGAGGGACGGTACAACTTCCAGGTGAGCAAGGGGCACTCATCTCACCTGATTCTCTCTAAAGTTTCAACTAAGATCAGACTTCAGGGGCAGGAGCCCAAAGAGAGGGTGAAGTTTGCATATTTCTAAACTAGGTGGCTTTAGGAAAAAAAAAAAAACAGGTTTTGGGGCTTTTTTCTGGGTCTTTTTTTCTGCCTGCAACTGTGCTCCCAACCTTGCAAACAAGCTCCTGCTTTTCATTCAGGCAGAGCATGTTGGCTGGGGCTTTCTTCCCTTTAGTCACTGCCAGAAGTAAGGCTGCCCAATGCCTCTGAGTATCCCTTCTCAGGAGACAGGGTATCTATGTGCCTGGCAGGCAGAGGTACCACCACAGCACATCACATCCCTGAGGCTCTGGGGCCTCTGGTGCAGCAGTGAGCTCGAAGAACCACCTCAGAGAAGGGTGGTATAACTGGGGACAGACCCGGGCAGGACAACAGCTCCCTGGGGGCAGCTAAGAAATAATAAAGGGAGCCTAGTTATTAACATGAGAGGCCCTCAGGAGAGCTCCCACCTTGACAGCATGGCCGTGTAGACATCGCTCGCCTGGTCCCGCTCTCTGTTTTTCCTCACGGCAGGAGAGATCTCCTTCCGCACCTTTACCAAGTCATCCACCGTGTTGAAGGACAGCTTGATGTAGTTCCTCTTCAGACCCACCAAGTGGTTTGGCTGCAAAGCAGCAAGACAATGCCAGCTCAGGGGGATGAGTACTGCCATCCTTGGAGACATTCAAGGCCAGGCTGGATGTGGCTCTGAGCAACCAAATCTAGCTGAAGGTGTCCCTGCTCCTTGCAGGGGTTTGGACTAGATGACCTTTGAAAGTCCTTTCCAACCCAAACACTTCCATGTTTCTATATAAGAGGGGGGGAGGGCATACTAGACTGACACAGGTGACAGAATTGGCCAAAAAAACAGACACAAAAGAGGTGTCAATGGGTGGGAGAGTCAAGCACCGAGAAGAGACATCAGGGAAGAGTGCAGGAGCTGCAAGAGCAAGGACACAGCCAGCCCTGCTGCCGATGCAGGCAGGACCCCACAGGATCCACGGGGGGAAGAGGAAGAAGAGCAGGTCAAGCACGAGGAGCAGCTCCCTCCCACTGTAACCTTTCCTTCTCCCATTAATTCCCAAAATTGAACATCTTGAAGATGCTGTGAAATGGCTGATGTGCTCAAGGAGAAGAATGCAATGAGCCATAGCTACCCATAGCTGATAGGCACCACAGCAGCACTAGGAGACTGAAGCATGCTGTTTCCCTTCACTCAGTCCCTTCCTACTTCACTAGAGATGTGCAATGTCCAAAAACACCACTAGAGTAGAGAGGGCAGAGGAATACAGACCAGGTCCAAGTCTTCTTTGGGGACAGTTTCCAGCCTTGCAATCTTCCCTTGGAACTTCTTGGAGAGGAAGGAGGACACTTCTTGCTCGCAGCCCTGCCAAGACACACCCAGGGCTGAGCAGTCCACTGTCCCTTGGGAGATCATCCCAAAGTTGGATGTCCAGGACGTCTCGAGCTCCCTAGGGGCCTGCTGTCCCCTTTCCTGGATACCTCAGCCCTCCCAGGGTCCCCTCCTCACCTTCTGAGTGGCGATGTAGAAGTAAGGCTTGTAGGGCAGGGCCACCTAGGAGAGACAAGAGCGGTGACGGCAACAAGGAGATCTCCACTCAGGAGATCCCGTGTCCCACCCGGACCCCCGGGGAACCCACCTTGAAGCGGCTCCCGTCCTCCTGGATGAAGTAATAGTCCACAGCGCTCACCGACCGCCGGTTCTCATCCAGCACCTCCGTCTGCTCAGGGCACCATGGACTCAGCAAGGGGCCTCCGTGAGGCCTCCCCGACTCCCCCCCACCGGGCCCTCCCGGGGGCCTCCTCCCCATGCCCCATGGGTTGGCTGCTCTCCCCGCGCCCCGCCGCTCCATACCGGGTGCATGTTGATGAGCCAGCCCGTCCGCTCGCCGGGCTCCGCTGGCCGCTCGAAGCCGAAGAGCGCGTCCAGCCGGTCGGTGCGCTGCGATCGCTCCAGGCGCTTGAGAGCGGACAGCGCGGGGCCATCGTCCCTGCCAGCCGCCGCGCCCTCAGCCCCCGCCGCAGGCCTCCAGGGCCCGCCAGGCCGCCGGCCCCTCCGCCCTCCCTCGGGGTCTCCGCCGCCCCCCAGCACCATCACGATCCGGGCCGGGCCCACCAGCCCCAAACAGCCACCGCGGGAAGAATTTCCCGCGCTAGGCCCTGTTCCCGCGAGAGAGAGCTCCCCCGCCCCGCCCCTCGGAGAGACAACCAATCAGAAAGACGGCACCTCCCACCGATGCGGGGTGGTGCGCCCCGCCACGCCCCCGGTGCTGGCCGTTTCCCGGGCAGGAGAGTTAACGGCGTGGCCGCGCTCGCCCCCTCCGCCTGGCCGCTGGACCCCAGGGAATCGCGATCCTACCCAGGCCGGGGGCTGCGGATTCCCCGTGCAGCGGAGCTGAGCGCTTGTCCCGGGGACACGCACACAAGGACACGGGACACACGCACGGACACCCGGGAACCGGACACCCGGGAACCGGACACACGGGAACCGGACACCCGGGAACCGGACACCCGGGAACCGGACACCCGGGAACCGGACACACGGGCGGCCGCCGGCTGCTGCGGGGCTGTCAGCACCCACACACCCGACTCACCTCACACACCAGTACCGTGCCCGCCGCCTCTGGGGTGGCAGAGGCAGGAGGTCACTGGTGTCACACAAGTGTCACAGAACCAGCCAGGCTGGAAGAGCCCTTTAAGCTCATCCAGTGCAACCCTTCCCAGCACCTTCCCAGCTCAGGGTTCCCCTGAGCACCAGCACATCCGCTCAGTTTCCCTGGTCCCCCTGCCTGCATCCCAGCCCTCCCACCCGCCAGGGGTCCTGGGCTCACCACCTGGTCCAGCCTGAATTTCCCTGGTGAATGCACAACTTCCCCCACACCCAGTTTTGGGGGGGGACACTCTGGTACCAGACACACGGGCTGTGACACGCGATCCAGCTCCAGCTGCACAGAACCACTCATTTGCATTACGCTGGTCCCCTCCAGTAGCGAGTTTTGGGGATACCATTCCCACCCCGTGGCCGGAGGTAAAAGACCCCCTTCCCCCTGCAGCAGGTGCCACCAAATCCCCCGATGCACACCCAGGTCTCCCCAGTAGGTGGCATCTGGTCCTTGCAGAACCCACTCAAACTCGGACCTCAGAGCGAGATGATGCAGAGAAATGATTACAAAAACGTTTAATATGAAAATATAAAAAGCCAGGACAGACTGTGGTGACCTGCACAGGGCTCAGCCTGGTTCATAACCAAATGGCCCCTTTTAAAACACCTTTCTGCTTCACCCCACTTTGTTCTTCCTGGTTCCCCTTCCCATCTGCATGGGTCCATTCCTGCACCCCTCCCAGCCCGTGTCCAAGTGTTGAGTCAGACTTTGCCTGAAGATGCATGAACCTGAATCATAGAATCATGGAATGGGTTGGGTTGGGAGGGACCTTACAGCTCATCCAGTCCCAATGCCCTGCCATGGGCAGGGACACCTTCCACTAGAGCAGCTTCCTCAAGAATCTCTTGTGTTATTTTCTATGGCTCCTTTGAGAGGGGCTCCTTCACCTCCCAGCAGCTGCATGGCGCTTCTGGAGAGGTATGGCCCTGACTCAGGGGAGCAGACAGATCCAAGGCACTGGCACTGGATTTGGAACCAAGGTCTCTTGCTCCAGCAGCTTCTCACCAGTAGCTGTCATGTCCACTGCTGGCAACAGAATCAGCCAAGTAACGCAGGCCTGGGACCAGGAAGCTCAGAGGGATCATTGCATTTTCCATTGTAACACTGGGATTCCGCACTTTAACTGCCCTTCCATTGCTCCCCTAAGCTGAGCAACGGGAGCAAAAGCAGTTCTGCTTTTCCAGGCCTAGCTGGAATTCTCCAGATCTGCAATGAGATATGGGTCTTTCAAACGGAGGATCTGGTAGAGCTGTTCCTGGGCCTCCAGACCCTTCTTCTCAATCAGATCCAGCAAAATGAGGTTCCTTGTTACACTCTTGTTTTGACTTTGCAGCTCCTCTTCCTCATCACTATTGATGACGTTTGCATTCCGCAAGTGCGGCAGAATGGTGAGCTGCCTCATCCTGGAGCAAAGTTTGGCCTTGTGCTTCTTCAGGAATGCTCCACCTAGCAGAGACCGAGCCTCCATTACTGTGCTGCAGCAGCCGGGTGCTGTGCTGCTGTATGTGGCATCCAAAGCCAGCAGGCACCACGGCTGTGCACTCTGTCCCACAGCCATGCGGCTCCATCCCTCCAGCAACTAGGATGGGCACCAGCTGCAACAGCAGTGGGAGCACTGGAAGCAGGGCAAGGAAGGAGGAACCAGCAGTGGGAACACTGGAAGCAGGGCAAGGAAGGAGGAACCAGCAATGGGAACACTGGAAGCAGGGCAAGGAAGGAGGAACCAGCAGTGGGAACACTGGAAGCAGGGCAAGGAAGGAGGAACCAGCAATAGGAACACTGGAAGCAGGGGAAGGAAGGAGGAACCAGCAATAGGAACACTGGAAGCAGGGGAAGGAAGGAGGAACCAGCAATGGGAACACTGGAAGCAGGGCAAGGAAGGAGGAACCAGTGGTGGGAGCGCTGGAAGCAGGACAAGGAGGGAGGGTCACCTGCCTCATGCCACTTTACCTATCTGCATGGCACAGAGTGTGCTGCCAGCAATGTGGGAACAACAGTTTGAGGTTGCAGCTTTGAAGGCTTTTTGTCTAGAAACTATCATAAGGATGGGAAGAAAGCCTGATATCTGTACTGACCTGACATGTTCATGGAGGCAACGGCAGGAGCATTAATGTCACCTGAAAATGAAAAGAGAGAGATCACTGAAAACGCCACCACTGAAATGATGGTGCCCAGTCCTCCACTGCATCTTCCTGAGGTGCCCAATCCTCCACAAAGCTCTTGGCCGTCTCTCCTACTGTTCCTGCCCATCTGTGCAGTACTCAGCTGTAGGTGTTACTCTTGGGGGTGCTGGATCAGAGCAGCAGAGAGGGGGGTCTCAAGGCATGACGAGCAGTACCGTACCCTGTGCCTGAGAGGGGCTGCCTCTCCACAGGGGACCCAGGGCTGGGTGCTGCTGCATGATGTTAATGGTGTGTGCGGTGCCTGCAGAGCTGACCCAGCCATGCAGAGATGCATGGGGAAGGCAGGATCTGGTCCATGTGGCCTTGCCTTAACCCGATGTGCTCTGGGCGTTGTGTCACACACTGGTGTCACACCCAGACAACCTGGAAGAGAAATGCTGGCTGAACATGTAGCTTTTAAAGGTAGAATCACAGAATAGTTTGGTTGGAAGGGACCTTCAAAGCTCATCCAGTCCAAGATGACTCCAAAGCTCATCCAGTACAAGAGCAGGGGCATCTTTAACTAGATCAAGTTCCCAGAATCACACCCAGCCTTGCCTTGAATGTCTCCAGGGATGGGGCATCCACCACCTTTCTGGGCAACCTGTGCCAGTGTCTCACCACCCTCATGGTAACAGATGTCTTCCTCTCATTCATCCTCAATCTCCCCTCTTTCAGTTTAGAACTGTCACCTCTCATCCTATCACAACAGAGCCTGCTAAAAAGTCTCTCCCCATCTTTCTTATATGCTCCTTTTAAGTATTGAAAGGCCACAGTATGGTCTCTCCAGAGTCTTCTCCTCTCCAGGCTGAACAACCCCAACTGCTTTAGCCTTTCCTCATTGGAGAGGTGCTCCAGCCTTTTGATGATCTGTGTGCCCATCCTCTGGACCCTCTCCAACAGGCCCATGGCTTTGCTGTACTGAGGACTGTAGATTCCAGGTGAGGTCTCCCCAGAGCAGAGCAGAGCAGAGCAGAGGGGCAGAATCACCTCCCTTGACCTGCTGCTCACACTCCTCTGGCTACAGCCCAGGATACAACTGGCCTCTGGGCTGCAAGCGCACAGTGCTGGCTCCTGTCTGACCCTTCATCCCCCAGTGCCTCCAAGTCTTTCCCCTCAGGGCTACTCTCAATCCCTCCATCCCCCAGCCTCTATCGACCCCCTGCCCCGACCCAGGAGCCAGAATCCTGCACTTGGCCTTGTTGAGCCTCATGAGGTTCAAGATACTGATTTTCACTGATGTTTACCTCCTCTGCATCGCACCGAGGTTGCACTGGGAGATCCACGGGTGTTCCTTACATTCATGGACTTATAGAAATAAGTCAGCCTTTTACATAAACAGTAGCCAAGAGAAGAGAGGCTGATAGTGCTGTCATGCTCTCCTAAGCCCCAGGCATGTGAAATTTCACATTAAATTTGAAGCTCTGGTCTGATGTATATTTGGGTGTCCTTTCAGGTCCCTATATCCTCAGTGGCCTGTTTTTGCACACACAGGCAGCGTTTGCTTTTCCTGCAGGATGCGTGGACAACTGTGACCACAAAATACATGAGGTCTCTTGGGTGATGCACCTCTGTTTTTGCTAAGATAAATGAGTTCCTAGATGGACCTGCTGTTCCTACCTGGTCTCAGCGATGCCCTCCAGACCTCAGTATTATCACGTGTGTTTATCATAAGGAGCCCAATTTCCTCTGCCATGTTCTTGATGTAGATCTCAACAAAGAGCTGCTGTTCCTTAGGACTCCTGTAACAAAATGGCAAGTGTGCCTGCAAAGACAATTAGCAAATTGAATCTCATTGTGGGGAGCTGCAGTGAATTCACAGACGTCATCCTGTGTTTCCTGGCTATACCAGCAAGAGAAAAGAGAAGGGAAGATGCATATGTCAGGGCTCTGTTATGCTGTCAGTAGCACTAATTTGGGTTGGAAAAGACCTCTGGAGCATCTTCTCTAATCTACCTCCCAAAGATGGACTGATGTCCAGTCTAGATGTGCTGAGAAAGGGCTTTGTCTAGCTGAGCACTGAAAACCCCAGGATGCAGGGATGTAGCACCTTCTAACCTGCTCTGGTGGCTGCATCTCCACCGGGTAATACGTTTTTCCCAACATTCAGCCTGAACTTCCCAGGTTGCAAGTTATGGCTTCTACTGCTTTTACCTGACACTGCCAAGAGCACGGCTCTGTCATCTTTCAAACTGCTCTCTGGGGCCTTGGGATGTGCTCTGCAGTCTTTCTGGGGATGTATATCATGAAGTGTCTTTGCCACTTGGAAGCAGTACAGCTCCCTGCACCCCTGCCTCTGAGACCAAGCAAGACAGGTTCTGGCAGCAGAGTATGGCTGAAGACAGAGCCTTCTGGCATCTTCTAACTCACTGGGGGGAAAAAAGGCAGGGAGGGAACAATTCCACTTACATCAGGTGTTATCACCACCAAATCTGTACTGGTCACCTGGTAAATGCAGCCAAAGAACAGAGGGCTGAATGGAGGAGGCTTGGGAATAAGCTTTGAATTCCAATCCTTTTCTTGGTTTTCTATGGCCTGTAAACATCAAGCATGGCTTTTGAGAGAGAAAAGAAGAACACCAGAAGGGCTGTGACCTGGAGCTGGTCCTGGGGAATCCATGAAGAGATTGACCAAGTCAGAACAGACCAGCGGGTGTGTGTCACGGGCAGTGCTGTGCTTCAGGAGCTAGGCAGCTCCTGCTCCCGTGTGCAGGCAGGAACATGGGCAAGGTGATGCAATGTCTCTGTGACACAGGGTAGGGGCTTGCAGGCAGCAGAAAACCTGGTGAGCAGCCACCTAGTGCTGTGCCTGGCAGTGGCCCCGAGTCCTACACCTGCTCCGTGTTGCAGAGCATCCTGTGCCATGACTTTGCTTGTGCTAGGACATGCTGCCCCAGCCAAAAGCACGGACAGTGATTCCTGGAGGTGTTTGTGAAAGGAAGTGGGGTAGGCAGGAGCAAGGATGCTGTCCTGCAGGGGGAGATGGGGGCTGTGTGTGAATCAGAGGCAGCAAACCTGGGAGGCATCTCTGCTTATCAAATCCAGCCCCTTCTACCGCAGCCATACAGATGTCATCCTTTTGTAACCCAGTCAAGCTCCCTCTGTCTTACCTGCTTCACAGAGTTGTCGTCTGGGATCAGGTAGAGGTGAAAAGTTGTATTTGCAGCCCTGAGCTGCTGGTAGATCAGCACCAAAGAATGCATAGGAATTGAATACAAGGCTGACCGTATCTTCCTCCAAAGCACCCCAATCAGCGAGAAGCTGGGATTCTTCAGGACAGCAGAGAATACAGCCACCCTGGTTGGTCTCTCCAGGAACATGTTCTCAAATTTAAAATGGGCAATGCAGCATAGGTTGGTGTCTATGCCTTCTGTGAGAGACAGCAAAGGCAACAAGGCTCTGTTTAGTTGTTCTGGCACCCTCTTAGGCTGTCGGGCTTGAGCAACAGAAAGGGGGCATGCACGCACACACGATGACACGCTCTGCTTTTAGTCCCAGGTGTGCCCTGGGCTTTTGGGCTTTGGCAGGGAGCTGCAGGCCCAGAAACCTGCAGGTCTGAGCTCTAACAACAGCTCTTGGCTCTGCAGGGCTGTGTCAGAGGGGAGTGCATAGAGCCACTGTCTGGCTGACACGGCTGTGCCTGCAGGCGCTGACTGGGAGATGGAGCCAGACAAGAAGCTCTTTTTGCAGCTTATTCTTTTTCAGAAGAGGACATGGATTTGCCACAGGAGTCTCGTTCAGCACAGCCATGCCTGTGTCAGGGCCACAGAGGGAGGATTGGGACTCCTCTGCACACTCAGGTGCTGATGATCCTTCTCCACTCATTAGCAGTGCCTTGGTAAGAGCACTGCAGGGCAGAGGACCCAGATCCAAGCCCTGCGACTCCTCATTGTTGCTCAGGGAAAATAGACAATTCCATTCCACTTCCTCTTCTGCCTGGGCCAGGTCTGACCTACTGCATCCTACCGCGGAGTGGTCCAGCCTCTCCTCCCTGGTGGAGCAGAGCAGGGGCAACCATTGCCATCCACAGCTGCCATAATGCAAAGAGCTGAGGAGCTGCTTGGGGAGCCTGGGGTAGTGCCCTGGTGGGGTCATCAGTGGGAGGAAAGGGTGGGTGAGGAGACACTGGTGGTGAGGGGCTGGAGCTGGTGAAGGACCACTGGGGAAAGGCTTGGTAGAAGATGAGAGAAGGAGGAAGGATTCCAAAGCAAAGCAGAGGAATACAAAGGAGTACAGGGAATCTCAGAGGGAAGAGAGAATTTGGCTCTTTCTGAGGAGATGTCCTGGGGGACACAGGCAGGGGGGTGGTACATTGGGATGCCCAGGTCCCTGTGGCTGCTGTACCTGAGAAGCAGAGGAAGTGGGGGAGATGCACCTCCTGCACGACGCTGGGCTGCACCTTGATGTGGAAGAGGGGTCCAGCAGGAACCAACATTTCCTCATAGGCCTTGCTGAGGTGTCTGCTCCAGGTGGCATATCTGTAGGTGATGGTCACTGCTGACTTCACCTTAAAGCCAAGGCCTGTGATGGAGCACTGGAAGATGCCTGCACCAGGGAGGTGAGCTCTGTAGGTGGAAGGGATGACAGGATCATGCCACCAGGGATGGGGCTTTTGGAAATGCTCTGTGTTTCCCCCATAGCACTTACTGGTACATGATTCTGTGCTTCAAAGGCTCTTGGATTATCTTTGGCATCACTTGTGGAAGATCCTGCAACACAAGTGTGGACAGTTTGGGTCTGAATGGGGTGTTGGGCCGGGATTGACAGTGAAGCACGGTGCAGCTTGGAGTGGGAGCTCAGTGCCTGTGCCTGGTGCCTGGAAAGGCATTGCTCCTATCAGTGACAAGTCCAAAAAAATCAGTAACTGGCAACCCCTCTGCTCTGGGGTCCAAAAGGAGCACTGGCCACTTCTGAGCCGTGTGACCCCTTTAATGCATTCAGATCCCTGCAGCAGTGCCCAAGAGAGATCACAGCCCCACCTGGGTAGATGCCGCTGGGCTGAGGAAGGCATGGGCTAGTCCATGCATCCCCCATGCAGCAGTAGGACACACAGCTCCCAGAGCTCCAAATGATGTGTTTCACCCACTGAGTTTTAGGAAGCATTTTGCAAATGGAACTTTAGGATAGGAAAGTTGCTGTTTCCTGAGAGAAACTGTGTGCTGCTGCCTTCCTTGTGAGTAAATCTGGGCTATTCCCTCTCTGCCATCATCTATCAGCAGAGAGGACTGTGGCCACGGGCAGCTGGGATGTTTAGCAGTGAGAATAGATACAGGATGTAAGCAAGTGGGATTTGTCTTCCTGCAAACTTGGAAACTGGGGCAGCGTGTGGTGGGTTAGCACAGGAAACGGGGCCGGACTCTCCTGGGGGGTGAGGAATTGCTGTGAGTAACGGGTTGTGAAGGTGCACCTGGTGACAGGCAGGTCAGTGCCTGGCTCCTTCTGTCCCACTTCCCGCTGGTGTGACCTGCAAAGCCCTTACCTCTCTGATGCAGCTGCAGCAGTTTCCCTGCAGTGGTGGGTCTGGGTCTGGGTCCGGCTCCAGCTCTTCATCGCTCTGCTGCAGAGGGAAACACAGAGAAAAGCACTTGCATGCTGTATTTGTCTCCTCCAGCCGTGCTTGCTGCTGAAGGAGAGGTCTGAGAACATGAGCAACATCCCCAGTGCCAGCTAATGCCAGCCCTGCTCCCACCTCCTGCAGGGAGGAAACAGGCTGATACCTGAGCTGTGCCCTCCTGGCCCATGAGCTCCATCTCCTGGGCCTGAGGGCAGCACCCACCAGCTCCTGACACCCAGTGGAGTAGGGATGGGCAGCCCTGGAGCCCCCAGCCTGTGCCTTGCTCCCCATTCCCGCATGCTCCTCACCCAGCCTTGGGCAGGACCTCACCTCTGAGCTCCCCGAGGCTTCATCTCTCAGAGGTCTGTAACGGCTTGCCACGCGCCTCCTTACGGCTGGAAGGACAGGAGGATGTTGTCAGTTTTGCCTCATGTTTGGGAGAAGAAGGCATCCTCAAGTAGCCTTCACGCCGCCTTCCCAAGCCCATCATCCACACTGGTCCCCTCAAGTACCATCACATGCTCCCACATCTACTGCATTTTTCACGTCCTCCTCCCCAAACCGTGGCAGGGACATGCTCAGCACAAGGCAGTGAGTTGAGGTGTTATGCTCACCACTGTGCAGCTCCACCAAGCTGTCAGTGAGGACCTGGGCATGACCTTACCTGAAAATTCAGGATCCAGATCTTCATTATAACCTTGCATTGCAACTGCAACAGAAAGCAGAGGAGATCCCAGGACCAACATCATGTCCAGAGGGGTTTCCTATCTGCTCCTCCTCCCCCTCTTCATGTCTTTACTATCAAACCTTTTCCTGCTTGTTTGTGCCTGTCCGTGTGGCCAAAAACGCCCTCCCAGCCTCTTTATCACTCCCCATTGGCGCACAGAGAGCAGATCAGCTCAGCTTCCAGGAGCAGAGACCTTCTCTGTCCTGGCCTCCTCCTCCATAGGGGCATTCCTGAGCCTCTGCCTTCCTCTCACCTCCCAGTGCCTGTGTGTGATGGCAGCTCCCTGGTGCACAGAGAGAAGCAGCCTTGCCCCTTCCTTCCTGCCTGTTGTCCTGATAAGGTCCCTCCACTGCCTGCACACAGATCACCTCCATCCCCAGGCCACCCTGCACTTACACCTTAGGTTACAGTACAGAAGGCAGTTGGGTTTGATTTCACAGCGTCAGGTTGTCCTCCATCTGTTTTAATTACAGAACAACTTCTTACATTCTGGGGCCATGATGGAGTCCTATGCATTCATCTTGACTGTAAGCTCCTACGGAGCCATCCAGAGACACTGCCACTGAAAGCGTTTTGCCCCACGAAGTCTTAATGGAGACACTAAACTGGTTGAACTCACCAGGGCGGCGGGTGAAGGACCCAGCACCCTCCTTGGGGTCTCTCTCAGCCATCACAAAACTCCAAGGCTCCTTGCTTCCTCGCAAGATCCTGGCTTCCTTGCCTCCCTACGAAACCGAAAGTGCCAGCTGACCTCAGGGCTGACCAAAGCAGCGTCATGCCTTGGCTGAGCCCTCCTCCTCCCGCTGCACCTCACTGCCTCCCTGCCTGCACTGGCTTTCCCCCCTGGGCTGCTCTGTTCATGCGACCTCTCCCTCATTACCTTCCCTTTCCCCTGCTCCCCCACCAGCTCCTCCTCTGGGATTTCCTTTCGTGGGAAGGGCAGCGGTAAAGCATTTTCCCAAGGGAATGGTGCAGCAGAGGCCTTCACCCAGCCTGGAAAGCAGGTCTGCAGATGCCAGAGGGTCCCCCACTGTTATCAGGTCACCCCAACACCTGCCCTTCCTCCCAGCCCTCCCTTTTCTGCCAGTCCTGGGTGTGCCTGGGCTCTGCCTGCCCCAGCCCGTGCTGTCCCTGAGGCAGTGGGCTGTGTGTGAGGGGGTAACGGTGCAGGGCTGCACCTCTGCGGACCTGGCAGAGAAACCCAGGGGCAGGGCAGTGCCAGTGGCATCCAGAGCTCCCTCTGCCCTGGCAAAGGGGGAACAAGGGCTTTTCAGTGACAGATGCTGTGGTCCTGACAGTGCCCAGTGTGGGAGTGGTGGAGTCAGTGCCTAGAGCCTAAGGTTGCACTGCAAGAGAGTGGTAACAGGGGTATGCACTGCCCAGTAGCTCTGTATTTATCGAGGAATCCCAGCCTGGTTTGGGTTGAAGGGACCTTAAAGCTCCTCCAGCTCCAACCCCTGCCACGAGCAGGGACCCCTTCCACTGGAGCAGCTTGCTCCAAGCCCCTGTGTCCAGCCTGGCCTTGAGCACTGCCAGGGATGGGGCAGCCACAGCTTCTCTGGGCACCCTGTGCCAGCGCCTCAGCACCCTCACAGGGAAGAGCTTCTGCCTAAGAGCTCAGCTCAGTCTCCCCTCTGGCAGGTTCAAGCCATTCCCCTTGTCCTGTCCCTACAGGCCCTTGTCCCAAGCCCCTCTCCAGGTTTCCTGCAGTCCCTTTAGGCACTGGAGCTGCTCTAAGGTCTCCCCTTCAGGAGCCTTCTCTTCTCCAGGCTGACCCAGCCCAGCTCTCTCAGCCTGGCTCCAGAGCAGGAAACCTCTTGCTCTGCTGCTTGTGCATGTGCTCAGTGCTCCACAGTCCCTCTTGCAACGCCATGGAGGCACATGGAGTGCCCGTGTCCACAGGCTCCATCCATGGATAGTGCTTTTTACCCTCAGTGAACATCACAGCTGAACAGCCCAGTTAGGCCTCTTGCTTATTTGGAGCAGTGAGCAAGTAACTAAAGCTGTGCATCAGAGGGCAGTGACCCGCCTGGACAACCTCAAGGAGTCATATCATCAGGGTGTCAGACAGCAGTGACATAAGACAATCTGTAGCCAGGTGAGACAAAACCTTTCTCTGTATCCAGAGTGGTCTCAAAGTCATGGAGAAGAAGGAAAAGGCACACAGGGGTCATAGAATGGTTCATGTCAGACGGGACATTAAAGCTCATCCAGTCCCAACCGCCTGCCACGGACAGGGACAGCTTCCACTAGAGCAGCTTGCTCCGAGCCCCGTCCAGCCTGGCCTTGAGCACTTTCAGGTTGTAAGATCTGGAATGCTAACGCTCGTGCAGACGGGGTATGCCGGGACAAGAAAACAGTTTACCGGGAGGGCAGTGATGCGCCAGGCAGCCAGGAGCGGGAGGAGATCGCTGTGTCCGAGGGGCACCGCAGACACGGGGAGTCGGGAAGCAAACGGAACACGCGGTGCGGGACGGGCCGGACGCGGGTGTTCCCCACGCTGCTCGGTGAGAGCATCCCGTGCGCTGGGAGCCGGGCCAGCGGGAACCGCGAGCCACGGGACCGGAGCCGGTGCCGTGTCCCGGGCGGAGGCCCCGCCCCGCCCCGCCCCGGCCCGCCCCGGGGGCGGCCGCGCTCCCGTCCGCCGCACCGGCCCCGGCCTCGCCGCTGCTGCCCGGGTAAGAGCCGGGGGCGGTGGAATGCTTGGTGGGGAAAATCGTGGTGCGGGGCCGCTGCCGCATCCGCACGTCCGGTCCGGTGGGGAGGGGGAGCGGGCGGTGGGAGCCGGGATACCGGGGGGTGGCGGGGTCTGCACCGCACCCGGAGGCTGCTCTGCGGGGCCGGGGCTGGGGCATGGGCGGCCGGCGGCACCGCAGCCGTGCGGCTGAGCCGATGATGTTCGCATTTCTCGAGATGCAGCAAGGGCTTAAGGCATCAGTGCAGAAACGAGCGGTCTGCGATGGGTGTCGGGGACAAGCCGCGGATCCCCCGAGCACCGGGTTTGGGGTCTTGCCCCCTCCCCAGCGTGTTCTCCAAGCTTGCTTGTCGCTGATCTGGGGGCTGTGGTTCCGTCTGAGCAAAAAGAGCCCGGGTGTCACAGCAGCGCTGGGGCACTGGCAGGATGCTACTTGCAGGTGCCTTGCTCGAGTAGCGGGGAAACGGCATTAGCAGAAGTGTGGGTGATGGCATGGTCTCCTTTGAGAGGGAACATCCAGTTCTCAGTGCTTTGGATGGAAGCTGGAATTTGGTGGTGTGTCTTAGCTGTTAGTCTTGGAAAACACTGCCACGATAAAGTCCTCTTGCACTGCTTGCAGCTTCTTGTAGGAGCACGGGTTTTTCTTGTGCAATCCTGAACGGGCGGCAATAGCGGCGAGAGGACTCTGCTGCCTGGAACAGATGGAGCATTAAAACTCCTCTGTGTTGTGAAGTGGTTTGATTTTTTCATTAGGCAGTCTACACCTGGGCAGCATGTTCAGCCTTTGCACTTTCTGCTGGCATCCCTTTGAGATCTGAACGAAATCCCATGTTTAATTACTTCCAATCCAGCTTGCAGAGGATGTGTTTGGAGGGGTGGCAATGACAGCGCTGCTGAATGAGCCTTTAACCTGGAGCTTAGAAAGTGCTGAATCAGCAGCCAGTAAAATAATTGTGGTTAACTGTAGTCTGTCACAGTGCTCCCGCTGCACTGCTCTGGAGCTGGCAGGGCACGGTGAACGGCAGCTTCAGGACTCCCTGTGCTGCTGCTGACACAAACTGCCGGTGACAAGGAGACAAGGTGAAGTGTGCCAGGACGTGGGCATCCGTGGGGCTGTGAGGCAGTCCTGGCACTTTGCAGCATGAGTTTTGCTTCTGTTCCTTGGGGCAAATTACCTGGGAAAGCCAAACCCATCTTCACTGCAGGGCGGTGCAAAGCAGCTCTCGGTGCCCACCAGGATGCAGCTGGAGAGGTGAAGGTTCAGTGGGAAGGGCTGTGCTGAGGAGGCGGCAGGGGCTGGGGGCCCTGAGGTGGCACGGTGGTGCAGGGACATGAGGGGAAGGAGGTGACCAATGGGGCTCTGCTGGTGCTGGGGGTCAGCAACTGGGGAACCCCTGGAGCAGAGTCAGGACTGGTATGGAAATGGCACGAGACTGGGAGCATGAGAGTTGGGCGGAGGGAGGGAACTGGCTGGAGAGATGTGCAAGGGAAAGAAAGGGGGTGTAGAGCTGCAGAGCTCAAGGGGAGGTTGGGCTGCCAGGAGGAGGAGAGAAGGGAGAAGGGCGTTCCAGGGCACCAGCCCCCTTGATTTTGGCTCATGTGCTGCGCAGGCAGGGTATGGACAGCAGTGCACAGCATGTCCCTGCGAGCAGCATGACCGTGTCCAGTGTGCAAAATCCTCGAGGTGGAGGGACCAGAGGCGGTCACACTAATGAGGATGTTTGCCCATGTCTGTGCAGGTGCCAGGCTGGGGTGCTGTGGGAGCCTTGGGTTCATCCTTCGTAGTGCAATTCCTGAACAGAATGGATAGATTCAGGATGGAGACAGTCTGTTTTCATCGCCAAATGATTTTACAATACAAATTCTCCCTGCCCTGAACCCATCGTCCCCCATCACGTTCTTGTGTGACTTGATTGCCTTCCCACCGGCTTTTCTCGTGGCAGGCAAAGCCTGTGCCCCTCCCTGGTGTCAGAGCCGGGCTGCTGCGCGCTGCCTGGATAACAGAGCACACAGCACGCTCCATGGGGCGCTATGCTCCGGCCGTGCTGAGTCCCACAGCCAGAGAGACCTGCTTTCCTTGGCACCAGAGCCCCTCCTGTCCCGGGGATGAGGCGGTTTGACTCTGCTGAGCCAGTCCTTGCTCCTGAGGCTGAACTGCGGAGTTTCTCTTCCTGGCTGTGGGCTGTGGCAGCTTGGCCATGCCCTTAGTGTCAGAGCTCAGGGGGGATGGACCCCTGCATGGGCAGAGGGAGGCTGTGGGCAGCTCGGGGGGTCAGCAGGGCTTTGTGTCAGCAAGCGACCGTGGTTGTCGATGGAGTTGCTCTCTGCAGGACTGTGGAGGCAGCACAGAGAGCTGTGGAGCAGCCCTTCCGTGTGCCCACAGGTAGGCATGCTGGCCAGTGGGGCTGCACCCTTGGGATACTTAGATACTTTTATTAGTGTCTCTGCCCACAGAGCAGCAGAAACTGCTGAGAATTGCTGAGGAGGTGGAAGTAAGAAGCATCACTGATGGCTGGAGGTGTCCCACTGAGCAGAGATGGAGGAGAAGTGGGGCATGAAGCTGTGCACGGGGGGGGGCGAGGTGAAACAGGAGCTGACCTTGAGGATGTGATGGAGGAGGATGATCTGGGTGTACTTTTCAGGGATGAGGTCAATGGACGCCCGGGAGGGTGGTGGTGACCCCCTGCAGAGCTCCAGCAGTCACAGTGCGAGTCCAAATCCCCAGAGCAGGAAGAGAAATGGGCAGCCCTTGTCTTAGGAGGGCACCAGGCGTGTGAGCCTGGTGTGTGGTGGGTCAGGGTGGGCCCGAACGCGGCTGGGATGGAGCCACAGAGGGTGATGGTCGGGCTGGGAGACGGGGTCTACTGCTCGGTGCCACCGCATGGGGTGAGGAGTGGGAAATGGGGACCCTGGATTGCTGTGAGGTTCAGGACCTGATGGGCAGCGGCTGTGCCCTGTACCCGAGGCACAGCACCTGGGCTGCTCTCAGGACGGGCTGGTGTCTGAAGCAGGTCTGTGCTGGGGCTGCTCCCCACTCCCCGCTGGGCCTCGCGTTAAAGACAATATTTGCACGTATGAGAAGTGGCAGGGAGGCAACGCTGCGGCAGAGGGGACGCTCTGGGGTCAGGGGTAGTTATTGGACACAGCGGGGACCAGAGCCGGGGCAGCTCTGCCCTGCAAGTACAGAGAGTACCAGCAGATGCTCTGAGCCTCCATCCGTGCTCTCCTCCTGTGCTCTGCTTTGGGGTTGCAGCCTGCAGGGCTGGGTACCACTGGCTGGCAAAGGCACAGTCCTCGCTCTGCAGAGCAGGCAAGGCTGTTTGTTTGCACACAAGCAAGTTTTCCAGGAGATGGGGAGCTACCTTGTGTCCTCTGGTGTGCATGGCATCGTATGCTGGTAGGGGAGGAACCCAGGGTCAGGGGGCCATGTGTGGCCTGTGTCCAGGCTTGTAGATAGCATAGAATCGTAGAATCCCAGCCTGAGTTGTGTAGGAAGGGACCTTAAAGCTCATCCGTTTCCAATCCCCTGCCACGGGCAGGGACACCTTCCACTAGAGCAGCTTGCTCCAAGCTCTGTCCAACCTGGATAGTTTTGCTTTCTTGTCTTTGAAGATCAGTTCTGTCCAGAATGAAGCGTTCAGGTGGCAAACAAGCCATGTGTGACAACGGGAGAGAACCTCTCACCTGAGTGTGGTAGAAAAAGACATTACTGATGGACATCAAAGGCCTTTCTAAGACTCCAGGTGTCCATTGGATGCTATCCCTGAGTACAGACACCTGCATTGACTTCATTCTCCCAGCCCCAGGGCCTTCTCTCAGACCTGGGTATACTGTGGCAGCTGGTGAGATGCACGTGTGCAGAGCACAGGGTGTTGGTGAGTCCCATTTTAGGTGTCCTTACACTGAGCAGGAAAGAAATGACTCGTGTTGTGATATAGACTCTTCAGAGACATCCACGAAGGATGTCCTGAGAGGAAAGTGCCGAGTTCTGCGAATGGTGGTAACATCACTGTGAGTCCAAAAATTATCTGCAGTAACAGATAATGCTTCTGCAGGTCAAAGTTCTGGAGCAGAAGCAGGCACATTTGCAGGCAATAGAGCTAAGATACAGTAAAGAGATAATTTTATTGTATGCAGGAGCAGTTATAAACCAGCAGCTCCTTTTGAAGATGGAGCTGTGGGACATTGCCTGGGGTGACCTCCCTACAAATCACTGAAAACTAGAAAAACAAAGCTGCCACAGGGAGGGAAGGTGGAGACATCACAGGCACAGCGGGAGCCCTGGTCCTGCAGGAGCAGCGGGACATCGCTGGCCAGAAATGGCCCCAGGAGTCTGGCCAGGGCCCATGCTCAGGGCTGCAGAGGGAGGTGAAACCCCCCTTTTGTCCAACAAAAACAACAGGGAACTTGTGCTGAGCAAGAGGAGAAGGGACAGGAAGAGCCCTCCCTGCTGCTCCCTCTGGTCCACCCGGGGCTGACCTGGCCAGGACCAGGCAAGGGGCAGCTCGGGTCAGGATGATGCCTGTGAAAAGGGAAGGTGCTCAGCGAGGGGATCTGGAGGAGCCAGGAGAGGCCACAGCGGTGTCCGTGTGCACCAGCACCCCTTCCACAGCACGGGAATCACGGCTGTTCACTCCCCAAGCAGCGCTCTGTGCTCCCCGTGGAGCGGTCTCTGGCTGACATCCCCAGCTGGAGCAAGCTTGGGTGGCACACTGAGGGGTGCCCGTGTCCCTGTGCTCGGACGGGTGTGAGGCTTCCAGGCAGGGAGCCAGGAACAGCCACGGCAGCAGAACAGATGCTGACCGTGAGGTGGTGTAGCTGGATGGGATGGATGGAGCTCGGTGACCAGGTGATGAAATGACAGTGTTTCAGTAGACACAGACTGGTGGGCAGGGGGAAAATATTACTTCTATCTGCAGTGTACAGTGTACTTACAGACACTAGCACTTGGGAGGGATTTCAGAGTCACAGCAGATGTACATACCTTGCCTGCAGTAAAAACTTGTTGCAGAGTTGCAGCTTTACTGCTGTGCAGTGAAGTGCTTGGGGTTAGTAGCACTGGATTGGTTTCCACCTTTTTCCTGTTGGATTCTTTTTCATCTTTCTCGTGTCTGGGAGCAGGGTGGTTTCTCTGGATCTGTGCTCTTGGGCAGTGCTCTCTGTGGGTGATGCTGGAGTCCTCTTTTGCAGACAGCCTGTTGCAGGGCTGATTCCCCATTCATGAGGGAGTTTTTAGAGTATGTTCCTCAGCACCACAAGAATAACCTCATGTTTTTGATACCTGCCTTCTTGTTGCCCTCTTGGAGCAGGTGCTGAAGCTGTTCCTGTGCAGCTGTGAAGCACAAAGTCCTGTTTTGCTCAGGGAACAGATTATGAACTGGTTTACTGAGGCATGGACATCAGCTCCCTGACTTTGTATAGGTCAGTGCATTACCCTTTAAGAGCTAGAAAGGCTCTACAGATGATCGTGGGCTCAGTTACATGGTGTTGTATATGAGCTTATTTCCCTTCCCTAACATAGAGGAGATTTTGCCATGAGTCCTGCAGGATCCAGCTCCAGATCCGTACCTCTGGATGCTGCTAGCAGAGGCATGGTCCCATTGTGTTTCATGCTGGTCTGGCAGGGCAGGCTGATGCCTTCTTGCAACCAGCTGGGTCTTGGGTGACTTTCTGAAGCATCTCTGCTAGCTGGGACTGAGGCTGTGGGCAGCCCGATGGATCCTTCTCTGTTAGCATCAGCTGGAACCCTACAAAAACCGTTTTGCTTTTGCCTGGTTAACTCCAGGAATGAAGGAGGGGCCCCTAGAGATGCACCGTGCTCTGCTCTAGGAGGTTGGGGGTGCCTTAGTCAGCCTGAGCACAGTTTATGTCTCCAAAGGGCCCAGGGCATCAGTGGGGAAATCAGGAGTTGTGATGCAAGCCTGGGGGGATGGCTGCAGATTGCTGTCCTTAAGGTGAAACAAAGCAAAGGCATCTCAGATGAATGGCTGACACTTAGGAACAGGACATCCCCCCAGAGTCCCTCTAAAACCAGCCAGACCAGTTGGAAATCAGTCCCAGGGCTATCAGATCACATCAATATCTCTGGTGGGGCACATCTGGGAGTCACTCTTGTGTTATCCATCCCATCTGGCAGATTGGGGTGGATGGGTGCGTGTCCCCTCTGTGCTCTCCCACGTGTGCAGCATCCCAAGGGCTTGCTCCAGTGCTGCCTGGGCAAATGGATAACCCTGTCCTGCTGGCTCGGTGTCTACTTTCTGCTGCAGGAAACCCGCAGCAAGCGGCTGCTCCGGGGGAACTGGGCTATGGCAGACCTCGGTGTAGGATCTGTGCAGGTGACAGGATCTTCATTTCAGCTTTCTCTTTGCTCTCCTGTTCATGGCTCACGTTCTGCTCACAGCAGCATCTTACTTTGGTGTGAACTCACTTAAGTGCAGCTTTACTTTCCCTTCTGGATTGATGCTGGGGATGTTCTGGATTCCTCCCTGCCCCCCCCCATCTCATCACAATCACTGGCTCCTCTTTGACACCCACCTCCTCCCTCCCGTTTTGCCAACCTTTTCATGCCATTTTATTCTATGTTTTACACTAATTTATTGTCCTGTCTCACTGATACATTAATGGCTTGAGTCTCTCTTTCTCTGGTTCAAAGCCCTTTTTTCCTTTTTTCCTGCTAATTTTGGTACAGCACTTACTGCCTGTGACTGCTCAGTTTTTCTCTGGTGCTCCCAAAACTTCCTCTGTGTTTATGTACCTTCTTACATGGCATTTTCTTGCGCTTGCATAAATACTGGTGTGCTGCTTCCCTTGGATGCTGCTGCTCTTGCGAGAAGGGGTCTTGGCTCTTCCCTGCTCTATTTCATGTTCCCCCTTTTGCAAATGAGCTCGTTTGGTGGCTCCCAACACATTTCATCACTCTGTAGTCTGTAGGCAAGCTTGTGTGGGCTTTGTCCTGGTTTTGTCCTGGCACTCCTCAGTGTCTGCTTTGCCCGGCACACAGGGCACCCATCTCGTTCTTCTGTAGCCTGCATTACTTACTCAGCATGCGTCAGGTTTGAAGGTGCTCCTGCAATGCACCGAGGACGTGGTGGAGCTCACACCATGCATGGAGTCTGAAGGTCTGTGGGAAGGGCTGTGTCTGTTTTAGAAAGATACAGCTGAAAACAAAGGGATGTGTCTGGGTATTTTGAGTTGGTGTTTAAGGAAAGGGGAGAAATCCCAGTGCTTGGTGCTGCCTCCTGGCACTGCTGTGTCATCTTCTCGCTGCAGAGATCTTGAACACACACTTCACCCGGGTTAAAATATCCTCTGGGAACGTTTCTAACTTCCTGCCCAGATCAGAAAGCTTCGTGGGAAATACATGGCGAGCTCAGAGCAAACCAGTGCAAGTGCAGGTGTGAATGGGCAAAACGAATTAAATGTTCTGTTTTATTGCCAGTTGTGTTGTGTGAATATTGCTGTTTTCAGGGAAGGAGTGTAATGGAAAAGGTTTGTCCTAATTCTTAGCCTTTGGGGGTTGGACTAGGTGCCCTTTGAAGGTCCCTTCCTACCCAAACCATTCAATGATTCCATGATTAGTCTGTGATTACCAGAGTGCACCATCAGTTAATGAGATAAATACAACTTGAAGGGGACTCTTTGCATGTGCCACTTAAACATCAAAAAATCTTATCTTAATAACACAAAAAATGGTGTTTTGGTGCAAAATGCCCTCATATTGAGCCCCCTTTCCCAAATAATTTGTTTCAAAGTGAATGAGTTTTCTGCAGGAATGAGCATTACTGGAAAGGACGAACTTGCAGCACTGGGCAATAAAGTAGATTTCTTTTTCCATCACCTACTAATGAAAGAAACAAACCTGACTAGAGATGCATTTATGGTTTAACCATTGTATTTGGGCTGTGACCTGCATGCTTAGAGATTTAATTCCCAAAGGCAGGGCTTTGGAAAGTGATTAAAGTCTGAATGTGCAGGATCGGAGGGGTTTTGGAACTTTAAACTTTGAAAGAATGGTTGAAGTTTTGAACTTGGCACCCAAATTCATTGCAACTCCAGCACGACAACCCCAGCGTCACATCTTCCCCCGTCACTCGTGTCATCAGGGTGCCTGGGGCTCCGTGTGACTTGCCCCTGTGCTCCATCACCTGTGGCGCTGGCTTGAGTTCTGCTCCCTTCTGCTGCCAGTGCTCATGGAGCTTTTCTGCCCGGTGCAGGTTGTGACCAGCGTGGAGCCCAGGCCGATGGGAGCAGTGAGCAGTGGTCTATCAGCCGAGATGTGCCTGCAGCCCTGCTGACCTGCCCGCTAACCCTGCCTCACCCAGCGCCATGGGAGGATGCTTCTCCAAACCCAAACCAGGTGACTGCTTCCAGCCCATGGGGAGAAGTAGGTCAGAGGCAGCCGCTGCTCGGGGGAATGTTAATTCTTCGCTCCTGCAGGGAGGATTACCAGCCCCTTAATCCCCACACATTCCTCCACACTCTGGCTCCTGCAGGAAGCTGTGCTGAGGCTGCAGAGGTGCTGGGGGGTGCTGGGGGTGGGTTGCACCCTCCACCCCCTGCTAGGTCTTCCCTATCCCGTCTCCTCATGCCCCCACTACCCTCACTGCTTCTGCCCCCTCATGCCCCAGGGTGAATTTGTCTGTCCCCATATGGTCCTCATACGTGGCTCCAGCACCTTCCTTACTACCCCAGCTTTGGCATTCACTGGGCAGCCCTTAGTTTTGTTCCTGCTGGAAGAAAATGACCAGGGAAGGAGCAGGACCACCTCAATCCCACCAACCAGGCCAGATCCTGAGGCTGCTCCTCTCTCTGGATTTCCCATGAGTGTGGTGCCCTCGCACTCTCCTTTACCAGTGATGCTGTGACACAGTTTGGTCAAATGGATAATTTTGGGTAATTCTGACTGAAAGAACAGAGACTGAGCTGAGCTCTTAGGCAGAAGCTCTTCCCTGTGAGGGTGCTGAGGCGCTGGCACAGGGTGCCCAGAGAAGCTGTGGCTGCCCCATCCCTGGCAGTGTTCAAGGCCAGGGTGGACACAGGCCAAGCTCATCATACCCAGCAGCACCCACATCACCCCAGTGCTGGTCCCTTGAAATGGATGCTGATGCAGTCGGTGTTACCAAAGCTCCCTACAAGGAGAGCTCTCATCCTGCAGCTTGTTTTGGCCACCTAAGAGGGAGCTGAAGGACGACCTTGTCCTTGTTATGTGCTTGTGCCCAAGTGCGAGGGGAATCACTCAGCACCCACAATAATGAGGTGGTTTTCTGCCCTAGACCTGCACTGTGATGACTGTGGATCACTGCAGAGCCAAGGTAACAGCATCAGACACTGTGAGCTCTTAAGTTTTCTTTTGTGAAAACCCTCACTGGCTATAGCCTTCCTTGAAAGGTTTAAGGAGTGAAAATGCCCCCGGGAATAAATGCCTTTGTTGACTAAACTTGTGACACACTCTGCTGGCAGCTCCACTTTATTCCACGTACCATCAGCAAAGTTGTGTTTAGTCTTGGGGCATGGGAGGGATAACAGCGCTCTGCAGGCACAGTTCCTGAAGGGCAGATTTTCACAGAGCGCTGTATTTTCATAGCAGGGCTGAGTGACGGAAAATGCCACCCTGCAATGTAAGGCTTTCTCTGCAGCTCTGCTTTTCATTAGCAGACTTCAAAGGCTTTTGAGAAGCCTTTCCCCAGCCCCGGTTAGCACACCGCTGCCTGCGGAGCCCCATCCCGCGGGTTATACAAGCAGTGGGGTAAACATGCGTTTGCAGATGCTGATTGTTCTGGCAAAGAGGTTTCACAGCTTTCAGTGCTGGTTGTCTGTCCCCTGCCCCACCAGAGCAGAGCAGTGGGCTTCCCACTATCTGAAAACCCACCTACCCCCTGCATGCAGGGGCTGTTTTCTCCACCAGCGCTGTCGCGACATGAAGGGACTATTTCAGATGCAGCCTGAAGTCATACGAATTTATTTAGATGCTTTTGAAATATGTACAGGAGGTCCTTGTCTGTTCTCTCTTTTTATACCTGAGAGAGACCCGCGGTCCCCTCCCTGGGCATCCTCAGTGCATCTCGAGATAACCTTGACACTGCACGCACGTTGCTGAGTGCCAGGAAGAGCTCTTGATGAGCACATCACAAGTACCAGAGCCTTGGGGCTGGAGCCCTGCAACAGTAAATAGCTGTGCTGGCTGTACTGGAGACCAGTGCTGAAGTGCTGCAGCAGCGCCTGAGCCCGTCCTGGCGCTGAAGTGTTTAATTATATTCATTATATTCAAGTATTTATCATATTCAGGCAGTGACGTCACCTGCTGCTCCCTCCGGTGCTGCAGAGCCCTGTGCAGCCGGATCCTCTGCCGCAGGCCCCGCTCTCCGGCTCTGCATCAGTTTTGCCCTGCTTTTCCCCGTGTGAGCGTGGTGCATCCGCAGCAGCTGCCAGCTGGCAGCCTGTGTGGGACCCAGCGCCTGCTCCAGGGAGGCAGCCAGCTCCGGGTGAGAGCGAAGGGACCTGTGGCGGGGCTGCAGGGGCTGCCTGCTGGGAGCTGCAGCAGCACCATCACTGCACTGGCCATGGGAGAGCAGCTTCCAAACCCTTTGCACTCTGCTGGGCTCAGCTCGTGATGGGAGGGCAGCTCTGGCATGGCACAGCGTGTCTGAGGGGTGCTTCATCCTCCCACAGAGGGGCCTTTGGCTCTGAGCAGGGGATGCGTCCCCTTCACAGGGATGCTGCCCGCTGCTGGAGGGGATGCTTTGCTCCGAGGTGCCCCCAGGTTTGGCTGGCAAGCCCTACCTCCTGTTTTTTGGGAGTGTGGCATGTGCTGAACGGGGCATCTGGAAGAGGAAGGTAGACCTGGGCATGTCTGACATAGTTGCTTTGTTGATAGCTCTGCTATTGTTAATAGAAATGGTTGGGAGTCTCTTTGAGACCACCTGAAGTTGTTGTCATTGAGGTTTGCAGTTCAGAGGCAGCATGGTTGAGCCTGGGGGGTGCCTGGAGAGCTCAGTTCGGGGGGGGGACTGTGAGCCCCCAGACCTGTCCCATGCTGGTGTGTTTACTCTGTGTTGACTGTGGGAAGATGTCATGGTTTAAGCCCAGCAACCTGGAGCAAGCTGCTCCAGTGGAAGGTGTCCCTGCCAGTGGCAGTGGTTGGAACTGGATGAGCTTTAAGGTCCCTTCCAACCCAAACCAGTCTGAGGTTCTATGAAAAACAAGGGTAGCTGTTTTACTTCAGTGTACACCACCGAACAGGTTTCACAATGAAAGCATCCCTTACTGCGGACTAGGGGACCCAGGGGCAAGCAGGAACTGCCCCTGACCATCAGAAGGGACACAAGAGCCAGTGAGACCCCTGAGCCCCACCAGCCACCCTGTGTGCCGCCACCGGCAGTGATGGAGCAAGGCACAGCTGGGGGTGCCCCTTCGTGTCCTCTTGCCAGACAAGGATGTGCTGCCAGTCCCCCCATCCCCATGCAGTGGGGGGGAGCCCACACGCCCGTACCCCATTGCCTGGGGTGGGCTGGCTAAAGGAGCAGCAGAGGAAGCCAGTGATGAGCTCTCACATTATAAAGTCAAACTCATCACCTCAGCTCCCAGGGATTTCTTAGAACTAGAACCATTAACATTCACAATAAACCCAAGGGAGTTCTATAGAGAGCCAGGGGGTAAGTGCCAGAGACCGAGGAAACATCTCAAACAAACTGGAGGTTGCTGAGCTTTCCTCATCTTAGAAATGTCATGAACAGGAGAAGCTGTGCAGAAGATAAAAACTAAAGCTCACGACATAAACAGGTTAAGGAAAGGCAAAAGGAGGGAAGAACATGCCTCAGAAGAGCAAGGCAAGCCCTGCAGCAAGAGAAGGGTGCTGGGTCTTCCCAGCTTCCCCTGTTGCCTCACACTCTTAGTTTCAAGTCCCTTGAGAGGACAATGGAGGAAAAGGTCAAGGGGGAGGTTGATCCAAGTGCCAGACCCACCAGGGGCAGGATTAACCAGGGGGTGTGATGAACAGATCCAGTAAAGCCGTTTTCTGTGTATCCACACTGAACCAACAGACAATGTGAACCTCTGTTGCAGTGTGGCACCTGCAGGAGCTCCTGCAAATGTTCAAAAGTGCATTAAAAAACATCAAGATAAAATACTGCTGTGGGCAGATTGATTCTTGGAGCTCCACAGCAGCAGTGCAGCTCCAGCAGGTACCCAGCAAAGGGGCTGCCTTGGCATCACAGGATCGCAGCCTGGTTTGTGTTGGAAGGGGCCTTGAAGTTCATCCAGCTCCAACCCCTGCCACGGGCAGGGACACCTTCACTGGAGCAGCTTGCTCCAAGCCCCTGTGTCCAACCTGGCCTTGAGCACTGCCAGGGATGGGGCAGCCACAGCTTCTCTGTGCCAGCGCCTCACCAATGGATTTTCTCACTTGATGCTGAAGGTTCACTCCATGCTGCAAACCCCATGCAAAATGATTTTGGATATTCCTAGTGCCTTATTAAATGGTCTCCATCTCCTGAAGCATCTTTACCCACCACACAGTTCTGCCTTTCTCGTTCAGTTAGTGTCACCTACCAGCAATTCAAGGGTTTTCTGAAGTCTGAGCCCCATGCCTTGGTATGCCTCACATATAGCTGCCTGAAGCTGTTTTCCATGAAACAAGACAGGAACTGTGACTGAGGGCTGGGATAATCAAGCTGAGTTTGATACTAAATGTTCTGTCTTCCCAAGCAGACCAACAGAAAATATTCTGGTGTGTGTCAGCCCCTTTTGAAGCGCAGGGAAGGAGGGAGAATGGCCACAAACCTTTGGCTGCATTTCAATAAAGGTGTCTGTTTGCTCTTGCAGTTGAAGTAAAAATTGAAGTTGTGATACCTGAGAAGGAGAGAAGCAAGGAGGAGATGTCACCCAATGGGAAAGCCAGCCCCCTGATCTACAAAGTCAATGGGACTGCCCGGCATTATCATCTCGAGGAGCATCCCATTGCCAGCAACCCCTACCACAACCCAAAGGACGTGGTGGAAGCATCCGTGTGCCATGTGAAGGACCTGGAGAATGGACAGTAAGTGTCTATGTTCTTTACAGGTAGAACTGAGAGACCTTCTACCCCAGATTGAGCCCCATGTCTCGTTCTTCAGAGGTTTTAGAGATGATAACTTACCTTGGTAAAATAAGCTTCTTTTCTTCATCTTAAAAAAATGATGTCATGGACAAGCGACAACTTTTCTTTAAGCAGACAGTGCTGCTCCCTGCACGATCTGCACTGGGCCTCGCCTTCAAAAGATGGGGTGTTCTGTAGCAGCATTTCTCAGCAGGCTGACTGTAACATCCTTTCCAACTGAAACTGTTCAATGATTCAAAAAGCTCTGCTGGTCACAGGGATGGTGAGGAGGGAGCTGGCTGCAGCCTGGGAAAACCTACCTGGCTGCAGGTGGTTGTAGCAGGGAGCTCTGCAGCTCAAACTGCCACCGGTCTGGAAAGCAGGCTCACACTTCAGCTGTGTGTGCCCTCAGGTCCTGGAACACACCACCAAGTGCAGTGCGGGCTTGGACCATTTTCAGTTCAAGGTGACAACATCATTTTTCCGAGCGGGCTGAGTCTAGCTGAAAACAGAGGTGCTGCAAGAAGGTCCCGTAGCTCATGTAAGCAATGGGCCAGACCAAAGGAACCCCTCCTGACTCTGATAACTGGAGGGATTTTCCATCCTGGAAAACCTTCTCAATCCCTCCTCTCAAGGGGCATGCTGGGCAGTGGGTGCATAGGCACAGCAGCAATGTAGGGCACTGCACAAGTGTTTGGGCACCTCTATCTTGTGCTGGTGGAGTCTGCAAGCACTCAACATAGTCTTTCATGCCATCGTTTCTGTCTTTCTGGTACCAAGATGGTCTCAGCGTAACCATAAAAGATACTGGAGGACAAACTGGTGCTGCTGTGCCCAGGCAGCCTCCCAGCAGGCTCACTGCAGGGACATCAGTGAGCTACAGACAGAAGCCCCAGTGCTCCCTGTGAGCAAAGGTCCTTTGCAGACCAGAGATGAGTTTTAGCTGGTGTGGGGTGGAATGGGGCAACAGGGCAAATTCCCAGCTGTGTAAATAGCTCAGCAGGGAGCAGCGCAGCACAAATCATCCTCTGCAGTGAGGGTGGGATGAGGAGCTTGCAGGTGACTGTGTGCTGCCTTGAAGATACCAGGTCTTCTTTTCGACTCCCTCAGGTCACACAGGTCCTTGGGTAAGTTGTAAACTCTTTCACTTATCTTATCTATCTTCCCATAGAGTTATGGTTGTCATTTAACCACAGGGTTTATCTGAAGTACTGCACAGCTGAGGAATGCAGCAGGACTTGTACTGTTCTATTCCCCTTGTGCTGACCAAGGGACTTCCAAGTGCTGAATGTTCTACACAGGGAGGGAGCAGAGCTGCATTGCTCTGGAATGGGGCTGCCAATTTACTGGGACAAAACAGCTCCCAAGGGCAGGAGCTCTGCTGCTGTTCTCACCTGTGGTGGCAAGGACACCAGAGTTTGCTGTTACTCCAGTGGGACAGTTGGTGCAGGTGGAGCACAAAGACTTGCCCAGGGTGGGTTTGAAGGTTGTACAGGGTTCTGGTGCATTGGGCCCTGGTCTCTTCTCTATAGCTGTGAAGCAGAGAGCAGGACAAGTGTCTCTCTAGCCTGGGTGCAAGCGACAGGGCTCTGTTGGGATGTTACCCAAATAGGAATGAGCATGCAAAGTGAGTCCCATTCTTCTGAGATCCTCAGACCTGTAGTACATGACCAGTGTTGAGGGCTCAACCGTGGCCAATAGCTTTCCTAAGCACATGGGATTTGCTGTGTGCACAGTGATGTACTTGGTACACAAAATGCAACACGCCAGCCTTGCTGTAGAGATGGTGCGCTTCGAGCAACGGGAGCAACCAGGATTTCCAGATCAAGACCACGGGGGGACAGGCTTTCTGGCTGGAAGAGGGCAAGTTTCCAGGGAGGAGCGGCTCTGTGTTCCAGCTGCCTGCAGAGTGAGGGCTCTCTCCTTGTCTCCCGGCTTTCCTCCATGGTTAGCTGGAAGGCTCTGCCCCCAGCAGCACAGAGGCAAAGCCCCTCCAGGATGCAGAGATCTCCTCTGTAGAAACAGCAGCCGGAGGTAGTGAGGAGGGTACATGGAGGTGCCTGGAGTTCTGAGGAAAAGGTGACCCACCTTGGTGACCTGGGGTGTAGCCAGGCCCCAGCACAGCCCCATCGCCTGACCTGGATTTCAAGCCTGAAAAATGTTGTTTGCTCTGAGTGAGTGAACACCAGCCTGGCAGCTATACTGGGGTGAGGAGGGGAGGTGTCACCCTGGAACCAGTTTGGTTTCTTGCTCCCACTACGTGCTGGAAAGCTTTATTCTGACACCCTGCACTCGGGTGGAGACCTCAAGTCACTTCCTGAGCAACTGAGGTGGTGCTTTGGGCCACCGCCTGACATGGTGGTGGATGAAGAAGCTGCCCCTCAATGGCTCAGCTTGGATGTGCCCAGGCTGGGAGCAGCAGAGCCAGCTCCAAAGCTGGCTTGGTGATGGGGTGACCCCTAGAGCTGGTGGTGAGCAGGTTGAAGGGGAGGGGGAGCCTGGTGGGACCAGGGCTGGGTGAGGGGGTGGTGGATGCTCTGCCATGTGTTTTCCATGCTCCTCCTCCCCAGGATGCGGGAAGTGGACCTGGGCTGCGGGAAGGCTCTGCTCATCAAGGAGAACGGCGAGTTCCACGCCGTGGGACACAAGTGTCCCCACTATGGGGCTCCACTGGTCAAAGGTCAGTTTGTGTCACCTCCTCGGAGACTCAGAGCATCGGAATGTTGGCAGGAGCCAGCCCAGTGTCCATCTGGCTGCACTGCTGGGCACAGGGCAGTGCTGTGCCCTCGCTCAGCATCACCTTGGTGTGTTCTCACTGGGGGAAAGCATGTGCAGAGAGCTGGGGGTGCACAGACCTCCTGGGAGCACTTTGCCACAGGTCTGGTTTGCTGGTAAGCCCTGTTTGCCTGTCACAGGGCTGTGCGTTCCTTGGGTGACTTTGAGTTAAAAACTAGCATGGGCACTGTTAAATTCAGCTTCTGCTTCATTCTTCAGCTGGAGCTGAGCCTCTCTGGGTGGTGTGAAAAAGCTGCAGCTCCCTGTCCCCACACAAAGCCTGGCTTTATGGGGCTTTTCACATCCTGTTCACCAGTCCCAGGCACTGAATTTGAAAAATGGCTTAAAGGGGAAAAAGCATCCCCTTATGTTGTTTCATCAGAAAATCCCACAGACCCACAGCTCCTGTAAATCACATCTGGGGGGGGGGGGGGGTGTGTGAGGGAGCTCTTTAGGCTGATGGGATCCTTTCTGTAGCAAAAAGAAATGTTGCTGGTGGAATTCTGTGGAATGTGGGATGTTGCTGTGGGATGATAGGGTGTTGAAGTGGGATGGTGGGGTGTTGAAGTGGGTTCCCATGTTACACAGTGCCGGGTGCAGGAGAGGATGCTCTTAGCCCCTCTTGGGGCAGAGGAGCCCGTCTGCCTTTCAGAGACCTGCAGTCACAGCCCTGACACTGGAGGCTGGCTGCTCACACAGGGATCTCACTGGGGAATACAGGACTTGCTCCTGCATCCCAGCATGTGGGTGATGAGATGTGGCACTGCTGTGCCTTGGCAACCAAAGGTGCAAGCACAGGACCAGCCCAGCATGGCCAGGCTGCTGCTGTTCACTCTGCCCCAGGGCTGTGAACCAGAGCTCTCAGGCAGGAAAGGCCTAAGTCCAAGGTAGCAGCCTCTGAGCAAGCACTTGTGAGGAGCGAGCTTGTGGCTCCGGTGTGTCCTGTGCTTCCCTGGCAGTGGGCAGCCCCTGTGCTGTGTCAGGATGTGTTCTGGAACACGCCTGCTCTAAACAAGTGATGCTCTGCTTGAGGCGCTGCTTGCTCTGGATGCTCCTGGGGCTCGTGGAGGTGATGACAAGAGCCTGAAGGCTGCAGCCCCAGGCCCTGCCACAGAGCAAGGTTATATTCCAGGCAGAGCAGACAGCTCTGGAGCTGTGCTCCACTCTGCTGGAAGGGCACTGTCAGTGAGGCTTATTCAGGATCCCAGTTCATAACTGTTCAGCCTCTACTGCAGTCCCATGTGTGAGGGAAGGTAACTCCACATCAAGTAGCCAAGATGCTGTTGAGTATCCACATCCACAGCAGCTGCCACATGTCCTGTAGGGAAGGTCACACCTCTGGGTAAAGGAGTGCATTGGGGATGTGTCACAGAGTGTGACCCTTGAGGAGGACAGCTCCTGCCACTGCAGGAGGCCCTGGGCACCAACCTTCAGCTGTCGGGAGGTCAGCCCTGCTTCAGTCGAAAGCAAGGACTCCACCACCACAAGGACAGCGGAGGGATACCTGCCTCTGCCACCCTGCCCATGTCACAGCAGCTTCATCTCCGTGGGCTGCAGGCAGGGACAGGAGACAGCTGCAGCTCTGCATTGCCATGTTCCCTGCAGGGGTTTTGTCCAAAGGAAGAGTCCGCTGTCCCTGGCATGGAGCTTGCTTCAACATCAGCACCGGTGACATAGAGGACTTCCCTGGCTTGGACAGCTTGCCCAGGTTCCAGGTGAGACCTTCATTCTGCAGAAGCACAGGAAATCACAGAGCCCCAGCCTGGTTTGGGTTGAAGGGACCTTAAAGCTCCTCCAGCTCCAACCCCTGCCACAGGCAGGGACCCCTTCCACTGGAGCAGCTTGCTCCAAGCCCCTGTGTCCAACCTGGCCTTGAGCACTGCCAGGGATGGGGCAGCCACAGCTTCTCTGGGCACCCTCACAGTAAAATGTTTCTTCCCTACGTTCAATCCAGATCTCCCCTCTTTCAGTTTAACACCATCACCCCTCGTCCCATCACTACAAGCCTTTTTGTCCCCATCTTTTCTGTAAGCCCTCTTTAAGTACTGAAAGGTTTCAGTAAGGTCTCCCTGGAGCCTTCTGCAGGCTGAATAACACAAACTCAGCCTTTCCTCATAGCACAGGTACTCCCCTTGCTTCCACCCGTGGGCACTGGGAACCCAGAGGTGAAGATGCACTGTCTGGGAGGCCTTTGATCAGGAGTGGGGGGGGACTGAGGAACCAGCCATAAGGCAGAGGTAGAAATCAGGTTTCAGAGTGATCATCAGTGCACAGTTGATACAAGACAGGAAACATCCCACAGCCCTGAGCTGGGCTGAGCTCTGCCATGGCCTGAGCTGCTCTCACAGGAGACTGATGGGACCACTGCACTGCTCATGGGCTGTTCACAGAGGGAGCAATCACCCTCGCCATGCCAGAGGCATTCACTGCCCTGCAAACTGCTGCTGTTCTGTCACCCTCAGGTGAAGATTGAGAAGGAGAAGGTGTACATCCGAGCAAGCAAGCAGGTAAGAGGCCACTGGCACCCCAGAATCAAGCCCCATGCTTTTAGTTTCTGCTCTGTGTGCATCAGGGTGGAGGGAAATGCTTTTCTTCTGGTCCTGTGGCAGAGGAAGCAGTGCCTGAACAGGAGGATGCACGAGCATCCAACATGGGGAAACCAAAGGTCTACCCAGCCTGGTCCTGTCTCAAGCAGCTGCTTGCACAGAGGCACGAGTGGAGCAGGGCAGAGGTGGTGTGTCCCCCTCGAGCTGCCCACAGCTGCTGAAGCCTGAGCTGGGGTGTCCACGGATCCAGCTCTTGCTGGTGTTTGTCCTGGGTTTGGTCGTGTTTCCTTACGCCCACAGCAACGGTTAACTTAGTTGGCCCATGGAAACAGGGCTTTCCCAGCAGCCTCGCTGGGTCTGAATGTGGCAGGGCGATGGCAGAGGTCATCTGTGCTCCCGCTGGGGTGGGAACAAGGAGGGCTCTCATCCCCCCAGATGTGAAGCCCATTCAAGCCGCTGCCACCTGTCTTTCCACTAGAAGCCTTCTTTTGGTGCACATTTGCACATACACGTGTGTGAGCCCAGTGGCTCAGAACCAGATGCACCCGTACAGCACTTGGGTTAGGTCCAGAGAGCTCACCTGAATGGCAGCTCTCCTACACCAGCTGATTTGGGTGGGATACAAGGAGGAAGATTGAGCCTATCTCCTCTACCACAAATAGAGTTTGGCCTCCAATGGCTGGGAACAGGGGGTCTCTGAGCAGGGCCATAGTGGCATAGGTCTTGGGGTGTGCTCTGGTAGGCTGGACAAGCCCATCAGCTCCTGTGGATATCAGAGGCAGACAGATTCTGCTCAGGTGCAGGATAAAGTTCCTGATAGGACTTCTGCATTTCCATCTTGCCTGTTGGTTGCAGAGGTGCATACAAACACACCTGGGCTGCTTCTATCCCCCCTCTCCAGCTCTGTGTACCTGGATCAATCTGCAGAAGGCAATGGATGAATTTTTCTTTTACACCTTGTAAAGGGGTGATGCACCGGGTGCTGGGAGGGTATTTGGATGTGCTTGGGTTTGCAGTCCTCACTGGCTAGAAAGGGGCAGTTTCCTTTTGATTCAAGCTGCTTTATGACAATAACGTGGCTACCCAGGTTAAAGCTGAGAAAAGATAATGACTTTTCTTCCTGTTGCTAGGCTCTTCAGACACAGAGAAGGACAAAGGTGATGGCAAAGTGCATCTCCTTGAGCAACTACAACCTGAGCAGCACCAACGTGCTCATCATCGGTGCAGGTATTGTGTAGCACGTGCTGGAACCACCATGTATGTCCCCTCCTGCTCTGTGGAGTTCCCTGTCACAGTCCTTTGTAGTGGGTGCCCTGGACCCTCTTCCTTCCGCACCCTCCCCACGTACATCAGTAACCCCCGATTTCCACAGCTGATAAGTGTAAAGCCCTCTGAGGGGATCCTGTGATGTGGATACACCTTTTCCTCTTGGAGCCTGCACATTTCTGTCTCAGCCCACTGCAGCTGCCTGCAGCTCCAAACCTCTCACCCCAAGATGCTTCTCTGAAGATAAATTCTTCCATCTTCCCAGAAAATACCAAATTCCTGCAGGAAATAGCAAAACTGCCAACTTCTTCCCTCTTGTCCCAGCTCCAGTTGTGTAATGCGGTTTTTGTAGAAAGCTGGAGTGAATGGAGTGTGGTGGAGTGAATCCCATCTACTGAGTCTGCCTGTGTGTGGAATGGGTTGGAAATGAAGCTGGGTGACTGAGAGCCAGGGTGGGATGCTGTGTCCCGGAGGTCAGCTGAGCTGTGCTGGCATGCGGCAGAGCTGGTGGGGTTTAGGAGCAAAGGGCTCAGACCTTCAGATGCCACCAGTCTTCCTTCTCCCTTAGGGGCAGCTGGACTGCTCTGCGCAGAGACCTTGCGCCAGGAGGGGTTCTCAGACAGGATTGTGATGTGCACGATGGACAGACACCTGCCCTACGACAGACCAAAGCTCAGTAAGGTTTGTATCCCTTTGGGAATGTCACATTCCTTCCCTGTTCTAAAACTTGCTCTAGGACCTTTCCCCACACACTGCAGCAGCACATTTCTTCTTCCTTGTTCATCCCAACTCGGGTTCTCCCTTGAATTTCATTTTCTGTTGGTGACTGAAATATGAAACCTAACAGGGATTGTTAAACCTCTGAACGGAGTGCTCCAGCACAGGAACAAGGGAGTTCTTCCCTGTGAGGGTGCAGAGGTGCTGGCACAGGGTGCCCAGAGAAGCTGTGGCTGCCCCATCCCTGGCAGTGCTCAAGGCCAGGTTGGACACAGGGGCTTGGAGCAAGCTGCTCCAGTGGAAGGGGTCCCTGCATGTGGCAGGGGTTGTAGCTGGAGGAGCTTTAAGGTCCCTTCCAACCCAAACCATTCTATGAGCCTATGATTCTTCACAGGCCTATCTATAGGTGACTTGGGCAGCTTGCACCTAGATGGATCCTTTTATCATGTTTCTGGATCAAAATCTTTAGGGCAATGAAATAGGACATGTGAAAAAAATGTGTTGTCTGCCAGGTCTTTAATGACTGCACAGTTCTTCCTGTGCAGCGGTGCTCCATGCCCTGATTACTGGCATTATCAGTCACTATCACAACTGGATAACTTGATGGCAGTGCAAAGATCACTTTTTCTGTCTATCATTTCAGTTTGCATTCTATTGTAGACACAAGATGATCTTCTAATTGCATTTTTTATTACTGATCCTTAAGTTTTACACGATACCAGCGAGCAGCTCAGGTTGGACAGCAGCACTTGGTCTCAAAGACTGGAGATAACCTCAGAACAGGTGGTGTATGTATAACCCTTTCTGTCAGGGTTGCTCTGACTCTGCTTCCAGACCCAAGGCAAAGTGATTTCAAAGGAAGGCAGATACACACATGACTTTTTGAGAACATTCGATCCGTTCCTGTGCTTGGACAGGACCTGCTTGGGATGAGGAGCAGCTGCCTTAAACCTGCATCCAGGAGTCACAGGGATGGCTGGGGAGCTCGGAGGAGCTCACAGTGCCTGTCCCAGCCAGGCAGCTCTCCCCACATTCATCCCCACCATATGAGTCTCTGACTGCCTTTTCCACTTGCCATTAAGTAGTAAAAACCTCTCACACAGCAGAGATGTTCTGCATGGTCTGTCAAACTCTCCACTCAACACGCAGTCACTCTGGGAAGGTGCACAAAGCGCATGGAAGAGGAGGCAAAACTCTCAGGAACAGGCTAGAAAACAAAGGGTATTTTTCTTAATCCTATAGTGAGTGGGACCAACCTTGGAAAGAGTCATTGGAGGAGGAGCATGTAAAGCTGTAAGCAGCAGACTTGCCTCCTGGAAACTACAGCATTGTCTTTGTCTGTCTTGCTGAACGGCTGACACCAGTCTGTCCCAAAGTCCCACCAGACTGCTCCTCTTTGTCCCCTTTGGACCATGACCTGCTCCCTGGTGTGCTGCACCATCCCCGTTGTCTCTGGAGCACTGAGCAGGAGCAAACCCATGGTGGTTGTGCACTGCCCTGTGCTGCCCTCCCTGCACGTGCTCCTGAGCTGTGGGTCTGACGTTCCTCTCAGTAAATGTTGGGTGTTGAAAGACTTTGCAGTAAGATCTGTATGACCCTGCCCGTGCCTCAGGTCCCAAGATACGGGTCTCTGCTGAGCACAGCGTCACCTGGAGTAACGGTGAGGGGATGTCCTGCAGGGCTCATCCCAGCCCCTGACTGAGCCGCTCCAGCGATAAGGACCTTGCTGTTTTCCAGCTGGTTGTCTTCCAAATAACAGGGGTGCTTTTTTGTCCCTATGGATTATGAGAAGCTGCAGTGAGAGCTGCTTTGCACCCAAAAGCAGTTGCTGTAGTCCTTCCTTGGACAGTCAGTGCCACCCCAGTGTCAAGCAGGAAGAAGGAACCAGTCTGGCATCTTGTGATGACTTTTACTTGACCAGGCTTTGATTCCAGCCCATGCCATAAGGACTGACTTCAGACTATTGACTTGGGTTCATAACAGGCATTTCTCTCCTTGCCTGTTCAACCACAGTGGTTGACAGGAGAATGGCTTTTTTGCAGTCAATGGATTCCCACCCGGAGCAGATCGCCCTGCGCCCCAAGGAGTTCTTCCGCAGCTACGACATTGAAGTCCTGACCGAGATGCAGGTAAGGGGAGTGCTGTGTGTACCTGCAGGCCACCTTCTGCAGGTGCTGACACACAAGGGCTGTGTTTAGGAGATGTGGCAGCTGGCTCTGTTTGTAGCTCACTGGTTGCATTGCAGAAATGTTGGGTCTCCCCCAGCACAGAGCACAGGTTGCCTGTGATTGTTCCAAACTACAGTCAATGCAGTTCATCGAGTGGCAGGAGGGACACCCTGTGCAAACTGCGGTGCCCATCATTCCTTGCCTGCCATTTGGGAACTTCCTTGCATGGATCTGGGGTGACCAAGTGGCCTCTGATGAGGATAACCAGCCTCCAAGCAATGCAGACAGGGATGGCTTGAGCATTTCTCCCCAGTATTTTATTTATACTGCAAGCTCTGCAAAGATCTGTGGAAAGGCAAACAGGAATGTTTAAGGTCTGGGTTGACTAAGCTGTGCACAAGAACACAGGAGACTAAGAACTAACAGATAGCTTGGTTTGGCCCAGTTAGAATTAAACTTGGCTAGGCATGTGAAAGGGATTCTATAGGTACACTGTGAATAAAAGAGAGACAAGGGACAACGTGGGCCCTCTCCAGAAGCCATCAGAACCAGCTAATCTGGATTTGGAGAAGGCTGAGGTTCTGAATGACTTCTTTGCCTCGGTCTTCACCGGCAAAGGCTCTGACGACACCACCCAAGTCTTGGAAGGCAGACACAGGGACTGTGAGAATGAAGACCTTGGGCCCACTGTAGGAGAGGAACTGGTTCAAGATCATCTTAAGAACCTGAACATGCACAAGTCCATGGGTGCTGATGAAATCCATCCGCGGGTCCTGAAGGAGCTGGCGAATGAAGTTGCTAAGCCACTGGCCATCATATTTGAAAGATCATGGCAGTCAGGTGAAGTTCCCAACGACTGGAAAAAGGGAAATATAACCCCCATTTTCAAGAAGGGAAAAATGGATGAGCCAGGGAATTACAGACCAGTCAGTCTCACCTCTGTGCCTGGCCACATCTTGGAGCAGATTCTCCTGGAAGGCATGCTAAGGCACATGAAAAACAACAAGGTGCTTGGTGACAGCCAGCATGGCTTCACTAAGGGGAAATCCTGCCTGACCAATTTGGTGGCCTTCTATGATGGGGCTACAGAACTGATGGACAGGGGTAGAGCAGTTGATGTCATCTACCTGGATTTGTGTAAAGCGTTCGACACTGTCCCACACGACATCCTTGTCTCTAAATTGGAGAGATATCAATTTGATAAATGGACCACTCGGTGGATAAAGAACTGGCTGGATGGCCCTCAGAAAGAGTTGTGGTCAATGGCTCAATGTCCGGCTGGAGACCAGTAACGAGTGGTGTCCCTCAGGGATCGGTGTTGGGACCGGTCTTGTTCAACACATTTGTCCCTGACATGGACAGTGGGATTGATGCACCCTCAGCAAGTTTGCCAATGACACCAAGCTGTGTGGTTTGATTGATACACTGGAGGGAAGAGATGGGATCCAGAAGGACCTTGACACACTTGTGAGGTGGGCTGATGCCAACCTCATGAAGTTTAACCATGCCAAGTGCAAGGTCCTACACCTGGGTCAGGGCAATCCCAGGCACAGCTACAGGCTGGGCAGAGAAGAGATTCAGAGCAGCCCAAGGAGAAGGACTTGGGGGTGTTCATCAATGAGAAAATGAACATGAGCCGGCTTCAGTGTGCGCTTGCAGCCCAGAAACCAACCGTGTCCTGGGCTGCATCAAAAGGAGCGTGATCAGCAGGTCGGAAGAGGTGATCCTGCCCCTTTACTCTGCTCTCGTGAGACCTCACCTGGAGCATTGTGTACAGTTCTGGTGTCCTCAACATAAAAAGGACATGGAACTGTTGGAACAAGTCCAGAGAAGGGCCATGAGGATGATCAGGGGACTGGAGCACTTCCTGTATGAAGAGAGGCTGAGAAAGTTGGGGCTGTTCAGCCTGGAGAAGAGAAGGCTGCGTGGAGACCTCATAGCAGCCTTACGGTATCTGAAGAGCCCTATAAGGATGCTGAGGAGGGGACTCCTCATTAGGGACTGTAGCAATAGGACAAGGGGTAATGGGTTAAAACTTAAACAGGAGAAGTTTAGATTGGATATAAGGAGGAAATTCTTTCCTGTTAGGGTGGTGAGGCACTGGAATGGGTTGCCCAGGGAAGCTGTGAATGCTCCATCCCTGGCAGTGTTCAAGGCTAGGTTGGACAGAGCCTTGGGTGAGATGGTTTAGAGTGAGGTGTCCCTGCCCATGGCAGGGGGGTTGGAACTAGGTGTTCTTAAGGTCCTTTCCAACCCTAACTATTCTATGATTCTATGGTTGGGCTGGGAGCTGAGTGAATGGCTGGGGTTTCATCCCTTAACATACTTTAGGAATGATTTCAGGTTGCGGCTGTGGATGTCAAGAACAAGACAGCTGTGTTCAAGGATGGATTTAAGATGGAATACAACAAGCTGCTGATAGCAACTGGAAACACGTAAGCTATGAACACACATTTTAAAAAGCAAGAGAAACTTACATCTGAGAATGTTAGGAATGAGGGGTCAAATGTAGTGGTTGAATTTGTTTGCAAAGAGTGTTTGCTTGCATGAAAAGCAAGGGATAACTGTTGGATAAATCTGTATATATCTCTATCTATCTATATCTCTATCTAGATATATCTTTATCTATATATCTATCTGTATATCTACATAACCTATATCTCTATCATCTCTATATCTATATCTATCTATGCAGGGGGGTTGGACTAGATGACCTTTGAAGGTCCTGTCCAACCCAAACTATTCTATGATTTTACTATATATCCATATCTACATGATCAATATAATATATATCTCTATCTCTATAAATCTGCACTGGGTATGTCTGCTCAGCCAAAGCTGAAAAACCTTTGTGTCACCTCTGTGTCACCCAAGAGCACCACCCTGGAAGTAGTGGGTTGACCTGTTCTCTATAAGGGATTTGTCAAAACTGGCACTTTAAGATGAAAGTGAGGCACCCTGGCTCCCTTTCCTTGTGCTCCCAACACCAGGGCACAAACCAAGTAGGAGAAGTGCAGCCCCTGCAGAATTCAATCTGGTAAAGGGATGCTGTAGAACACCCAGAGCAGGGGCTCCTGTTGCCACCCACTGTGCCACCAGTAACAGCAGCAGCCCTACTAAATGCTAAGGGCTGGTGCTGGGGTCTGCACTAGTCACCTAATTGGGTTCAGGAGGATTAAGCCTTCAGTGGTAATGTCAAAATCCTTATGCACAAGCTCAGGTTCACTGGGTAAATGTTTTAGGTACCTGAATTATTTAGGATCATCTGTCCCATTTCCAGATGTGAGTTGAGGATGCAGGGGCCAGATATTTAAAAATACATAGGCTCCACTAAGTGCATGGGGAGGGCAAGAATAAATGCTACAGCATCAGCAGCATGCTCCTGTGAACAGATAGTGGAACCTGCATCTCCAGAGGGTTATGAAACGCTCAGTGTCTGGCTCCAAAGTGTCTGCTGGGGCACACAGTGACATTTCTGTGTCCCATTAAGCTTCTGGAGATTTTTACAGCATGCCAGCAGTGAAACACAAGCTTAGAATCACAGAATAGTTTGGGTTGGAAGGGGCCTTCAAAGCTCACCCAGTCCAAGCCCCTGCAATGAATAGGCACGTCCTCACCTGGAGCAGGTTTCTAGAACCACATCCAGCCTGGCCTGGCATGTCTCCAGAGATGGGGCATCCATCCTCTCTCTGGCACAGGGCAGCCTGCGCCACTGTCTCACCACCCTCATTGCTTGCAAGGCCGTGCCCAGCCTGCGTTGTGCTGCACTGCCCAGGACTGAGCTCACCCCAGCCCCAGGGGCTCCCCAGCCCATGGATGGGGTCAGGACAGCTCTGCCCATGGCCCACCAGCGTTTGGGGTTTTCCATGTTATGTCTCCAGCCCAGAGAAAGGTGAAAAAAGGGAAGATCTGAGATGCTGCTGGAGTCCTGGAAAGAGGGTCTGAGTCCCAGCTGTCAACATGGGGTCAAGAAAAGCACCTGTGTGTTTTTCAGGCCCAAAGCTCTCAGCTGCAAAGGCAAGGAGGTGGAAAATGTTTTCAACATCCGGACACCTGAAGATGCCAGCCGTGTGGTGAAGCTGGCCACCAGCAAGAACGTGGTTATTGTGGGAGCATCCTTCCTGGGTGAGTGCTCATTCTGCAGTGTCCATGTCTCGCTGTCCACATCTCCCTGCAGACTCTATCCAGTCCCTTGCACGGTTTGTCACTGCTTGGTTAGAGGTAACCCCTTGCCCAAACTGGACCTTGGGGTTGTCCAACTTCCAGCCCCAGGTAGAGAAGAGAAGCTGCATGGAGACCTCAGAGCAACCTTCCAGTACAAGGGAGAATGTGTTCAAACATAAAGAGGAGAGATTTAGGTTAGATATAAGGCAGAAGCTCTTCCCTGTGAGGGTGCTGAGGCGCTGGCACAGGGTGCCCAGAGAAGCTGTGGCTGCCCCATCCCTGGCAGTGCTCAAGGCCAGGTTGGACACAGGGGCTTGGAGCAAGCTGCTCCAGTGGAAGGGATTCCCTGCCCATGGCAGGGGTTGGAACTGCATGAAGCTCAAGGTCCCTTCAACCCAAACCAGTCAGATGGTTGGAGCAGCAGATCTCCCTGTAGAGCAGCTTCAGCCTCCTCAGCTGGGATGGGGCAAGGCTGCTCCTCTGCTGCTGTCCCCACTGCCGCCTGGACCTGCTTCTGTTCCGCAGGGATGGAGGTGGCCGCCTACCTCACGGAGAGGGCCCACTCGGTGTCTGTGGTGGAGCTGGAGGAAGTGCCCTTCAAGAAGTCCTTTGGGGAGAGGGTTGGCCGCGCTGTCATGAAGGTGACCTTGCTTTCCCACCGGAGGGTGGTTTTGGTGACAGTGGGTTCTGCTTGTCCCACTTGGGGCACTAATTTATTGTTATTTGATGTTTATTGATTAAGCTGGGATGGCAGCAGTGACTAGACAGGATGAACAAGCTCTTGATCCGTGTGTGCTGTAGAGCATCTTCTTCTGGACACATGTTGGGGATGGAGCTGGTGCTGAGCCCTGTTTGCAACATGGGTTGAGGAGAGCCCAGAGGGTGGTCAGGGCAGTGCAGGGGGCACAGGAACACCAGGAGCAGTGGTGCTTTGGGGTCCTGATGTCCCCTGCTTTGTCCCATGTCCCCCCTCCAGATGTTTGAGAGCAACAGGGTGAAGTTCTACATGCAGACAGAGGTGTCGGAGCTGCGGGAGCAGGACAGCAAGGTATGGTGTGAGCAAGGGCTCCCTGGGGTCACCACCACAGCCTCCCCCCGGGGCATTGCTCTCTTCACTGCTGAGGTTCTGAGCTTTCCTAGCCCCTGAAATTCATATTCCTGGGGGTTGTCCCCCAGGAGCATCGTGCTCCAGTGTGCCATGTGGGGTGGTGGCATTGCTCCCACCCTCCTGCTGCCAATGGTCACCCTGCAGGTCAGAAGGGGAGCGAGCCATCAGTTTGGCATGTTCCTATTACAGGTTTGGGGTTGTTTTTTTTTGTCCTAAAATAACCATGCTGTCCCCCCGTGTCTCACGCAGCTGAAGGAGGTGGTGCTGAAGAGCGGGAAGGTGCTGCGTGCCGACGTGTGTGTTGTTGGCATTGGTAAGGGGCTGTGCCTGCAGGTGCAAAGCCCATGGGGATGCTGGGGCTGTGCTTGGTGCAGGGGCCGTGGCAGCAATGGGTCCTGGAGGGTGATGGTGATGTGCCAGCCCTGCACAGTGGGAGCGGTGGGGCTCTGTAGGGCCCCTCTCCCTTGCCATAGACAGGTTGTCCAGGCAGGGGGCAGATGTGTGGCCTGGGGGTCACCCCAAGGCTGTGGGGGTGCCTGGCTGCCATGCCAGCAGCTCTTCCCTGCTCCCACAGGCGCAGTCCCAGCAACGGGCTTCCTCAAGCAAAGCGGCATAAACATTGACTCCAAAGGCTTCATCGTGGTCAACAAGGTGAGCCTGGAGGGCAGCCCCTGCCAGGGGAGCGCAGCAGGAGCTGAGTGCTCTCCTCCAAGATGAGCTCCTTTGCAGCTCCAAACTGGTGCTTCAGGGGGGGTTATCCAAGGTGCGTGATGCTGGAGCGCCCGGGACCTCCCCTGCAGCCCTGGGTGCTGTGGCCTGGGTCCAGCCCGGAGCTGCCCTGGGATGGTGTGGGTATTTTGGAGGGAAACTCATTTCAAGGATCCCAGAGGATCTTATCTTCCCTCATCACCACCAGTGACTCCAGTACAAGTGATGCTGGTGCTGATGGATGGTGTGTGCTATGCGGCAAGAGCATGTCGGGGCGCTGGGGCTCCTTGCTCATACATGCAATAAGCCAGGCTCTATTTCAAACCCTGTCAGACCCCAGCCTTCTAAGAGGGGTCCAGGACACCAATCCATGTGTCTCTTTACTGGTTAACCCGCTGGCAGGTGGATCAAATCCCCCCATGGGCTCCCAGAGTTGAGCAGAGGCTGCCTGGGGAACAGGGAGGTTCAGGGGAGGGTGCAGACCCCGCTGACGCCCGCTTCTGCTTCCCCCTGCAGATGATGCAGACCAACATCCCTGGAGTGTTTGCGGCCGGTGACGCCGTCACATTCCCACTGTCCTTGAGGAATAATAAGAAGGTGAACGTCCCTCACTGGCAGATGGCCCACATGCACGGTAGGTGCTCGCAGCCCCTCGGCTTCACAACTGCAAACCGCTGATGGGAAAGAGCCTTTTCCATACCCCAGGAGATTTCCAAACCCACTGGCAAGAGAATGAGGCAGCTGCCAGCAGGGGAGCTGGGTAGTTGTGTTTAACAGTTTGAAGCATGTGTATTTGGTGCTGTTCTATGCCTTCATTTGTCAGCCTCTTGATGTGCATTGCCTGACAATGCCTGAGACCTTTCTCCAAGCCAGCAAACCCTGGTGTGATCGTCTGCCCTCAAGCTTTCCAAAGCCACGGCCCCATGAGGAGGTTGACCTCCGTGAGGGTGTCCTGGGTGAGAGGTTTTGGAACCACACCTCCAGCATTAACCTTTGGACACAGCCCCCTTTAATGCTGGCCCAGACATGCCATGAGGATGAGCAGGGACTGGAGGACCTCCTATATGGAGCCAGGCTGAGAACATTGGGGTTGTTCAGCCTGGAGAAGAGAAACTGTGTGGAGACCTCAGAGCAGCTTCCAGTGTCTGAGGGGATGATGGAGAGGGACTCTTCATCAGGGACTGTAGCAATAGGACAAGAGTGATGGGTTCAGACTGAAACAGGGGAGGTTCAGGTTGGAGATAAGGCAGAAGCTCTTCCCTGTGAGGGTGCTGAGGCGCTGGCACAGGGTGCCCAGAGAAGCTGTGGCTGCCCCATCCCTGGCAGTGCTCAAGGCCAGGTTGGACACAGGGGCTTGGAGCAAGCTGCTCCAGTGGAAGGGGTCCCTGCCCGTGGCAGGGGTTGGAGCTGGATGATTCTAAGTTCCTTTCCAATCCCCAAACCATTCTGTGATTCTATGGCTCTATGCCTCTGTGGGTAAGGCCTGTCCCCTTACAGCTCCATGATGCCCTTGGGGGCGGTGGTGGTGGTGGTTATCCATCCTATCCCTGTTTGTGGTGGGAACTCAGTGAGCTCTCAGCCTTGCCACTGTTACAGAAGCTGTGTTGAACCAGGCTCAGTAGCACATGTGGAGGTGATGAGGCAGTAGGAGCTGCAGTGCTGGGGAGGAGTCCAAGCCCAGCCCCAGGTGATGCCATGCGCTGTGCTTTCTTGTTGGTGCTCTTGCTTGTTGCTTTGTAGTCTTTTATTTCTCCTAAGCAGAAGGTCCTGGTCTCGCTGTACTCTGAGGCTGGAGATGTTGATGCCCCTGCCCCAGCACAGAGCTGCCCTGCTCACTCTGCTGCTTTCCTCTTTCAGGCCGTGTTGCTGCACTGAACATGCTGGCCCACGGCGTGGAGCTCAGCACAGTCCCGTACCTGTGGACCGCGATGTTCGGGAAGAGCATCCGATACGCGGGTAAGGGCTCCCTGAGCCTACTGAAGAGTCTGTGCTGCTGGAGGTGTGCTGGGATAGAGCAGCCACAGCCACCTCTCTTGCTGCGGACCCTTCGTGCCAGCCTCTGCTTCAGGTCTGCTTCCCTTCCTGCCTCCAAAGCCTGGTCTGCTCATGGCCATGTGTGCAGGACAGAGGGACTGCTGTGGTCACAAGCATGAACAGTGTCCCTCAACTCTGAAGAAGAAGGGGTGCTTTTTGGTACCCTCATCTAGTGCTGGTCTCTTGGTGACTGCAGGATGCTCTTCTTGTAGGTCTGGATTGAAGCATCCTGTTTTAGGGACTAGAGCTGGATCCAGGGGGATTGTTGCTGAATCTACCTCTTCTCTGCCTTCCAGGTCATGGGGAAGGATTCGATGATGTTGTCATTCAGGGAGATTTAGATGAACTGAAGTTTGTGGCATTTTATACCAAGTAAGTGTTTCTCTTCCCCACATTCACCCACAGACATTCATCTAAGCTTGTTCTATTAGGCTGAAAAGTATTTTTGCCAGAGCTTCTGCCTGAGGTTTTGTTCCTCTCTGGACACTGAGACTGCAGGACATTAATAAAGGGCCCCAGAGAAACGATGCACTAAGAGTAAAGCAAGTTAATCTGGTCTTTGGACATGATGTCTCTGCCAGATAGAAGCACTTGGTCTGTTCACAAAGTGTCTGAGAGCAGATAACAGCTTCTATTAATGGGTTACTGGAAATTCCCATCAAAGTTTTCCTCCCCATCTCATCACTGCGTTAATGATTCATGGCCAGGGCTGGGCTGGGAGCGTGGGTATCACTGCTGCTGTTATGGGTTGGCAGATTAAGCTCAAACCCCCTCTTCTGACAAGCTGTGAAGATCAGCAAGAGTTCAGGAGCTTCCATTACACCTGTGTGGAAGTCAGCTCTGCCCCCCGGGCTGGGAATGCTGGCTGGGGATGTGCTGACAGCCGGGATGTGCTGCCCCAGTGTTCCTGAGCCACGAGAGCCACTGTGGGTTTATCCCCAGATATCTGCTGCTCTTTATTCTTGTGCTGCCCCTGTCCTGTCCCAGACTGAAGTCTGTGGCCACAGGGTCTCCCCATGCCTGGAGATGAGTGGGAGTTCTTCAAGTGCTTTCTAATGTGGGGATGGGGAGAGTGAAACCAGGGAAGTGAAGGTCTGCAGGGCGCAGTGATCAAACCCCCGGTGGCAGCATCAGGCAGAGCTCATCTCACCAGGGCTCTCGGCCCCTCTGTCCCCTGCCCAGTGTCCCTCACAGCATCCCCTCTATGTCCCCCTCTCCAAGAGCAGCCACTTGCTCCCTTTGTCTGCAGTTGGATGTGGCCATCAGGTTTGGAGAGACACAGGGCTCCCTTTATCAGGCCACGGCAGGAGCAGCCAGGTCCCCAGCGCTCACCCTCCTTCTCCTGGTGCCTTGGATAGAAACCTGCTGCAGGCAACAGGGCTCCACCATCCGCATGTGGTTCACCTCTGGGCTCCCCTTGGCCAAAACCTCCTGTCAGGGTGGGTTTGTGCCCATGCTGGGCATAGCTGCTGCAGGGGAGCATCCCCCTTCTCCAGCCTCAGCCATGGGGCTGTCACTCCCTACCCTCTCGATGTTCTGAAGTTCAGTTAAATCACACAGTGCCAAAGCAGCGTTTTAAAATGAATGGTTTGTTCCATGGGTGTCAGCCGGGGTGGATAAACCCCGGGCTTGGCAGGTTTGCTGCAGAGGTTTGCAGCACTGTGTGCACTGCATCCTTGTGAAGCCACCGTGCAGCCATTGCACCATCCCATCTCGTGTCCGCTGCAGCATGACAGGGCCAGGCACCCACGACCTGCCCTGGTACACGTTTCCTTCCAGCATAGCATCTTCTTTGAAGCCTTGATTCCCCCTTTCCATGCTGGAGCTTTCAGCCATTTATTCCAGCCCCGATTAGAGAGGAAATGTCAGGCTGCTTTAATTAAACATCTGTAGAGCCTGTTCAAAGCAGAGCCCTGCAGAAGGTGCATAATCCCTGCTCTGTGCAGCCCAGCTCAGCATGCCTGGCAGACCCACCAGCACACAGGGGCGCTGCCCAGGGCTCTGATGTTCTGCCACCCAGCAGGGGCTCTGGAGATGGCTTTTGGGTACCAGGGTGTCATCCCTCCCCCGAGAGCCGGAGGTGCCGGGGGAGCGCTGGCCAGCTCATCCCCACCACTTTGCTTGGCTGCAGTTCCAGCCCTGCTTCTGTGAAAGCATTTCTTCCTCTTCTCTCCTCTGGTGTCAGTTCTTCTGGTTGGTGCTGATGCTTTTGATTGAGAATGCTGCCCCAAACGGACAATCCCCTCGTGCTTCCTTCTGCTGTGCCCCCCCGATGGTTTGGACTCTCCTCCCGGTGCACACTGTCAGGGAAATCCTGACCTCCTTCCTCTTCCCTCTCTCAGCACAGGGCAGCAGCACCAGCATCACCTCCCTGGCTGGCAGCAACCACTGGGCATCCCTGCTGATGTCCAGGGCTTTATCCACCTTTGCTGGTGTTTTCCCACAGATTCCAGGGTGCCCCGAGCTGTCTCCATCCCCTGGGCACCCTAGTGATGCTCACCACGCCAGCACGTGTGAGAACACGGTGGGGCCAGCCTGCTGTGCCAGCTCCCAGCTTTCTCTTGCCCCTCGTCCCACCCCACCAGCACGGACCCCATGGTGTCCACACCTTGGGACAGGTCCAGGATGTTTCTCCGCTTCCTGCTTCTCCCCAGCATGTGCTTCCTGGGTGCTGGCGCTGCGCTTGTGCAGGGCTGCTCTAACCCCGTGCTCTGCCTGGCCCTAGGAGTGACGAGGTGGTGGCTGTGGCCAGCATGAACTACGACCCCATCGTGTCCAAGGTGGCCGAGGTGCTGGCTGCCGGCAGGACCATCCGGAAGCGTGATGTGGAGTAAGTAGTGGTGCTGTGGGAACTGGCAGTGCTGGGGCAGGGGCCTATGGGCCAGGGATGCAGGGCAGGGCTGAGCACCCCAGGGCAGGGCCCCGATGGCGCTGGGCAGCTCCTCCCACTGCTCCCCTCTCTGTAGCCTTCTGCCCCGCTCACTCGGTCCCCCCATCACTGTCCCCCCCAGCTGCCTCCAGCTCTTGCATCCTGCACACAAGGTGTTGGTCCTGAGCACCAGGATCCAAATCCTTGCACAGATGCGATGGGACAGTGGTGCTCAGTGCACCAGGCATCCCTGGGACCATGCTGAGGGTCCACCCAGCCACTGGGCAGCATCGTGCCCCCAGTGCATTGCTGGCTGGGAGGGAGGTGGCATCTCATGGGCAGCCTGGCTGGCCCTTGCAGTGGGGCTCAGCGAGCCTGGAGGAGGCCGGATCACCTAAACCTGAATGTCTTCTCTCTCTCTGTCTCCTACTGCTTTCGCTCCTTTCAGGCTGTTTGTTCGTCATGGCAAGTACGTTCGGTTTGGGATACTGGGTGCACTGGGTGTGGGGCTGGGGGTGGCTGGAGCTGGTGGGGATGGCTGCCACATCCCCTTTGCAGCTGCCTTTTGGCTGGGATGCTGCTCGGAGAGGGAGATGCCTGCCCTTGGGTGGCTTCCACAGGAATTCCCAGCTGAATGCAGGAAGGGCTCGTTTTGGGGGAAAAAAAACCCAAACACCACAGTTTGAGCTCAGTTTGAGCTGGACTGGAGGATCCGCACGTGATGGTTTGGATAGGTGTAGTGATGTAAGAGTGAGGGTGGAGGATGGGGCACAGCCCATGGGGACCGGTGTCCAACGCTGAGGGCAGTGCCCAGGCGCATCAGGAACAGTCTTGCACATGCTGGGAAGCATCTCACAGTGCTGCTGGTTTGTTCTCTTTCAGAACTGGAGACATGTCCTGGCTGACAGGAAAAGGCTCCTAACGCCGCTGGTGGCTGTGCCCTCCTGGTGCTGTGCTCTCTGTGGGGACATGGGCTGGGAGCTCCACACAGGAGCGGGAACACCGTGGCCGAGTCACTTCCCCTTCAGATCCAGATGAGCCTGGCCCCGGTGCTGCGCACTCACCACCCCCTGCCCCTCTGCCTTCCAGGCAATTCCCATGGGATGCTGGAAAAGCAGCCCCCACAGAGAGCAGGGTTCAGCACTGGTGGTGGGCACGGGTGCTGCAGATGCTGACAACAGACTGGGGGTCCCCAGCAAGACCCTTACCCCTGTAAGCAGCGTGAGTGCCTTTTGCTGCTCCCTGTGCTTTCAAGCATGTGGCCCCATCCACAATCCCCTTTGTTCCCGCAGAGTCCTGATGTGCATCCCCGCGGAGCCGGACCTCTGCTCCCCTCCGCATGGCTCCGGGAGCGGGGGGACAGGCAGGGGATGGGGTCGCACCGAGGGGTCTCTGTGCAGTCCATTCTGGAGTCTTGCCCCTTCCCCACGCTGCTCGCCCCGTCCAGCCCCGGCAGAGGGCTCTGGAGCTCCTCAGTCTCCAGCACCAGCAGCGCCTCCCGTCCCAGCACAGCCGAGGGCTGGAGCTGCTCCCGCTGCTCCCGGTCAGTGTCGGTGTGAGTGCGGTGCGGAGCGGAGCGGGGTCTCCCTGCGGAGGTGTGAGGGCAGCCCCCAGCCCTGGGCTGTGTGTCCTGAGCGATGACTGAAGGATCGGTTCCTCAATGACAAGTAGCTGGAGGGGATCCTCTGGCCTCCATCACTCCTTGCTCCTCCTGCCCTCCTGCTGCTTCCTGACAGGCGGCATTTCTCATCTTGGCTTCCCATGCCGGTGCTCTGCTCTTGTGTTCTCTGCCCCTTGCTGAAGAGGAGCCTTATCTCCAGCTCAGGAGCGGACCTGGCCAGCCCACAGCCCTGTGCCAAACAGCCCAGCAGAGCCAGGGGGGGGCAAGAACCCCCCTTGGAGAGAGCCCGCAGTGCTCTGCCCGGGTGTCTCCCGCTGCACTCAGTGTTTTACTCCCAGCCCAAAGCAAGATGATTTCTATTTTTAATTGGACCCCCATGGATTAAAGCAGTGCTGTTCTGGGGATCTGGATCATCTCCGGTTCCTTCCAAGGCCTTGGGTCATCCTTGCAGGTTGGCCGGTTGATGCAGGTGCCGGTATGGAGGCTTCCCATCTGTGTCCAGGTCACCTGGGTTTATTTCCAGACTTCCTGCTTTTGGCCGGGTAGAAACAGCCCCGTTTGTCTGCGCTTGGGCTCTTCTGGTTTCACTGCAAGGCTTTTCCTAGGCGCTGTGACCAGAGGGGACAGCAGACGGGGATGTGCGTGCTGCAGCACTCAGCAGCCAACAGAACTGTATGTAACAGTTGGGATCCACAAAGGGATGTGAGCCTGCAAGTCTCATCCTAGGTCCATGGGGCAGCCACAGCTTCTCTGGGCACCCTGTGCCAGCGCCTCAGCACCCTCACAGGGAAGAACTGCCTCAGAAGTTAGGGTTGGAAAGGACCTGAAGATCATCCAGTTCCAGCATCTGGGAAACCGCCTAGTGAGGAGCAGAGATTTTGTTTTAAACGAAGGCTTAGGGCACAAGGGAACTAAGAAAACCCTGTCCCCTGGTGTGGTGCCACCAAAGGGGTCCCGGGTGTGCAGGAAGGGAAGGGGTGCTGTGCCCAACATGTGGCTTCTGGGTCCTGCCAGCACATGGGGTGAGATGTGGGCAGGGCAACAGGCAAAATCCCAGCATCAGAACAGCACCAGCTGTGGGTCTGGGGGGCGATCACATCTGTGGGGTGAGCACCCTGGAAGGGTGATATGGTGAAGCCACATGTGATGGTGCCATATTGCTGCGGATTGTGAACCAGCTTCCTGAGCCCCAGCTGGGTTTAGAGCCTGGTGCTCATTGCCAGTGGGAACAGGGGGGGTCGTGAGAGATGGAAACTTTCTCTCCTGGCATGGGGGGTTGAGAGGTGTCCCAGAAGAGGTGGCAGAGAAGACAGTGCAGCCTTGCCCAGCTCCAGGCATGCTCACCACTGGTCAGCATTAGCCAAGGTGCTGGATAGGATCTGGCACATGTCGTAAGGAAAGCCTTGGTGGTGACTGGGGTTTCTCATGTCATGGGGTGATGCTCCTAGCCCAGCTGAAACAGCTCCTCTGTAGAAAGGGGCAGTGGGACTTGGCTACAGGAGCACTGGAGAGGGGCTCTGGACAGGGACTGTAGGGACAGGACAAGGGGAATGGCTTGAACCTGCCCGAGGGGGGACTGAGATGAGATGCTTTGAAGAAGCATTTCTGGCAAAAAGCATCATCCCCTTCTGGGGCAAATCACTGTCAGGGGGTTCTGAGCAGGAGCTGTCGATAGAGCCTGGCTGGAGAGGGGGCAGCAGAGCCGGTGCTGCCCGCAGGGAGCAGGGGCTGGGGGCTCGGTGGTCGGTACCACGGTGGTGGAACAAGGACATGCTGTGTCCTTGTGGCGCTGCCAGGGCACTGCCGCGCTGTCCCTAGGAGGAGCGGGTGGCCCCGCGCATGAGCCCAGCCTGTCATCCCGTTAATCCCCGGCTAATCCATCCCTGCTGAGCCGCTGGGGCCAGCAGGGCTCGGAGCTGCCATGGCCGCGCACACCCCGCTGCCCCCCAACCTCCGCCGGGGCTTGGTGGCCTTCAGCGGCTCCCTCTTCACCGACAACAAGACGCAGGACAGCGGCGCTGCCCGGAGGAGCAGCCCAGGTACGCAGCAGAGCTCAGTGCCCCTTCATCCCTGTGAGCCTGCCCAGCGCCTCCCTGAGCACCCGGGTGCTGCTGAGCGGGGTCCCTGCACCCCCCCACCCCAATACTGCCAGCAGCTGCTCCCCAGAGCCCACCTGAGCATCACAGGGGCCCCATGGGGCAGCAGGGCTGTGCGGGTGCTGAGCAGCCCTGCTCATCCCTGCCTAGCCCACGAGCTGCTGGCCAACCTGCCCCTCCAGATGATGCTCTACTTCAACGCCTGCTACTTGCCGGTGTGGTGCCTGGCGGAGGGGATGATGCTGCAGCTGAAGGTACCATCCCAGGGGTTGAGCCTGCTCCTGCCCAGCCTGCCTGGGCCACACTGAGCAGGGGAGAGGGGACCCTTCTCAAGCTTAACGGGTCCCCCACAAGGCACAGTGGCTCACCTCTGGCTCCCAGAAATGAGAACCACCACTGAACTCTAGGCAAGGGAAGGTTAAAATACGAGGGCATAAAATAAAAGCCCTCGGCATGGGGCACAAGGAATGGTGCACATGGGACAGAACACTGGGCATGGGATGCAGGCATCCTAGGGCAGGCTGCGCTCCTGTTCCAGTATCACCTCCTGCCTGGGCACTACCAGTTCCTCCTGGTCACCACTTTCCTCATCCTCTTGCTGGTTGAGGGCTCCCGCCTCTACCTGGGCTACCTGGGGAACCTACAGGAGAAGGTAAGTACCACCCCTGCCCTGGCCTCGAGCCCCCTATTCCTGGTGAGGGGTGGTGTTGCTGTGGCTTTGCTGGATGGTCCCTCACTCAGGACCATTCCTCCTGGAGTCATCCTGGGAGGGAAGCATAAGGACAAGCAGGACCTGGAGGCAAGGGAACAAGGGACCCACTCACTCTCCTGCTGTACCCCTCCCTGTGCCATGGGTATGATGCTCCAGCACTGGGCTTCACAGTGTCAATACACGCAGGCACAGCCCTGTGTGGCAGCGATGTCCCAGTGCCCAAGGTGCCAAGGCCAGCAGGGTGGGCTAGTGGTCTCCGTACCCCGCTGATGGGTGCTGCACCCATGGCACCAGCTCTGCTCCTGCAGGTGCCCGAGCTGGCCGGGTTCCTCCTGCTCTCCTTCCTGATCCAGCTCCCGCTCCTGCTCTTCCTGCTGACGGACAGCCAGGTGCTGCTCCTGCCGCTGGAGCTGGCAGTGCACAGCCTGCTCCTGGCCTTCCTCCTGGCCGAGATCACCGCCGCCTTCCTGGCGCTGCGCACCATGAGCAAGCAGCTGGCGGCGCAGTTCCACCTGCGGCCCTGGGAGGAGGGCGGCCGGGGCCAGGCAGCCAGGGCAGGACCCTGCTGCAAGCCCCCCCCAGCCCACACTGTCAGCCCCAGCAGGGAGCATTAAACAGTGCTCAGGGCCCCAGTGCTCCACAGTGTGTTTGTGAACCAGGACACACACTGCGAGGGTGTCCAGAGCAGCCCCCTGACCGGGCCCACACAGCCTAGGGAAGGGGAGAGCATGGGGCTCAGCACCCCCAAAATACTGCATTTGTCCTCCAGATCATCAGCCCTGGCAGGGGGCAAGAGCCAGGAGCTGCTGCACTCTCCAGCAAGCAAGTCCCAGCTCAGGGCCGCTGGCTCCAGCTCAGCTCCTCAACCCTTCCCCTGCACAGCAGAGGAGGGGATAACCCTGCTGCTGCCTGCAGAGCTCCCTAGGATGTGGGTCACCCATCTCAGCTGGAATCACCGAGGGTGCTGTGAGCTGCAAGAGGGGCACCACAAACCCTCCGGAGCCAGCCCCAGCGCTATAGGGAGAGCAGAGCCACCTCCCACTTTCCAAGCAGCTTTATTTTGTTGGGTCCCTGGTTTTCACAGGAACTCCAGGCCCATGGCCAATGGGGAATGGGAAGAAGTGCAGTGCTTCAAGCCTCTCGTGCCAAGCATGGCCAACAGCTTCCCAGCAAACCTGAGGCCCCACAGCAGCTCCACTCCAGCTCTGGCTGGGAGCTGCACGTGGGGTTCATACTCCAGGAGTCAGGAACCTCTGCTGATGCAAACGTGGCTCCAGGGCAGGCAGAGCCCCAGCCCAGCAGCACACACACACCAGTGCAGGTCAGTGCCTCCTGCACCTGGGCTGCAGCCGTGTCCCCATCACATCTACCCCAGGTTGCTCTGGAGCACAGGGTGCCTGGTGGAGTGTCCCCGATGGCCCTAAGCTGCAGCTTCACTCTTACCTTTGGGGGGTTTTGCCTGCAAAATGAATAGGAGCATCTTAGAGAGAAGGGGAAACCCCAAGTGGGGGGTCCTGCTCTGCTCAGTCCCATCGGCCAGATGCGTTTTTTGATACCCCCACTCCACTCCTGACTCAGAGCAAGCATTAGGGATAGCTTTTTCCCCTCAGTGGAACGGTGCAGCCCTGGGGCAGCTCACCAGGAGATCTGTGTCCTCAGAGGCTTCTAACACTTAGCCAGATAAAGCTGAAGACGAGCCAAGACAAGGCTGGCAGCTTTCCTGCTCTGCAGGCCCCCTCCCCAGCCCACCCCTTCTGACCCCCCAGCTCCCCAGGGCTGGGCAGCACTGAGCTGACAGCTCCAGCACCCTGAGAGAGCTGCCCTTGGCACGTGGAGTTTGGCCAGACTCAGTTTGGAAGAGGGTGAATAATGTCAAGCTGGGTCAGGTTCTGTGGTAAGGTCCTCTCAGGGACTCCCTGTTTTCTAACAGGAGTTGAGGTCGTGGTTCAGGTTTCCCTGCAGCCAGGGCACTGGTCTGGTCCCTCTCTTCCACTGCCACCTGTTGGCATTAAACTCGGAGGAGTTTAGTCTGTTAGGCTTGGCTCAGATCAGCCACCAACTGAGACTCAGAACTGCTGAACTGGAGCTCTCCCACCCAGATCTCATGAACAGAGTTTAACCAAGAGGTAGATGATTGACATTGCAAAACTTGCCTCCAACCTCATCTCTCCAAAGCGGCCCCATCCTTACCTCCTCAAACTTCTCCTTCCAATAGAAGTCAGCTTTTGCATCCAGGTAGAGCAGAACCAGGTCACAGACCACCGTGGCCTGGAGACAAGACAAGCACAGCAGCGTGGTCAGCAGCAGCACTTCCTATAGCAAAACCAGGCCCCAGCTCCCACCAAGGCCTGCAAAGCTGACCTGTCTCCAGCACAAGCCACCCAGGCAGGTCTCTGTCCCAGCCTGCTCCCATGAGCTGCACAGGAAGTTAGGTGAGATCACCTGGGCAGCAATGCAGGAAAGTAGGGCCAGGGCCACATGGACTGGGATGAGCACATCTGTGAGGAAAGAGGGGCCAGGGGGATCCAGGCTCCCCAGGGCTCTGCTGGAAGGGAAGAGCCACAGAAATGCTCTACAAGAGGCTGCCTCACCTCAATGACGGCAACAGCGTGCCCGTGCTGGAGCAGGACACTGGCTCCCTCTAGTCAGGGCAGACACACAGAGGAGGTGCTCACTCCTGTGGGCTGAGATGGCTGGAACAGACCAGCCAGCAACACCCCGTCCCAGGGGCACCCAAACATCTCCCTCCATGAGCTGTGTCCCAGCAGTACCCAGCAGCACAACAGAAGGGGAGCTAACACCCTGATCTGGACACCAGGGAGCCGTGTGCCGGGGTAACAACAGGGGAGAGACAAATCCCAACCCACAGATCAGAGCAGCGCGTATGGAGAATACTCACAGCACCAAAGAACGCAATGCCAGTGCCAAAGCTCACAGCAGCAGGAATTATGCTGAACTTCCCAGCCTGGTAAGAACAGGGGGTGGAGAGTGGTGAGAGGCGTGGAACAAACTCTGCTGGCAGACTGCTTGAAGCCAGGGAGGTGCTGGAGGACACCAAGGTTGGCTCTCCATGCCCAGCTGTATGAACCTAACTTCTGTCACCTTGACTCAAAACCCCTCTGGCTGCCAAAGAAGGGGCTGAGGCAGCTCATGCCTTGGTGGCAGCAGAGGTTACTGTGACCCCCTACTCCTGCCCGCACAGTGGGAGCCTCCCTCTTGCTGCAGGATGCCAGCAGCTGCCACCCACAGAACACCCCAGTGACCAGCAAACAGCCCTAGTGTGATGTGTCCCCCCTGCTCAATGAGTCCGGTATCTCAGAAGAGATTTCCAGGCTCCTGTCTCACCCCTGGCTGTTCAATCCTGCTCCACATCTCCTGGACCTGATGTCACAACCCAGAAGGGGTGCACCCTGTCTCAAACACCTGCTTCACCCTCTTCAGGTGGAAAGGCCACTGCTAAGCATAACAGATCAGCTGTTTACATCTCTCAGGTGGCAAATCCTCTCAGCACAGGCCCCATCTGGCACAGTTGAGTGCTGAGTTTGTCAGTAATGCGGCACACTGTGGTGTCTGCCATCAGTATGTCCATGGGGGTTCTCCCCAAGGGTACAACTAATCAAGAAATCAGAACTGCCTCCAGTATGGGAAGGGCCTACAGGGATGCTGGAGAGGGACTCTTCATCAGGGACTGTAGCAATAGGACAAGTGGTGATGGCTTCAAACTTAAACAGGGCCGCCCTTAGCAGTATTCAAGGCCAGGCTGGATAGGGCTTGGAGCAACCTGGTCTACAGTAGGTGTTCCTGCCTGTGGCAGGGGATTGGAACTGGAACTGGATGATCTTAAGGTCCTTCCCAACCCAAACCATTCTGTGATTCTAAGAAGAGATTAATTGTCCATGTTCAGAAAAGTTCAGGCTGATCTCCCAGACAACCTCACCTTGCCTACAGGGCCCAGTGCTTCCCAATGCCCACATCATGAGTGAGGGAAGCCTCCCTGCTCAGGGCATTATCAAGAAACTTCCCTTCAAACAGGAGAGACCATCACCTCCTGCTCTGCCTGGAAAACTCTAGAAGAGGGGAAGAGCTCACCAGGGTGAGAAGCCATGCCAGGAAAGCTGCAGGAGAGGGCAGGCAGGAGCGGTGAGGGAGTCAGCCCGGTGGGGGCAGCAGTACCTGCCCGTGCACGGAGATGTCAAAGCGGATCCCATAGAGCTTGAGCAGGGTCCGATAGAGCCGTCGCTGGGAGTCCCAGTAGTAGGAGGCAGTTCTGTGGGAGACACTGGGCATAGCTCAAAGCCAGGGCAGCTCTGTGCAGGCAGTGGTCCAGTGGCCTGGGACTGCTGGAGCCATGTGCCTGTGCACAGCATGCATCCTCCAGTGGGCTGGGACATGGGTGATGCACCAGCTTGGCATCAGCAGTGGGGCATCAGCATCCACTCAGCACCCAACCTAGGGTCACTGGGAGCATGCAGGTCCCAGTGTATCTAGTTCAGGGTCAGCACAGCTGTGAGCTGCCACATGTCCCTGCCCTCCAGCAGGAAATGCCTTCACAGCTCCAAACAGAGCAGAGCCACAGGGTGCAGGAACTATCACAGCACCCCAGGACTGTTATCACATCCAGCTGTCCCTCCTGCTCCTTTCAGAGCACCCATCAGGAAAAATGAGATCTCAAACCATCACTGTGTGCTCAGCCTAGGGGCGCATGTGGCCACTGTCCCAGCATCCTCACCTGAAATTGTACCTCCTGTCCTGCAGGCTGAAGGAGTACTGAGGCTGGCAGTGGGCCGCAGGGCGATCCAGGTCACAGTCCCATTCAATGCGAACTCCGATGCTCCCTCCCTGCAGAACACATTGCAGCAAAGATTTCATTGGGGATCAGAGATCTGACAACTTCTTCACTGTTCCAACAGCCACAGATCACAAATTCCCTTCACAATTCATGGGTCAGACCTGTCCCCTGTCTCTTGCACACATCCTTGGGGGATTTGGAGTCATCTTCCATACTAAAGAGAACAAGTACCAGCAGTGCGAGGTCTCCAAAGGTCTCTCCAGCTTCCTCCACCATGTCACGCACACGGAAGATGGGGCAGAAGGGGCTGAGGGATGGGTCATATGTGCAGCTCTTGAAATAGTAGGGGTCATTGGTCTGCAGAGCATTGCACCTGAAACAGGGAAGAGAGGGGGGAGCTGTCATGGGTGCAATGAGAGGTCAGAGAGTCCTGCTGCAGGGCTGAAAAGGAGATGCTCCTGCTGGAGTGGGACTGCCAATGCTCCTGCTCCAGGGGGAATAGTCATTGCCTCTCCTAAAGCCTCAGCTGAAGAGAAGGTGGAGGGAAACCAGCCCAGAGCAATCACACATGGAGTTATCCCCCTTCACACCTGCCATGGTCCTCCCACTGTCCTGAGTTCAGCTGTAACAGTTATTTTTCTCCTCAGTAGCTGGTGCTGTGCTCTGTTTTTTACTTTAATCTGAGAACAATGCTGAAGGCAGCAACCAAGTGTGCCACTTAACACTCACTTCCCTCCCTACCAGCAACCAAGTGTGCTACTTAACACTCACTTCCCTCCCTACACCGGGAGGGATGGGGAGGAGAATGGAAATAATGTTAACTCCCAAAGGCTGAGAGAAGAACAGTCCAGTAACCAAGGTACAACACAAACCACTGCTGCTACCACCAGTAATAATCAAGGAAATAACAAAGGGAGAGAGTACAATTGCTCAGCACACCCAGCAGCCATCTGGGCCTCCCGGGTAACTCCCCCCAGTTTCTATACTAAGCATGATGTGCTGTGGGGTGGAATACCCCTTTGGTTAGTTTGGGTCAGGTGTCCTCTCTCTGCTTCCTCCCAGCTTCCTGTGCCCCTCCTCACTGGCAGAGCACTGAAAAGTCTTTGATGGGAGTAAGTGCTACTGAGCAACAACTAAACCATCGGTGTGTTACCAGCATTGTTCTCAGGCTAAGGCTGGAAACGCAGCACTGCACCAGCTACTAAGGAGAAAAGTAAATTACAGCTGAGCCCTTGGGAATGAGTGGCCCCTGTGTGCTTTGCACAGGCAGGCAGACAGACACCAGGATCTCTTTGAGGGCTCTCCATCCCATTGCTCTTACACCTGCCAACACCATCTGTGTGATGGCACAGGGCTCCCAGGACACCCCAGTGGGGCTGTGGGCACAGGGAGGGCTGCGGGGGTGTCCTGCTTACCTGGAGAAGTTGAATTTGGTGAAGTGGACAGTATTTCTTATGAAAAGAGTGAAATTCTCTGCCTCAGCCAGAAGAGGTTTCCTGGAAAACAACCACCAGTGAACTCAGATTGTGCACAGAGGCCAAGGCACGTCCCTGCTCCCCTCACTCCACAGTCTCTGCCGCAATCCCAGGCTGTGGCTACAATGGACAGTCACAAGAATGATCTTGGTAGATCGTTGTCAAAGGTTTCCCTGGGCCTGGCTGCCCACTGGGCAGTATCAGGCTCCTGGTTACACAGAGGGAAGGAAGCAAAGCTCTCAATGCCTGCTGTCTCCTCATCCTGTGCCTTACCTGGACAGGGTGTTGTGCTCCACAGGACACCAGCCGTAGATCTCACAGGTGGAATGTGTGGTGTTGAACATGACGCATTTCCCAGTTTTTATCCCTAGAAAGGAGAAGATGTATATAATTGCTCTTCCTTTTTGAAACAGCATCTCCACAGCTCCTCTCCTGGGACAGTGCCCTGGCCACAAGCTCATTCTGAACCACAGTGACAACCCTGGGATCATCCTCAGCCTTCCCCCCCCAACGCTTCCCTTGTGAAACCCTCCCTCGAGGCTGCTGTCCTACAAGGACAAGGTGCTGGTTGCTGCTGTGCCCACGGCCAGGCTCTATTACAGAAGGAAAATGTGCCAATCACACAGCACACTCGTTTCAATTCCAGCAGCCAGAGTCGGAAACAAAGCACTCAGCATTTGCTGTGACAGCACCTTGTGCCTGCTCATGCAGCCGGGACAGGTCGCTGGGTGGTTGTGCCAAGAACAGATGGCTGCAGATGCATTGCACTTCAGTGCATGCTCCCAGGAAGCACTGAACTTGTGGCACCTTTGTGGGCCTGTCTGTCACGAAACGTGAGGAATTCAATGATTTTATGGTTGGGGTTTTTATGTAGCAAAATACCCAGTACCATTGCCATGAACCACTGGCTCTCCCACGGGACAGTCTGCATCTTCTGTGCACATCCCAGCGGGAACAGAGGGGCTCTGAGGGAGACAGAGAGAAGTGCTGTCACTGTGCAGCACCCGAGGCCACATGATCACTCACCCACATCCCTGTGCTGCTGTGCCTGATCCCCTCTGCACATCCCAAACACTTATAGAAGACATCTGCCATGTCCAGAACCTGGGCAGGCTCCAGGCAGCGAGGAGAGAGGCACCTCCAAGGGGCAGCCCTTCCCTCCTGTCTCCCTCCTCCACACTGGAAGCAGAGGAAGCCTCAGGAGCTAGCTTGGATCTTTCAGCTCCGACTGGGAACAAGCACAGTTAGGTTCAGGAAGGCCTTAATGGCAGAGCCCATTAGGCACCTTGTAAAGCACCAGCACAGTTCCACTGGGAAGAGACCCTACATACAGCAGGACACATGGAAAGAGACACACATAGAAGGCTTCACCCTCACTCTGGACCTACCTGAGTGCTGGAGGCACAAAAAGCTCCTATTCTAACACAAAGACAAAGGCAGGTGGGGGGGTAACACCTTCCCCCAGCTACTCCCAAGGCCGTCCCAAGAGTCACCAGCCCAACAAACCCAGCTCCCCAGGCCCAAAAGCAGTGGGAAGCCCCAGTTATCGAGTCAGAATAAGGGTGGTGGGGTGGGGGTGTCTGTTTGCCCCCACCCCTCCGGGCGGCCTCAATCCTTTGTTCCAGGTGTAAGATGCACTAAAACAAGCTCTGAAGCACCTTTAGACTGGGGGGAACAGGACGGGATGGTCACGGTTTCAGGGTATGGGAATCATGGGATGCAGAAGAGCATTTTGGGATTGCACAGGACGTTGAGGGGATGGGATGTTTAGAAGAGGAAGACAAGGCATGGAAAAGGCAGGAATCTAGGCAACCTAAGAAGGATTGGAAAACAGAGAGATACAAGATACAAAGGACTGGTGTACATGTACAGAGCTGGGTGGCCACGACACTGGGCTGCACCTCACCAGCATAGTCGTCCTGTTGCAGCCTCAGCTCCATTCCTAGCTACTTTCCCGGTTGAGGGGCTCTATCCTGCTGTGTGTACGGGGGTCTGAGTGCCAGCAGCTGGAGTGGGACCACTGATCACAGGGGCCCATGTGCCTGGCAGCAGGGCAGGCTGTCCAGAGGCAAGCCCATAGGACTACTGGAGGGACCAGCAAGTCCTCCCTGACTGCTGCAGATGGCTGGATACCAGACTCATGCCCCTCACCCCCACTGATGCCCACCCATAGCTTGCAACACCCCCTTGCAATGCTGTAATAAGCACTTATGAGAGCACTTTGTCTTCCTGATCCAAATCAGATGTCAAGGCTTCAGCCTCCAGAGGGACCCACACAACAGGTATTTGTACATCAGCCCCTTCCCAGGTCCAGGTAACGACACACGGCAAGTGCCACTTGGCAGACAGACACTTCTGTCCATTAGGACAAACAATGCTTGGCTCAGGCACAAGGCGCCGGCAGTGGCTTTAGCTTGAGTCATCTGCTCCCATCTGCCAAGCAGAGTGCAGCCTGAGAGAGCTCGGTGCAGGAACTGGCCTGAATCCAGCCTTAAAGGGAAGATTACTCCCAGAGAACATATACCATTAAGTGCTGGCTGACTGGGAAACCTTCAAACCTTGTGCTGCACACCTTCTAATAATAGAACACCAAGATGGAGAGGATTCCAGTCCTGCAGCAGATTATAAAGGAAACATGACCCAAGTGTCCACAGCAGGTGTGCAAGAGCATCAGGGATAAAAAGGCAGGATAGAGATTAGAGAATGTAGCAGCGAGTCAAGAAACCAAGAATACATGTGATGCTCCAGAAGGAACACAGGTAACAGAGATGTTAGCTGGGGGTGGCAGCGCTGGCACCAGCAGCACTGCAGAGATGGAACAGCAATGGGGTAACAGCTCAGCCCCCCCGAGCGGCGTTGCCTAAAGGCAGCAGGAAGCCTGCACCGACCGCGCAGTGCCACCACTGCTCAGGAAGCCCAGAGCGCTGGTGAGCTCCAGCAGCGCACGGCCCTTGTCCATCCACGGACGGCTGTGGCTGCACTGCGCGGATCCGTGCCCGTGCGGGTCTGATGGACCGAGCAGCAGCGCCGCCAGCCCCGCACTCACCTCGGGGCAGGTGCCCTGCGCTTGCCCGGCAGTAGCGATGAAGTTGGTCACCAGGAAAAGCACGTTTCCTCCCTAGGGAGCAAGGAGGCGCCGTCAGCGGGGACCCGCACCTCGCCCCGCTCAGCACCGGAGGCCCCACAGTACCTGCGGGGGCCGGGCGTAGTCCGCCGCGTCCCACAGCCGCCGGCCCGCGCCCCGCACCTCGGCGCCAGCCGCCCCCTTCAGCTTGGTGAAGACGGCGGCGCGGGGGGCTCGGTCGGTGTCCTGGTAGCCCTTCTGCACCAGCAGCACCCACCTGCGGGGGGCAGCGGGGCGATGCGCGCTGAGGGGACACCCCGGCCACCCCATCGCCGCCGGGAGGGCCGGGCCCCGCGTGAGCCGCCCTACCCGAGCAGGTAGCCCAGCACACCGAGCTGGAGCAGGCGGTGCAGCAGCCCGACCCGCCAGTTCCGCGTCAGCGCGAACTTGGCCGTCTTGTAGTCCAGCAGACCGCGGCACAGCCCGCCCACCATCGCGGCAGCGAGCCTCTGCTCTGAGGGGCTCCCCCGCACCGGCCCGGCCGCGCTTCCCGCCGCCCCGCCCCGCCCCGCCCCGCCCCCCGCCTGGCTCCGCCCCGTCGCCATGGCAGCAGCGCGGCAGCCCGGGGCCGAAGATGGCGGTGCCGGTACCGCTGAGCTTCTGCTGCCGGGCCTGCGGCGTGACCCGGCCTCCTGCGGCACCGGGGCTGGCCCGCGGAGGAGGGAAGGGCGGCAGCACCATGAGGCGTGAGGGACACCCGGGACAGGGCGCTGGGGCCAGCCTGGGCTGTTGCCTCCATCCCCCTGCCGTCACGCAGGGCTGTAGTCCTTCACCCGAATCAGTGAATCCAGCCCGGGCACAGCAGTTCTGCCTTTCCCAATAGCAAACCCACTGTTTCAGATCAAGTCCCAGCATAATTTGGGTTGAAGGGACCTTAAAAGTCCAACCCCTGTCACAGGCAGGGACCCCTTCCACTGGAGCAGCTTGCTCCAAGCCCCTGTGTCCAACCTGGCCTTGAGCACTGCCAGGGATGGGGCAGCCACAGCTTCATGGGTTGAGGATCTGCTCCACTGTTGCTGAAGCCATTGAGGAAAGCCCCAGTTCATTGAGGTGTGCCCATCGTGTGACATGAACACACCACTGACAGCCTCCTGTCACTTGAATCAACCTTGGACAAACACCCACCATCCCTCCACTGCCGAAAGGCAGCAGGAGCCTTGTTTTACCAGTCCCTGGATGGCACATGGGATTTGCATTACACGAGAGGGAAAATGAAATTACTACAGTGCCCCTTTCAGCCTTGGAGGCTGGAAAACTGTTTCTTATTTTAGTGAGAGATTTTTTTTCTTTTAGTGAAAACTGTACAGAGATTACAACAATTCCTGTACTGATTTGTGAACCAGGAGTGAAATGAAACTATTAAACCTGCTCCTTGTAGTAATTTTGACTCTAAAAAGGGGAAGAGCTAGACAAAGAGAACTGAAAACATCTGCAATATGTCCATAGACAATGGGATTTTACTTAGTTCCAAGGTTTCTACGATCCCAGCTCATAGGTGGCAGTTGGACAGACAAGGGCACAGGCAGACAGCACAGCTCCTTTCAACAGAGAAAGCTTCAGGTGAGATCTCAGAACTTACAAACAGGAGTGAAAACACCTCCAACCCCCAAGGCTTTGGCCAAGGCAGCTGCCCCCGGGCTATGGAAACGGTTCCAGCTGATTGTAAATTCCTTTAATCCAACCTTTCCTGCTGCTGCTGCTCCAAGAATTCCACCTAAGGAAAAGCACATGAAGCCAAACACTGCAAGATCGGCAGTGAAAAGGATTAAGGTTAAAGTCAAAGGCAGCTCAGGTCAGTTCAGGTTTTCTCTGTATAACCTCCAGGCAAGCCATTAAAACCACAACAGATCTCTCCTTCCGTAGCTCATTTACCGCAGTCACAAAGCTGGACAACAAAGCTGTGAGCACAGGCTGCAGAGGCAGCAGAGGCAATGCCTGCCCACGAAGCCATACTCCTGCCTGCAGATCTGCCCGCACCGGCTCAGAGCTGGCTCCAAGCAAGCAGGCACCTTCCCAGGGCCTGGTGTGTGCTGCTGGCACGGAAACTGCTCCTACTCCCCCTTTAACCCTGCCCAGAGCTCCTGCCATTGGAAACCTGAGCAGGTTTCCTGGGCACATGTCCTGTGAGCATCCAGTGATGCAGGGAAGAAAGGAGGTTGCCAGTCAGCACAGGAGGAAGCCATTGCTGTGCTTGAAGATGACTGGGAAAGCTGTTTGACTGCAAAGGCAGCAGGAGGTGAGCAAACAGGGGTGGAGAGAAAAAGGAAAGCAGCTGTTTCAGCCTTCAAATTGAACACATGTTTGAATATCTGCTCTCTGAGGAAGGCTAAACCATACCACATGCTGCTTACCTGTGGCCATGCGCCCCTCTAGGACATCCCTGTGAACAAAGAGCTTGCAGAGCTATGTGATGCTGTGAAAATGCTTCTCCCAAATCTTCTCAGGTATGGGGGAACCTTCTGGAAGTTGCAGAGAAGTCGGCTCAAGGCTGAGCTCTAGGCTCAGCCTGGGACCCCCCAGTGGGGTCTCTCTGGGGCTGCTCCCGTGGCACCTCTGCAGCATGGCACCAGGACGAGCAGGGCAGTGCTGGAGCAGCATCGGCGCAGATACAGGTGACTTCATCACTGCCAACACTTGGCAGATTTCCTGTGGTTTTGCTTTAAGATTCCTGCTCCAGCCAGCCCTGAGGCTCTGCCAGCACATGCAGGGCCAAGGGCTCCTTTTAATCATCATCTCTGTGTATAGGGGCGTTCATCTGGAGGAGCATCATGTGCTGTATGAGCTGCTGGTGCTCAGAGCCACAGCCTGCTGCAGTGGGCTCTCTGCACTGATGATGTAGGAAGCAAATCCTACCCGGAGATGTGCTGTGAACAAATGCTTCCTGCCTTAGGCTTGTTCTCCTGTTCCACGGTGGGATTTCCTTTGTTGAACTGCCACATCCACTGCTGACTCATTTCAGCTGCTGCCTTGTGCAGCTCCTCAGCAGCCTTACATGGAGCCCCTGCTCTGCAAAGTAGAGCCCCTCTCCTGGGTCACAGCTCTGGATGTCTGACTTCACACCAAGGATGCTGCACGTGGTGGTAGTGCTCAGCAGAAGATGAGGTTTAGCCCCTGTGTTTTAAAGTAACTCTATGCAGTTCTGATTTACCACATGGAGTGTCCTAGAAAGGTGCAAATTAATGTATAGTTGAAAACATGTAGTCACCATTTATTGCTCCTGTTCTGTCCTTTGCCCCAAGCCCTTCCTGTGCTCTACAAAGTGCAAAGTAAAATCATACTAAACCTGGGATATCTATGGTGAGTGTTCCATTGTTCTGTGGTTTCATGAGAGCAGGAGGTGGCTGTGGAGCACTGAGGACTTGCCTGCTCCAGGTGCAGGCAGGATGGTGCTGGTGTTTCTGGTATCACAGCTAATGATGGATCTGGTTTGGTGGGTTCCTCACTTTTGTACTCATACAGTGAATTATCAGGGCAAAAACTTACTCCTGGCTATGAGTAATTTGTAGGGCATTGTAGTTAAAGGTCCTGCCTAGAGCTCTGGATGTGTGGGGGTCTGTACACCAGGTGGGATTTGAAGCTATTCACAGACCAACAGCGCTGAGGGTTGTCACCTGGCAGGGTTATACATGGGTTAGAGAATGGAAGCTGTGGCTGCCCCATCCCTGGCAGTGCTCAAGGCCAGGTTGGACACAGGGGCTTGGAGCAAGCTGCTCCAGTGGAAGGGGTCCCTGCCTGTGGCAGGGGTTGGAGCTGGAGGAGCTTTAAGGTCCCTTCCAGTCTGAACCGTGGAGAAACAGGGAAAAGCTGTGGCCCCAGAGGAGGGGCTGCTGAGACACAGGCTGTGGGAACATGAGCACAGCTCCTGGAATGCTCTGGGAACCCCTCTGCTCAGGGTGCCTGCTGTGACCACCAGTGCTTTGTGGATGAAGGATGAAGGGACAGCAGGATGCAGGGTTCATGCCATCTGGCAATGCCCTGCCATTCACTCGCTTGTGGAAGAGCAGACACTGCTGCTGGTGCCTAGAGATACAGCACAGGGTTACCTCATCCTCTGGCTGTACACGCAGGAGGAGGAGGGGAGCGTGGCAGGGATAATGAGAGGATTACTTACAGCCAGCCTCCCACCAGCCCTGCAGTCCCTGTGCTGCTTCCACAGTTGGGGGAGATCATTTAGCAACACAAGGCTGGGAAGTGGGCACTGAGCATCCCACCCCTGCAGAGCCTAAGGCTCCGCTTGTCCTCCCTCGAGCATGAATAGGGCTTGAGCCTGCAAGTGGGTCAGTGCCTGCTTAGTCCAGCATAATGCCTGTGATAAAACTCCCTCTGAAACAGCGTTGGGAGGCACCTGCTCTAAGGTCTCCCCTTCAGGAGCCTTCTCTTCTCCAGGCTGAACCAGCCTGGCTCCCTCAGCCTGGCTCCAGAGCAGAGCTGCTCCAGGCCTCTGATTGTTCCTGTGTTCCTCCTCTGGGCCCTCTCCAACAGGTCCATGTCTTTGCTGTCCTGTGGACGCAGCTCAGTGCCACTGGGCCATCTCTGGAGCTGGCCTGGGTACCCCTGTGTCCCTGCGCTGCATCTTGGGGTCGGGGGACTCAGGCTGATGCAGTCTCTACGATGTAAATGATGGTGGGTAGCATCCCTACACCAGTGTCTAGTACAAATCTCATGTTATTTCCCCTCTGAATTTGTGTTTCTCTTCTCTTCTCAGTGCAGGCAAACCAGCTCCTCTCCCAGTCCTCCCATTCCAGCAGCCTCACTGTTGAGGTGAGGAGATTATTAGCCTCTTAGCCCAGCACTAGAGACCGTGTGCTGGAGCTGCATCCGCCCCATGGCCCCTAAAGCCCTTCCAGGCTCCCGGAGCCTAGCACCAGCCATCACACCACTGACCTACATACTGCACTGATGCATCTCGATTAGATGGGTTTCCAGCAGCCCAGCCAGGCTAACCAGGCCATTTCTGGGAGCCCCAGAAATAATCTACTTATTTATTTAAGGCTACTTTGGAGGAAGATGCTCCCCTGGAAACGCAGCATAACACCAGCCCCTAGAGACCAGCAGCCTTCTGTGTACGTGGGCTCTGAGCTGCACAGGGGTGGCTGGATCCTGTGGACAGGGGTTCAGATGGGGAACTGATGGGCTTTCTCCCTCCAGTCACAGGCTCCCATCTCAGAGCACTGCTGGGGGTGGTTAGTTTGGATGGCTTTTTCCTGCTGATCCTGTTTTCAGGAAGCAAACACTGCAGGAGCACTGCCTCGGTGGTTACTGACACCCCATTTTTGTGTGTGTGCATTAGTGGGCAGGCAGTTTAAAACCAATTATGACATGTTCCGCACCAGCACATTGCTGCTGCAGCAGGAACACGACACACATGAAGCAAGTGATTTTGTAATCCTATTTCATAAAGGAGCCAGGGCTGTGCTTGGGAGGCTCCTCACTGCACTGCTGCCCTTAATCACAGCTCAGTCCTTCCATTCCCTGCCTCTCCTGGGCTGTGCTGGGGGTGCTGAGTCCACACTTGCTTTTTATGGTGCAGCCCAACAGGAATTTCTCTACATTTGAGAAATAGGTTAACTATGGATGGTGACAAGGCTCATTCATGGCATCCCAGCCTGGTTTGGATTGGAAGGGAACTTAAAGCTCCTCTAACCCCGTGCCACAGGCAGGGACCCCTTCCACTGGAGCAGCTTGCTCCAAGCCCCTGTGTCCAACCTGGCCTTGAGCACTGCCAGGGATGGGGCAGCCACAGCTTCTCTGGGCACCCTGTGCCAGCGCCTCAGCACCCTCACAGAGGAAAGCTCCCTAATGTCTCATCTCAATCTCCCCGTTTCAGCCTGAACCCATCACCCCTTGTCCTGTCACTACAGTCCCCAAGGAAGATTCAACAGCTCTTGGGTTTTCACCAGTTTAAAAGCCTGAGCCCACGGGGGTGAGCCTGGCCCCGGCCACAGCCCACAGGGGTTTGTGATGTGGCTTCTGCTGAGTTCCTGCAGCAGAGAACATGGAAGTGCTCTGCACCTCAGCCTGCCCTGCCCTGCACTGCTGGGACTTTGACTGCTCTTCCCAGCCCTGCGCTGCACTCCTGGGAGATAACTGCGGTTCTTTCTACTTACCTTTATCCTGCTGACAGTGGATTTATAGCAGAGATTAAAAGCCAACAGGAGATAAGAGTTAAGTCTGTTGCCTCCCCAGATACCTGTTGAATGCTTTATTATTTTAATAAGGAATGACTGTTACCACAGGAAGGAAACTTCCCTCGTGAACAACCACAGTGAGGATGGGGTTATCTGGGGGTTATCTCAAGTGTCTCACACTAATTCCCATTATTTGCACTGGTTCACAGGCTGCTGTGAGGGCTGGAGCAGCTCTGCTCTGGAGCCAGGCTGAGAGAGCTGGGCTGGGGCAGCCTGGAGAAGAGAAGGCTCCTGAAGGGGAGACCTTAGAGCAGCTCCAGTGCCTAAAGGGGCTGCAGGAAACCTGGAGAGGGGCTTGGGACAAGGGCCTGTAGGGACAGGCCAAGGGGAATGGCTTGAACCTGCCCGAGGGGAGACTGAGCTGAGCTCTTAGGCAGAAGCTCTTCCCTGTGAGGGTGCTGAGGCGCTGGCACAGGGTGCCCAGAGAAGCTGTGGCTGCCCCATCCCTGGCAGGCCCACATGGGTGAATGCAGTTACAGATGCCTACTTGTAAATCTCGAGTTCCAGGCCCCCTTTGCAGAGCTGCCCCAGGCCCTTGGAGACCCGTTCCCATGGGTCTGGCTGGAGCCCATCGTCATGGTAGAACACCCGTGTCAGAAGGGCAAAGCTGCCCTCAGCAGTGCTGGAGGCCTGGCCAGGTGTGCTGCGGCTCCCGCTGGAGGCAGGCAGGCAGCTCAGGAGGAGCATGGCTGCAGGGGCAGCTGGCAGCGTGACTGCCCCTTTCCCCATGGCTTAGCAGAGCTCTCCTGAGCATCGTCTGAGGGAGCAGCTTCCCCGCACTGCCCCTCTGCTCTGCTCTGCTCTGCTCTGCTCTGCTCTGCGGAGATGCAGACTAGATGTGAGGAAGACATCTGTTACCATGAGGGTGGTGAAACCCTAGCACAGGCTGCCCCATCCCCGGAGACATTCGAGGCCATGCTGGATGTGGTTCTGGGAACCTGCTCTAGTTGAGGATGCCCCTGCTCATTGCAGGGGTAGGACTGGATGAGCTCTGAATGAGCCCAGACTGTTTTCCGACTCCTGGGAGGGGACACAGAGCACACACAGCCAGAGCCATCAGAGAACCAGCATTTATGAAGGTGACTGGGCAGCCCGTTGCTCACAAGCCACGACACAGAGGTGCCAAGCAGGGCCACGGCACAGCAGGGACGCGCTGCTCCATTGCAGCGGCAGCACGAGGATGAGGCAGGACACGGAGCAGCACTGGCAGCAGAGGGTTCACCATGGAGCTGGTGTATCCTACAGAGACCCCCAGCCCCAGCAAGAGCAATGGGACCAGCTTGCCCGTGGTGCCTGGCTCCTCACAGGATGCAGTGGCAGGGAGCAGGGTGTCCCTGCTGCAGGGCCTGGCAATCAGCAACCTCCTGCTCCACGGGTTGTTTCCTCCTTCCAAATCGTGCTGAACCCCAGCTCTTCCACTTGAGTCTGCCCATGGGCAAAGAGCCTGGGGTGGCCACAGAGCGTCACCCCATGGGCCATCGCATGACACCGTGGCAGCCGGGGTGGGGCAACAACAAAAAGCACCCACAGAGCCTGTCCCAACTCATAGAGATCTGGGGGGGGCATTACAGGGAGCTGAGCCCCACACAGCAGGGGAAAGAGGGAGCTCAGCCCAGGGCACTGCTGGGGACCTCTGGGGACAAGACAACAAACCCAGGGTCCCGAGCACCCACACCCAGGGCTGGGGCAGGGGCCTGGCCCTGGCATCACCTTCCAGCTGGGCATGGCTGATGCCACCCGGGAAGGTGCAGCTGGGATTCTGTCGGGGGCTCCCTGCCCAGCCACTCGCTCCAGCCATGTTCCTTCTCCATCCCATGTCCCCATATGCTCCTCAGCCCCCTCAGCTCTCGACATTCAGGAGTGTGGCCCTGGGGATGGGGACAGTGGGAATGCCAACAGGGAAACATGTTTGTCCCGTCTCCTTCCCCAGGCAGGCACAGCATCAGGCAGAGGGGTCTGCAGGGCTGCAGCCAGGATGATGGGCAGTGGTGGGGTGCCTGTCACAATCCCCAGGGGTCCTCAGCATCCCTGGCTGTGTGCATGGACTGGCAGAAAGGAGATCTGTTGCACAGTGCCTGGGTTTGCTCAGGGAAAGGTGG